GTCGTCGGTGGGGGGGGGGTGATGGGATTGATGTCCTTGGATTTTTGCAGCGGTAATTTTTCTTGCCGTCACATCACGATTGTTGATACGGGTGTAAGATACACGCTTTGTGTATCTTACAATCAAATATTTTACGGTTTAGATATCACATTTGCGGAACGGAAGTCTGCTTTATATTTTATTCTTTTCATTGAAGTCATGATCACGAAGTACTTACTTGTGCTGTTTGCAAGTACCCTGAGTAGACATCACACCCCAAGCCACCAAGCTGCATATAGTAATGTGCTAGCTTCACGCCAAACTTCAAGTGCACTTGAGACAATCCCAACATCACGGATCTACCACGCACGGGGGACTAGCTTCTGGATCTTCATTGTGGGGGTCGCGAAGGATTCCGTCTCCATCAGAGCTTGGTAAGCAAGACCATCTCGGTAGCCCTTCTCATACGACTCCTGCTCGCGGAAAGCCAGCATGAAGTCTTGCTCGAGCTCATCAATGATATTCGCCATGGCGGACATCATGTCAGCAAGCTTATCCGCGTCTTCATCTGCCCTGATAGTATCTTCATCTGCCCTGATAGTAAACCCCTCCATCGAAGTCATGAGCTCGTCTGCGAAGGGGTCACGGGCGACAGCCGCACATTCATCCAGGGACATCGTCAAGGCTGCGATCCGGCCAGCGGCAATGCCGCGGACGTACTGCTTCAGCTTCCCCTTGGCATCGGCGGACTTGCCATACTGGTCAATCTTCTCGCAGCGGAGCGTCGCGGCGGAGTTGTACCTCTGCTCGCGCAGGCCCAGGTCGAACTTACACCATCTCGGGTTGATGACATACAGAGTCGACGGCTCAAACGCGGCGCGGACGTTCCGCTCTGGCTCCGAGAGTTCGACGCCGCCCGACACCTGGGCGTGGTGCGCGGGGTGGTAGTCGTGGTTGCACCCGAAGTGCTTGTAGGTGTAGAATTGTTGGATAGGGAAGTCCCGGTGGGCCGAGATCGATTCCTTGGAGCTGGTGCTTACATGGTCAGGCGTCGCTGGCTTGCGATAGGACGATGTGCTCGCGTCCATCTGAGCGCAGTCTTCCTCCTGAGGGTAGTCGTCCACGTCGGCCATGAACGTGTCAACCTGCTGATCAGTGAATGTCTCCATCTTTGAATGCCTGGATGTTCTCGTCGCCTCTGTTGGCGACTTGTCGTTTTGTTTTGTTTTGCTTTTGTGTGGATAGGTGCGGCCCGTTCCGATCTGTCAGGTGTGGAGAAGGTGAAGCGGGACCGATGAATTTACCGAGAATGGAAACGAGACAGGGCTGAAGTACGGCCTGCACTATAACTCAGACGCTAGACTAGTGTCCACTCTACCTAGCACCTGGTGAATTTCCAAGTCGGAAGACGAGGCTGCAGCTGCCCCAGGATTGAATCTCAGGCGCCTCCTTTCCAATACGTACCAAAAAACAAAAGTTAAGCGAGGCGCTAGTGAATCATCGGAGCCAGATCGAGAGGCCATACGCTGGCTGCAGTTCGGGTCAGCCGCCAAGATCGAGTGGAGTTTCGGCTTTGGCCCTGCATCTCATTCGAGGGGTGGATTTCCGAAAGTGGAAATCTTCGCGCAACGAAGAAGGTGCGTGGATTGCACGCCGATGCCTGATGCGTTCGACAGACGGCCCACTCCGCCAGTGTTTCAGCAGTGAAACGCAAAAAAAGAAAAAAAAAAGAAAAAAAAAGGAGAAAAAAAGAAAAGAAAAAAATTTTCTATTCCAAACGTGGTACTCTACGGGTAGGACTCTAAGGGGCGATCGCTGTACGTACTGTATGTACTATAGAGACACGTGAGCGGTACACCGAGTTGGGTACTGCCACTACGGGATCTGTCTGCCCTGGCCTGGACCGCCTAGCAGATTCGACGAATGGATTCGGAGTCATGTTGAGAGTGACTGCTAGAGTTCATGGCGGCCCATGTGCTCGTTGTGAATAGATCATTATATCATTTCATTGCTTCCGGTGGCTGTTTCAAGCGAGGATGGTGGTGATATCGAGAGGGAAAGGAGAGGGATCGAATCGAATCGATCTGGACCATACCATGGAAGATACCTAGGCTCCTGGCTACTCAGAACTCGACGTCACTCGTTTACGAGAATACTACTGGCACGCACACCCTCTCCGGCCATGTCGAATATGGTGTCCGTGCTTTGGTTTGTGGTTTTGTTTTGTTTGTTTTGTCTTGCGAGTTGGAAGCCATGGGTGGGATATGAGCTCAGCTCTGCAGCTGTTAGATGCTGCTGGTAGTATATCGTGATAGTGGCCTTCCCAAGCTGCTGCCTGTGACTCCCAGGCTTATGACATGGAGAGGTTGAAGAGGTGTTTGCGTAGACGAGGGTTCGCTTGATACATGGCCTCCTGCTCCAAGCTATTCCACCCATCAATCGGTAGGCGCTCTTGAAGGGAGTCTTAGGAGGGAGTCTGCTTCTTCTTCTTCTTTTTTTTTCAAACAAGTTTGGCCAACAGCAACAGGGAGCGAGGAAAACAGCAGAAAATGTACCCACCGAGTCTGAAGTCCCCGTCCATCCCTGTAGCCATGCATGCCGCATTCCTCAACCGAACCGTGCCACTCGGTCCGGTCGGCCAGCTCATCCCACGCGATTTCCGCCTCCTCCATGCCCGCCATCATATCCTCCATCTCCCCCGCGTCGTCTCCCACGCCCATCCCGTCGTCCATCTGTATCTCCAGCACGCCAGCCTTGGCCTCGGCCCTCTCGCTCTTCCTCAGCGGCCCCTTCACGACCTCGACGCGAGCCTGGTTCAATCGGAGGAAGTACGCGCCCTTCTTCGCCTTCTCGCCGCCAGGCTGACCCGAGCAGCGGGCAATCTCTCCGAGCTTGGATCGCGCGGCTGCCACCAGCGACGCCTCCCGCTCGCCGACACAGCGCTGGCACCACCGCGGGTGCAGCAGTCCTAGGACTTGATCGCCGACCTGCTTCGCGTCCTTGCCGCGGCCGGAGAGGGAGACGATGAGCAGGGACGCGGCGGCGTCAAGTCCTCGAGCCTGCATGTCCCTGCGGGAGATTGGGTGGAGGCAGGCGCTGTGCGCGAAGGTGGTGGTGGTGGTAGGGCGGTGGTCGAGTCGATGTCCGGGATGGGTTTCGAGCTCGCACATGTCGTACGCGTCGAAGGAGACGGGGCTTGGAGAGGTATCGCGGCTGTTGAGTGCCATGTTGTTCACGCTGGTGGGCGCTGAGTGTCCGAGTTGTTGGGGGGGGGATCTCGCTCTTATTCTTGGTTGGAAATCTCGCTGTCTTCGAACGAACGCGGGCGTCGAGGTGAGGTGAGGTGAGGTGAGATTGGGTTGTCGGCGCGAGGGAGGTCGAGATCGAGTTGAATTTAAAGAATCACTTCCCGTTAGCGCGTCGCTTTCGCTTGAGTGATCAGTCGGGAAGGGAAGGTAGCCTTGAGCCACGTGCTAAGATAGTGGAGTGAGTGGCCTTTGTTGATATCTCGCTTAGCATAGAGCCACTTCAGATTTTTTTTGGGTTCAAATATTACAAACCCTTGCACGTTGCGATTGACACCTCGACACCTACCTCGATACTGGCAGAAGACTTCGACGTCATCGCAGTCATGGTATCAGAAGCAGCAAGCAACAAAGCGCCACAAGTCCCAAGTCCCAAGTCTGGTGAAGAAGATCCGAGATGGGAGCTCCGCTGGTCGTAATACCTTTCCCGGGTTTGCTCGTCTCCCACCCGAGGAAGTTTGGCATGTCACGCAGCAAGTGGCTGAGGCGATGCTGACTTCTGATCTTCCAGGATACGCGGCCGGATCACCACGTTCGCTGCCCGTGAACCCAGACGCGTCATTTCTGGCATTCTCAACCTACAGCCGAGCAGGACCACTGGATCGCTTGTGCCCGACTCCTGCTCCGATTGAGAGGACAGAGCCCCCAACCCAGGTATACTGCGAGTCAGCTCGGAGTGCAGAAGAGGGGCTTCGCGGTTCTACGAGCTGAGCAAGCAGGATCCTTACGTCACTGGCAAGGCGAGATACCATAATCAGCATGTACTCTCCTGATGTGTTCTACCCGGAAACTCACTTGGCCTGAAAATACACGTCGACTTCGAGGCAGATTGGTATGTAACGGGGGGGGAGGGGGGCAGTCTCCCTTTGCTTCGCTTATACTCCACCGAAAACCTTTCTTGAAAGGCATCCACTCACTACTGGGGTGGTGGAGCGTAGGGACCACAGGCAGATACTTTTGGGCTATATCATGGACTTTTCTTCTCTGCCTCTCTCATTGCCTGGTCGGAAGGTTTACCTCGATTGTTGCACTTGTGTATATACCTGTAATTGTCAGCTGGGGGGCTTTCCTCTAGGCATAGGAGGCATGGTGGTGACCCGTCGACAGAAACATGGCAAGATTGAAAAATATGCAATCAGCCTGAACATCCGACGTGATCGCTTGTATCCATGACACAAACCTTTCCCATATTACACCGAGACTCTATAGATAACCAATCACCAGGAGAGAGCGCTATAATATCGCAACTACTGAGGGGGGCCAGGCTCGGCCGCGAAGACTCCGTAGCCGCTCTTTTCGTTTTCGTATCCGTTTTGCAAGCGTCGATGGCTATGAATGCCACGCACCACTTGTAGTATCGGTAACAGCGCCGTCAAAATGTTTGTGGGCTGTGGCTTCAGACACGCCAGCAGCTGCCCTCGCTCGAGTGGGCTAATAATCCGCAAGAAGGTTCAAAGTATATATGTTGTTGGTATCACAGGGTGTGCGATGCCAGTTGAATACGTACCTATTCAGTTTGTGTGAGTGGGTGTGTTTTTGTTCAGTTGGTTTTGCATACCTCTCACTAAATGGTATCGTAGCTACCTATATAGAGATAGCTACTTGAGATAACATAAACGGAATGGCAAACGGAGCAGTCAGGTGGTCTGAGATATGAAGGTGACTTGACTGTCTTGACTGGCTTGACTGGCTTGACTGGCTTGACTGGCTTGACTTGCTTGATCGCCACATCTCGCCTAGCCTTATTAGCTGCCAGGTGTTTGCAATTCTTGGATCAGAGGTTACCAAAGTTACTACTACAGTTTCGGAACGGACCGGAGTCTTAGTTCCAACAAGCTACAGTAGGACTGCGATCTGCATCGGAAAAAAAGCATCCGCCTGATTCTGATCGGCCTTTTCCAAAGTCAGATCAGAACCTATAGCTCTGTCGGCTACGTACGGTGAAACGAAGGCTAAATCTGGATAAGAGGTTGCGAGGATGCGAGGCCACATTATATATCACTATGGAATTATCCGATGATTCTCGCAGCTTACGAATCCCTCAGTGCGTTCCTATCCCAGTCTTTCGATACGCTTTGGGGATAACGCCCACGAATCACGTGTCCTTATCACTCGAGTGGCAAACGTGACCCATCAATGAATGTTAGGGTTACCCTACGCCACAAATCTTCCGTATATCTATCTTTCTACTCCCGTAGACAAAGTGATAGCTGCTCTGGGTTACATAAGCTCTCTGAGGTGGATGTTAAGACTGTAGTTCGAATTAGCGCCCGCCGCCAGCTACGAGACCACAGGATCCAAGCGAGCAAGCAAGTAAGCGAGCTACTACCGGTACTACAATCCTATGATGAATTCTCAACTCCACCTTCATACCTCCTCCTCTTGAACATCACCACACCCCCCCAATCCTCCCAATCCTCCCTATCTTGTTCCAATCCCACAAGAAGAGGCCGGTCGAGCTATCAAGACTAGTCGCACGCACTTCCATTGCTTCTCAGTCGCGCTCTGGATGCCATGGCAGACCTTGATGGGAATGACAAAATTGTGGGGGTGGATGAGCGGACGGGAGGGGGCAGCAAATCTATCGGCGGCAGCAAAGCCAGCGTCCAGGACGAGATCGAGGTTGCGAGGATTGAGAAGGTGTACAGGTAAGTAGGATAGATACCAAAATTCCTGTAATGTCTGCTAACGAGAATCTTTAGAAAAATCGATCGTCGCATCATCCCAGGTATTGATTTTCCTTGGGTTTCTTGATATGATATGGACATGTTCTAACATGAACAGCTTTCTGGATTCTCTACTTCCTCTGCTCAGGAATCCGCTCCAACATCGGCCTCGCTCAAACCATGAACACGTCGTCGGGCAACAATCTCATGCAGAAACTCAATCTGACCTCAAAGGAGACTTCAACGGCTCTAGCCCTCTTTTACGTCGCCTTCGTCCTCTTCAACCTCCCATCCAGTCTTGTCATGACCAGACTCAGCCCAAGAGTGTGGATGGCTAGGATTGTATTTGCTGTTGGTCTAGTCGGGGCTTGTTTTGCTGCTGTGAAGGCTGCTTGGAGTCTTCTGTCCGTTTCCCAATCATATAGATGAATTTGTAACTGACAGCATCCAGGCTCCTCAGATTTATCTTGGGCGTAGTGATCGCAGGTCTCTGGCCAGGCATGTCTTACTACCTGACACTCTTCTACCCTCCCTCCAGGACCGGCCAGCGGATCGGCTACTACTTCACTGCAGCCCAAGTTTCCGCCGCAGTAGTTGGCCTTGTGTCTGCTGGCTTCCAAGAGATGGACGGCTTGGGAGGCCTGGTCGGTTTTCAATGGATGTTCCTACTCTGGGGTCTTTGCGGCATCATTGTCGGTGTTATCCTGCTTTGGTGGCTTCCAGACCGACCTTTGCCACCTGGAGAAACCCGAGTCCGCACCGGCTTGGCGAAATGGATCCCATCGTCCCCTGAAGTCCTCCACGGGGAAGACGCAGAGATCCATTACAGAGACTTGACGAGAGTCTACCACCCCAGACCGTGGACACTCAAGGACCTTGCACAGGTGATCATGGACTGGCGTCTCTGGCCTCTAATCATCATGTACTTCGGTGTCGTCGGTGTCGGATTCGGCGTCCAGCTCTACGCAACCGTCATCATTTCTGGAATCGATCCGTCCTTCTCTGGCACTACTCTGAGTTTGCTAGTTGCTCCAATCTGGATCGTGCGTTCTCTATCCCTATTCCTTCCCGTCCTATACTGCAACTCCGCTAACCACCAAGACTTTCACAGATGGACCTAATAGCAATCCTCCTCGTGACCCCATTGTCCGACCGCTTCCACCACCATCGCGCTCTCTTATTCACTCTCGCAGTTCTCGTCCAAATCGCCGGTCTACTTACCACAACCTTCGCGCCACGCTCCCAGCCCTGGGCCCGCTACGGCGGGCTCCTGATGATCGGCTTCGGTCTCGGCCCAACAGTGCCTATCTGCATGACCTGGAGTAGCGAGATATTCCAGCCACGCCACGGCGAAGTCGGCGTCGCCTCTGCCGCCGCCTTGGTCTCCGGGCTTGGGAACCTAGGAAGCGTAACCACCACGTACGCGCTGTATACGGGCTGGCCGTCGGATGCAAAGAGAGGCCCGAACCAGTACCGCAAGAGCAACCTGACGATGATTGGGATACTGTGCGCCAGCATCCTCAGCAGTGTTGTGTTGACAGTGGCATTGAAGGTTGTGGGGAACGGCCCGGTTGCGAAGGTTACCGTGGGCGAGGAATTCGAGTCCAGTGATTTCCAGGACGGCGCTGCGAAACGCGAGCGTCAGCAGCGAGGCTTTGGAAAGATGTGGTGGAGCAAGAGCTCTTAGCTCCTTCCATCGCCGCCAATGTATTAAGTTCGGGGAGGGGGAAATAGCAGTGGGCGATCTTCAACAGACGACTTGCAACAGGAGGAACTTCGAACACGGTCGGTTTTCGGGATAGGAGCGGGAAATTTCAACCTCCCTTTCCTGTCCCTTGCGACGATGAGCCGTTGGATGTCGGCTTTGCACTTTGGCCTTGCTTTCTTGAATTTGTTTCCATTTAGTTTATTAGCGGAGATACCCCATTCAGCGTTTGTATATGCTATCATTCGAGGCACTACACTGCCTCGACAGTGAAAATGCCTTTCTGCGCTATCACTGGGACGGCGTATTTGGACCGAGGCGGCGCTCCGGGCGACAATGTTCTGCGCTATCGCTTGGCGTCGCCTCGTGGGTTTTTTTATATAGATGTTTTTGTGTGTACAGGATTCTAGATCAGATTTTCCAGTATCAAAATAATACGAAGGGCAACAAGGCGTTCCAATTGCTTCTATTCTGATGTGACACTGAGAATAGCTCGCTCAACTGGCTCAAAAAAGATAATACGTGAGGTTGTTGTGGGAAAGGTGAATTACCTCTTAGTCAGCATGGACCGTGCAATATCATCACGTGAACGGCGCAAGCGCTATGTCCGCTTTGGGTCTAGACTCGGAAAAACTTTTCACGCTAATGTACCTAGTGACGCCACTTCTCCCAAAGTCTCTCCGGATTAACCTTTAAGCATCAATCAGTCAATCCGAAGATCAGCCGCAAAGATCTACCGAAGAATAACCGAAGAACCGAAAGATGCACTGTGAGTTTTCTTCTTCCCTACTCCTATATAAATCGTAACCCACCGCAACACACTGCATCTGACCACCACCCACCACCACTGACTGACTTTTGTTAGCTAACGCAGCGCTTGATGCTGAGGTCGGGCGGATCCCCGCGGGGGGTGATGGCAAGTCACTGACACCTCGTCAGCGGCTCCTCCTCGCCCGGCTCTCCATGCGGGATAGGCACGCCCGCGCGAGTGCCATCTTCGATTCGAAGGGGCGAGTACGAGCCGCTTACCAGCGGTGGTGGAGGGAGTTGAGCCTGGCGCGCCTGGTGAGCGTGGGGCTGAGGGAGAAGAATCGCCCGCGGCCGTCGACGGGAGGAAATACGCGGCCGAAGGAGAGCGAGAGCGAGCCTGATATCAGTGACTTGTTCAGCGACACTGAGGAGGAGGATGACGGCGACGACGAGAGCGGCGAGGAGGAGGGTGACAACGAGAGCGGCGAGGAGGAGGGTGACAACCGTATGGGTTTGGGAGGAGAGAGGGAGGTGCCAGTCGTATGGATGCATGAGATGGATCTCCCGGCGACAACAACGCTCCTCAAAGAGACCGACCATGGAATGTGCATCGACGACGTCGATGGAGAAAGACATGTGCTTGACATCCGCCTCCACCTCCCCACGCTTACGCCTCGAAGTCTATTCCGCCAAATCGACAAGGCTGTCACCCGAGCATACCCTCACAGAGAATGGGGAACTCTTCGCCTGGTCAATGTTGAATTCTCGAATGAAGTGGAGGACGACGGAGACATTGACTTTTTTGTGCTCAAGACAGATGAAAGCCTGAGCGACGAGATCATGGGTATTCTGAATGATGAGAAGGTGTTCTGTCAGTTTGCTGTTGGTTATGATGTTGTAAGCAGGGAGGTTGCGAAGAAAGCCCGCTCGAGCTGAAGGCAATGGATTCGATAATTAGAAGTCCGCACTACAGCAATACAAGGGAGTGAAGAGGGTCGATAACTACGGTCATTCATATGTGATGTAAACAAGGTATGTAAGTAAGCTAACTTAAACAACGGGGGTATCTTGACGCAAGCAACGCAAGGCGGCCTTCCATATCGCCTGCAACCATAACTGTGAATCTCCTCTCCGTACGTAGAAGCTTGAAATAGAGGCAGTCGGATCAACGCCGAGTTTCATCTTGGACTCGCCATGTGGCTCTCAATTGAAGCATGCCGCTTATGCATTAATGGCGAGTTCTGTAACTCCGCCACGACTCCCATCCAGCCCGTCTTTTGAGGTGTTCCCACCTGATCATTGTGTCCCATCGCCTGCGTTGTGAGCCTTCGAAGCGGGGGTTTCCTTGTGACGCCCTCAAGCAAAGCGTGATTCAGACCCGGCCGTACCACCGTCCTCGGTGATACATGCTTCTCAGGATCCCGCGGATTCTTTTCTTCAGAGGTGCCCTGCGCCGCCACCAGGCCCATGTACACGACCAAGAAGCGCATCCTCAACATATCGAGTCTCCGAACCTGCTCCTCCAACCGCTTCCGCTTCGTCGCCCACAGGAATCTTGTGCTCGACCGCATCCTCGTGCCCCCGTCATCAACTAGCAGCCCATTCAGATCCTCCCTCAAGTCATCGCCGCACTTCTGTATCTCCCTCAACAACTTCCCCATGCGCAGCTTATCCTCCAACATCTGCACCTTTGCAACATCGCGGTCGTACGACTCATTCTCCTGAATCGAGAAGTCGACGGCGTTGACAAAGGTCGTGATCTCGTTGGGCGCGACAAGGTAGGCTGTGGCGTAGGTAGTGGCGACTTGGACGACGACGAACAGCGAGACCAGACAGGCGGTCAGCAGGAGCAGGATTGTGAGGATGGGCAGATCAGCGGTGTCTGCCATCTGAGAACTTTTAGGATAGGAGGGAGGATGGGAGGTAGATGGGTGGTTGGACGCTACTTTCGCATGCTGGAAAGGGAGTTCGAGGGGCGAGAAAGAGACGGGATAATGAAAGATATCCTCGTGAACGGAACGGATGGTACTTACTTACTTACAACCCAGTCGTTCTGTGGTTGTGTCGGTGTGTATGGACCAATCCAGGCCAAACGACCCTTGCACTTGCATCACTTGGGGACCATCACGGTACAGTGACAGTGCCTTGCATTGTCGGATTCACCTATCTTCGTTGCTTTGCTTTGCTTCGCTTTCCTTTGATTTGTGTACAATATTAAATCCTGCGTGTAAGTAACGAGCGGAGGGATTGGCGAGTAGAAAAAGGCTGCGCCTTCTACTGTATAGGACTGACAAGTATGTGCCGGATGAGAGAAGTGAAGTTGCAAAAGTGCGTGCTTTGACAGCTCAAGTCGCACGGCACGGCACGCAACTCTCGGAGCCGGGACCCCCATCACCGACCGACCGCATGAGATACCACTGTATTCCTGCAAATCACTAAGTACCACGACCCTAATTTTTTTTTTTTTTTCGCCGCGACCTATGATATCAACATGATGGAAGCCCCAAAATTACCACCAAACCACCCAGTGCCCGTCACCTCCAACCTCCCCTCACTCCCGCCAACCTTTCTCTACCCCTCCTCTACCCCTCCACAGCTCGTCACCCAAGGCGCCGAAGCCCTCCTCTTCCGCAGCACCTACCTGCTCCCCTCGCTGCCCTGCGCGCTCAAATACCGCCCTCCCAAACCCTACCGCCATCCTATCCTCGACCAGCGCCTCACGAAACACAGAATCCTTTCCGAAGCGCGCGTGCTGGCGAAGTGCAGGAGAGAAGGCGTGCCCGTGCCGGCGGTGTATGCGCTGGATGAGACGAAGGGATGGATGATGGTCGAGTGGATCGAGGGCGAGGTGGTGCGGATACGGGTCAACGAGTGGTTGCAGCGGAGGAAGGAGGGCGGCGTGCGGGAGGGTGAGGATGATGGGGAACTGGTCGGGCTGATGGCGCGGGTGGGTGATGCGGTCGGGAGGATGCATGCCGTGGGCGTTATACATGGGGATTTGACGACGAGTAACCTGATGTTGAGGCCGCGGGGGAGGCAGGGGATTGAAGGGGGCTCGGTGGAGGGAGAGAAGTTGCTGGATGGGGAGATCGTGCTCATAGATTTTGGGCTGGCGAGTCAGAGTGTGCAGGACGAGGATCGCGCGGTGGATCTGTATGTGCTGGAGAGGGCGTTTGGAAGCACACACCCTAAGGCGGAGAGTCTGTTCAAGGAGGTGCTGGCTGCGTATGGAAAGAGCTTCAATGGTGGGCTTGTGGTGCTGAAGAAGCTGGAGGAAGTGAGAATGAGAGGGAGAAAACGGAGTATGCTTGGTTGATGTGGAAAATTATCGGCATTGCTCAAGCGTAGCCAAAGACCAACGCGATCATGTAGCGGGCCTGTCTAGGGAGAAATCTGCAGAAAGGCCGCCCAGATACAGAACCAATTTACAAGGCGCCAAACTCCAATCGCCGTCCTCTGTCTATGTATGTCCTCAAGGGGTTACTCGTTCAGCTCTGCAACTGCAAAGTAACCCTTGTTCTCAATGACCCCTCTATCGCGAACGACTGCTGTATACTTGACCACCCATTCTGGTTTCAAATCCCCTCTCATTCCGTTGATACCTCGCTTGGACTCGGAAAGTACCCCAGCTCCTCTGATGCCCTGACCAAGAAGTTCCCTCAATGTACCCGTAGGTAGTATATCGGTACAATCGTTATGTGTAAGAAGCTCGATTTTCTCTTTCTTCGCAAGTTTCATAAGAGGGGGAGGGACGTTGCAACAGTCCTTGATGTTGACTTGGTCAACCTGTGGGCGCACTTTTACTTGAGCAAGGAATCTTGAGAGTTTCTCACTGCCGAATTCCGAAAGACCCAGTCGCTTAACAACTCCTTGATTATATAGTTCCTCGACGGCCGGCCATGATGCTATCTCGTGCTCGTCGTTCCCTTGCGTTGAGTTCTTCTTGTCTGCTTCCCACTCGCAGTCTCCCTCGAAGGACATACCTGGAAAGGATATGATGAGTAGATCAATATGATCGACGCCCAGCTTCTTCAAGACCAAATTCATGGCATCATTAGTGTGCCGCGCCCTGTCTTTTACACTTGCGCTATGGAGGTAGAATAATTTGACGGTTATGTCGTACTGGCTTCGCTCCTCGGACAGCCCAGAGAGTGACCAGTCAATCGTAGGCACATAGAAGTCTGCTCCGTCCCGTGTGGTCCAGATTGAAGATTGCGGCCTTCGATAGAAAGGGTCTTCCTCAGAGCTACTGCTTCGGGGACTGCCGCTCGTAGGACTGTTGTTAGAGGTCGTCGCGGACAAGGGAGGAGAGTAGTCTTGCTGAGCAGCAAGGAAGTTCCTTCGTAGGGAATTCGTAAGTTCGAGGTTCGAACGATCGGTGCCGGGCTTCCTTATAATCGACGGACCGCCGGTGATAATGTTCCTGAGTGGGGTATAATTAGCAGGAGTTCTTTCTCAAGTCCGAAGAGCGAACGAATTGAGATCCATACGAGGTGGAAAGTATCAACCGCGTCATAATGGCGAACTGTCTTTGAGACAAAGTAGATGTGTTTTCAGAGATTCAAAGCCCCTGGAGCCTCGTCGAGAGGAGATATGATGGAGGATCGGTCGGGAGGGGATTCTCGATGGTGGGGGTTTGGCGGGATGATGCGGTTGCGACAAGATGCGACGAGCGTTTCTGTGGAAATGTACTTATGCTTGTTTATAGTGTAGGAGCAATAGGAAGTCTATCATTAAAAATTGATACGGATAGGAAAATGGAAGGTATTTATGAACATATCGAGTACACTGGAAGAGGAGATGCTTCCAAACGGCATGAGATCATTAGTAAGTAATGTCGAGGATGGACCCGGAAACCCCACTAAGCCAAGCGCAAAATTCCACATGTCACGTCCGCAGCCGGGAACGGTAAACCTCCCCTCGCATCTGCACCACATCCAGAACAGCTTGTGCGCTGGAAAAACTCACAACCATTTGCGGAAATGGCCATAAAGTAAGTTGGCAAGATCTTTGATATTATTCGGCTTCGCTAACATGATGATGCAGCTATCTGATCTTGCTCTCGCGGCAGGGTAAAGTCGTATGTATCCTCACCACCTATTTATATGCTCCCCCACAGTACTGAGCGGTCAATAGAGGCTCGCGAAGTGGTTTACCACACTCTCGCCCAAAGACAAGGGCAAGATAATTAAGGATGTCTCTCAGCTCGTGCTGGCCCGGCGGACGAGAATGTGCAACTTCTTAGAGTACAAAGGTTGGAGATACTGGCCAGCCTCTTAAAACCAGCGGCTGATGCAATGGCAATGCTGCAGATTCAAAGATCGTGTACCGTCGCTACGCCTCTTTGTTCTTCATTGCTGGATGTGCCTCGGAGGATAACGAGCTCATCACCTTGGAAATCGTTCACAGATACGTCGAGCAGATGGACAAGTACTACGGCAATGTGTGCGAGGTAAGTCTCATGCCTGGAAGTAACTGCTCTTGAGACTAACATCATAATTACAGTTGGACATCGTATGTGTTGAGAGCTCATGATCTTCAGCGTCCATGCCTAACGACGATAGATTTTCAACTTCCAAAAAGCCTACTTCATCCTGGACGAGCTTCTCATAGCAGGGGAGATGCAGGAGAGCAGTAAAAAGAACGTACTGAGGGTGATTTCGGCACAAGACTCGATAGAAGATACCGAGGTAAGTAAAAAGCTCTCTTTACTTTTATATTATACCGACAGGCGGTACGTGCCTACTACGCCTCATATTTCAAACTGACACATCATCCCCGTACACCAGGTCGACGAGGAAGTTACGAGAATAATGTGACAATGCCATATACATATATACAATTTGTACAAACATACAGGTGGCGATTGGCGTTAGGAGCTTAGCAAATGAACAACTCGGACTTGCATCCTTACCAACGTATACTTAAGCTAATTTGAAGCTTACTATTTTATAGGAAGAAGAAGGTGTTGCAGACAGTCTTAGACACATGGGCATCCTTTGAGGCGATGGGATGGGCTTGATATTGGGGCGTTCTTGAGGATGGCAAAAACGATACCAATTTGGCTCGCAACAGACACCTTCGAAGCTCTGGCTGTTGAACGAACTCGGAATTGGCGTTTTATACATCGACTGGAGCAAAGGGAATGGCGCCGGAATGCATGAATTTTAATGATAAGTACAGTCTTTAGGGCCTTCTGCCTCGCTCGTTACTCACACTGGGACTCGATGAGTGAAACTGCTAATGCAAGAATGCCGGCCTCGTATTTTTCCCGGCAAGTAACAGCAAGCGAACAATCAACGGGTTACAAGAATACGCTGTCAACTGGCTCGGATCCAATCCAGTTCAACTCTGCAAGACACCGCCACCATATCCAATGACTGATTGTGTTCCTCGAAATCTAGCCACATTCATCCCACTTGCAAGCAGAGGGCGACTTCTGTGATTCAGTGGTCCTATTCCCGTCTCCTTATTTGTTTCTCCTCCATGGCACATCTCTATACCTGCTGACAAGGCAGGAAAGAGCCCACCCACTCAGTCCACCCAACAGTTTGTAACACAGATATCTATCTCGGCACCTCAAATACGACAACACTCGACAGTCAAGTTTGGTCCAGGTGTCTGTCTTTTTGTACTATACTGCTTCGAACAGAGCTCAAGAACACACTCATCCAGTATCTACCCAATAGTTCTGGCCCGTTTTCTACCCCCTCGGTTTCTAACATTCTTCCACTGGCCGGCAAAGTGTACAACTATCCCAGGCGCTTGTCCGGGTAATGCGCTAGTCCCAGTCCGGACTAGGCCGCAAGTAACCCCGATTCGCCATCTTATCTCTAGTCTCCACTCCCTGCAACTCCGCTTCCCTTCGACTACAACACACCTACCAATCCACCCTCTCCTTTTCAACGATACTATCGACAACAACAACAAAGAATCCCAGATTTTGAAATGCCCTCCACCTGCTAGACTTTAGTCTAGTTGAGATCACTCAGATCTGTCCTCTGCCCCCAGCGTAGGAAAGAGTCTCTCTCTGCATCTCAGCCTCAGCAGGTCATCAAATCATCTCCGTGGAACATACGTCGCTGCGTCTGCGGTCGCCCCCCGATAGACAGGTCCCTATCACCAACTCTGTGAATCTCCGAGGAATTAAAGTTCCTGGCTGTCAGTTCTCCGAGTCTGCAGAGTCCTCCGCAAGGTCGTCTTCTTCACAGAAAACTCGGGCTCCGTCGCCACAAGCTTCTACTCCTCCGATAACGCGCATTCAAACCCCAACACCTCTGCCATCCTGATCGCGTTGATAAGCAGAGATATAGTTCTAGGCCCTTGCGATTCGCCAATATGAAGTTCCTACCCCTTCGCGACTTCGACGATGTCACGAGCGCGTTGAATTTCGATACACCAGAATGCCACGTCATTGGCGGATGCGATCTTTACACCACCAAAGCCGCAGGCTCGGATAAGAAACTCTACCGCGATATTGATCGGTCCTTGGAATCACAGTACCAGTCCCTCGTCCGACTGTCGGCCTCGTTCCCACCAGACGCCCTTGGTTCCTCGCCTTTGAACCTCTCTCGATCCAGCCCTTTTGGTTCACTGAGTCAGGTCTCTAGCCGCCGGACGTTTGCATACCTGATCGCGACGCTCAATGCGAGTCACCCGGATTATGATTTCTCACACATCCTCAGGCCCGCCGACTTTAGGAAGGAACGAACCCTGAAGAATGTCATCAATACAATCGACTCTACCCTTCATAACTTGAGGCCAAGCTCAGGTATGATGACACTCCAAGTCCCATCGCAGATTAGCTACACAACAGCCTCTTCGGCCTCCCCAACGAGCCAGGCGTGGGGTCCGCAGATGTGGTCATTGATAGACAAGGAGATGAACCTCAAGGAATGCACTGTCTACTGCTGGGCCCCTCCTGATGAGCCTTTCGACGGCGAAGAAGGTTCTATTTGGAGTCTGAACTACTTCTTCTTCAACAAGGACTTGAAGCGCGTAGCATACCTGTATGTTCGCGGTGTGCCGGTAATGACTCATACTCCCCGGCAACGTGTGATTTCGCCCAAGAGAAGCGCCAGTGGCTATGATTCAGGAGCAAACAAGCGGGCTAGCTACTGGCTGGGAGACCGTGCTCTCGATGTTACTACTACTGATGCGGACGCAGACGAAGAGGACGAAGATCTCAACTTGACTATGTGGAGCAACGGAGATGAAATCGACGCAGATGAGAGTGATGTTCCTTTTGACGGCGATGAGTTCTGCGATAATTACGATGACGACGATGATGCTGACGAAGAGTATGAGCCGGAGTGCAAGGGTTTGGTTCGAGGTGTGAGTGAGGACATTGCCGCTATGGACATGCAGCTTTGAGTTACTTTCATTTTGCTTTTATTCGTCAAGCGTCCGAGGGCTGCTGGTTTCAGTCTGCAGTACGACTGATTTGCACATCATAATACCACTTCTGCCTGTACGAGTTTTTCTTTTAGGTCTTCTAGGAGTATTTTTATGGGGGTACTGGGGCAATCCTCCATGGCAGGCGTTCATTCCTGAGTCGGTGAGAGCGATTTGGAATGGCGTTAGGATTGAGATGGGACACAGTTGGGGCACGTCTGGATTTTCCGAGTCCGTTGCATAGTCGCTGGATGATCGTTGCTGGTTTCTCCATGTTACATACTTTCATGACCAATTCATCAAATGAGTGAAGCTTTCCCGTCCATGCTATCGTGATCCTAACATGTCGAGCGTCCTCCGATGTGTAAGAGTATGTATAATGACGACAATCTTCCTAGTTTTGTGAAAATATGCAGCGGAAGATGGTTTCAACGTCTAAGGAGCAATCAAGGCGACGATACAGTACCCTGAGACTACCTCCAGTGCACTAATGGACTGGGCGAACCGTATCCTCTACCCTCGGGACATGCAAGCAAGAAACCTAGATCGTGGTCAATACCTATTGATTTTCGATCCATCGCTGCGGAGTTCCTTTGCTCGACAGGCAGATTTATTTACGAAATTCATGATAAGCGCGCTTCGCCTTTCGCATTTCTATACCCAGCCGGCTAGAATCGGTAGGTTGGATGAAATAGATGATGAGCGGATATATGGGCCCGAATTTTTCGATGGGGGAGTTCTCCGATTGGGGAGTTCTCCCCCGCCTGTGTCAGTATTCTGCGGTCGGTCTGCGGTTGTGAGTGAATGGATGGATGCTAGATAGATGTTAATGTTGGCTGCATGATCTTGGAAAAGGCCTCCGTCCGCAGGAGCGAAGGTCCATGTCGCATGGTCTCTTGAGCTGGAATGGCTTGTAAGAACGCATATATGTAGATATACATTATTTAACATGGGGGTAATACTGGGAATATATATATATACATATTTATTATTTTTATGAAACGAGCGATATCGTATATTTACCCATCCTGCTGTATTCTAGGCATTTTTACTTTCATAAAGCAGCTGAGCCGATGATTGTCATTGAGAGGATTCGCATGCGGCAGTCTAGGCCGCGGGCTCCTCGCTTGCGGGGAAGACTCTGATCGTCACGCCAAAAAAATTGATAGGAACATAATTATTATGTCTGCACCTGGCGACAACAAGAAGGTGCCCGCCCGGGTAGCTCAATCGGTAGAGCGTGTGGCTCTTATGACAACAAATAGATCACCTCAAGGTCGTGGGTTCGAGCCCCACCTCGGGCTCAATTCCCGAGGTTTCCGTGTGGAAACTTCTTTCTTTTTGCACTTTTCTTGTATTGTATACTGTGTCTAGGTTTGTTAAATCAAAAATTTGCAAAGGCTGACTGACACATGAACGTTTTTTTTTTTGCGTCCTTTCTCTGCAGATTGTACCCTACCCTGCACACGCCAGAGAAAAAGTTCCTTTGGAATTTTGGAAATGAATAGTACCCGGATTTTTGGTTTTGTTTGTATTCCCAGTGATGGGCGAGTGAGGATAGCTTTCAAGGTAGGTGAGCAGCAGAGCGTTCAGGGCGTCGTCAATAAGGGTATGCTGCCTGTTACTTCAGTGATTAGGGAACTTGGATCAATCATGAGTATCTGCACTGCAGTTAAGTAGAGAAGGCCACGACAATGATTGGTTTCATGAATGGCCAGATGTCCATATAGCAAGTAGAGTCCGATGTGAGAAACTTCTTGCACACTTGGGCCAGAAAATAAATTTGACGTGCTTGTTCCAAAAAAAAAAGTCGGAAGTGAAGAGACCAGAGAAAGCAAGTGGCCTGTAATGAGATGGATGTCAGTGAAGCATATGCTCTAAGCTTCTGCCTGTAACCCATCCAAAAGAGAGATATCGTAGCGAGGAGATGCATGGAGACATAACTTACCACACTTTTGGATGATTTCGAAGTCTGTATATCAGTTTTATTTACACTTGTGTTCTGACGTATTCACCAGGAAGAAGAAGAAGAGAGTCTTATCAAAAAAGAGACGAAAACGTAAGCCCACTATTAGATCGATGGAAGCATCAAAATGTTCTTCAAGGTACACCAACAAGCAGGCCCAAGGCTTGCACCGAAGTCTGGCTGACAGTCCATTACACATGACTGCGGAGAGTTAGATGCCTTTGGTGTGACAGTGCTATGAGTTTTTCATCGACTGCAAGCTGGAAGATATCCAACGAAAGTGGTTTATATGGAGAGCTCAACGAGAATACTTGAGCAGGGACATTGCCTTCAAGGTCCATCCCGCTATTTTTTTTTATAGCCGAGACAACCCGAACGCGTGCACGGCGCGTCTCACTCCCAGAGTATTTCCAGACCAACATTTGCCCAACCACCACACAAACCACGGCACAACTAAACCAGAATGGTTGCGTGCCCAATCTGCGGGAAGAGTGTCAAATCGACAGATATCAATCCCCATATTGATTCATCGTGCGAAAAATTCATCGAAACAAAATCCCCGCCCCTTACCCAGCAGACGCAGAAACCCCCAATCTCCGTCTCGACTTTCTTCCAAACACCAGCTGCAAAGAGAGCTGCCGGTACTACGCCGAAGTCGGAACCAGGCCCAACGCTGAGCTTTCAGCCAAAACCTCAGAGCAATGGCATAATTACCCCGAGTCAACCGGCGCGGAAGAGATCTTTTGAGGATATCGCCCCTCCCATCAAAGATGAGAGAGAGGTGGATGCTGCAGTCGGACCAGAAGAGGAGCAAAAAGCGAAGAAGGCCAAGACAAATGCTTTCCAGCAAGCAGCGCCTCTGGCCGAGAGAATGCGCCCCAGATCACTTGATGACATCTGCGGGCAAGAATTGGTTGGGCCACAGGGAATCCTAAGGAGCTTGATCGAACAGGATAGAGTGCCGTCGATGGTTCTATGGGGAGGTGCTGGAACGGGAAAGACGACAATCGCACGCTGTATAGCGTCTATGGTCGGAAGCCGATTCGTGGAGATCAACAGTACAAGTTCAGGTGTGGCTGACTGCAAGAAGATTTTCGCAGAGGCGAAAGGGGAGTTGGGTTTGACAGGCAGGAAGACTATCATTTTTTGCGACGAAATACATCGGTTCTCGAAGACACAGCAGGATGTGTTTCTGGGACCCGTCGAATCTGGGCAGGTCACCCTAATTGGAGCCACAACAGAGAATCCCTCTTTCAAAGTTCAGAATGCATTATTGTCAAGGTGCCGGACATTTACGCTGGCGAAGTTGACAGACGATGATATATTTCGGATACTTGAGCGAGCTCTTACCGTGGAGGGACACAATTATACGACATCAGACCTGGTAGACTCAGAACTCCTCAGATATCTTGCTGCATTCTCAGATGGAGATGCTCGGACAGCACTCAATCTCTTGGAATTGGCTATGGGGCTATCAAGTCGACCATCGATCACCAAAGAAGAAATCAAGTCTTCCTTGACGAAGACTCTGGTATATGATCGAGCTGGGGACCAACATTATGATACGATTTCTGCATTTCACAAGTCGGTTCGAGGCAGTGACCCAGACGCTGCGCTTTACTACTTGGCTCGGATGTTACAATCAGGGGAGGACCCCTTGTATGTGGCGCGCAGAATGGTCGTTATAGCCTCAGAAGACGTCGGACTGGCTGATAACAGCATGTTGAGTCTTGCAACCGGAGCATACACGGCAGCGGAGAAGATAGGGATGCCTGAGTGTAGGATCAACCTGGCGCACGTCACGGTAGCACTCTGCTTGGCCCCGAAGAGCACAAGAGCCTATCGTGGCCTGAACAATGCTTATGCTGCATTACGAGAACCCGGCGTTGCCAGTTTACCTGTCCCGATACACCTGAGGAATGCTCCGACAAAGCTGATGAAGGAGCTTGGCTATGGCGACCAGTACAAGTATAACCCGAACTACAAGGACGGCAAGGTGGAACAAGAATACCTTCCCGAACAACTTCAAGGACGTACATTTTTGGAGGACAGAGATCTAGGAACCGAAATCGACCCGGGCGCCTGGTCTTGAGAGTACATTGGAAACGATAAAAGGGGGCAGGTTTTTGAGTATTAGCGAGGCGTTGGTGTCACCCGGCATCGTGGGACAAGTGCATTGTTTATAGGACATTACCCACAATACTTTGATTACATGTCATCCAATTCCCACTCCTTCCCTTACCTGATATGCAAATTACGTTGAAGTGTCACGATCCAAAGTCTGAAAAGTATTATCACCAGCGCTACCATGCTGTTTCGGGAATCCAGCACTTTCCCCGGCGTCGGCATTATCTCTCACGAACTTCTGCCCCGCCAACGTCCCCGAGTGTCATTTCTCGACCCTATCTCCGAGTTGGAACTCGCGTTCTTCGCAATCTTGGTTGCAGTTGTTGGTGGTGGTGGTGGTGATTGTATGTGTTTGATGTAGAATACTTTTTTGATCTACAGAAGGGAAAAGCATCAAACCAGATCGACACTCATGACATCATCCCACCGAGACAAAACCAAAGCGTCCTATCTGAGCACAAAGATCCGGCTCAGATGAGGTCCATGGATTTCCGAGTACCATGGACATTTTTTTGCCGGACTGTGAATATCCATTACATGCGTAGAATAAACATGATTTGCCGGAAATGCCAAGAAGACACCAGACACCGACGTCAATAAGGAGGGGGCTGTGGCAAATGTCACGTGTATCTATTCCCAATGTAACAAGCATCGTTGATCGGATGGCAGAAGCTTAAACGGGCCGGCATCGATGCGGGCGCTGGAGACAATGCGGTTTGTTTGATACCGATCGATTTGTATCATATCGGGAACAGTTGCCAGTCAAGCAGCTCCTCCATAAGCTCCTCTCAATCCCAGCTATGATATGCAGTCCAATGCCAATACCAGCAGTACCAATACCAGTGTACCAGTTCCAGCCCAACCATCGATCAAACCTTTCACCTCCATCAACGCTGAAGGAGCCAATCTACTTCGTCGCATCCTTAGGCAGACCATCCAAACCCTCCTTTCCCTGTCTCCCAACCTTACTCAAATCAGCACACCCCTCCTCTCTAACGCCACTGCCCAAGGTAGCAGGTCCGCCGGAGAGGCCAGTATCCGAAACCTCGCTGTTGGACAGCTCCGCTTGCTTGCCGTCGGACTTGGCGTTGATGCTCTCGCTCGCGGAGTTCCAGTCTGACTTGACGGGAGGGTCCTCGGGGAGGGGAAGGTTGGAGACGCGCTCGTCGATGATTTCTTGCTTGCTCTTTTGGCCGGACATTGTGTATCTTCTGATGGGATGGGTTAGCGTGGGCAATTGGACTTGGGTGAGAGGAGCTTACGGTTTCAGGAGATCTTCTTTGGGTATTGAAACGGAACGTCCTGAGGGTTTAATAGTTGCGTGGCGTTGCTGTTTGTTGTTTGTTGTTTGTTCTTGGTTGAATAAGGTAGGAATCCACCGTCGAGCTGAAGTACTTGTAGCAGCGAATGTCGACCCAACTAGCTCCATCTATGACATATGAGCCCCTCCTTAGCAATAACTTCCCTGTCCATCACATAACTTGATAGTCTCTACGAAATGACGTCGAGTGCGGGATGGTTCAAAGTTGATTTGTGGAGATCGACCCATAGGCAGTCGTGTACTCGGTGCTATTTTTGATTTAGGGCCAGGCCAAAAATCATATGCAATTTTCAAAATGTCGCAACCTAGCAATAAAAGATTAGATCTTGTCAATTCTTTTCTGACTGTATACCGGTTTGATGCTTGGATATCTTAATATAAAGTTAAGATTATCCAGCTTTTGGTTATCGAGATATTGTCGTCAAAACCGAAGTATTAAGACCTCGCTTATCTCCCAGATCCTCAGTTAAAACACGAGAACAACCCGACAGATACAAGGAGACAGGCATAGGCACAGAGATCACCACCGTAGCATCTCTTTTCATATAGTTGGTATCATTAATCAGCACAAATCAACGCCGTTTGGCATAATATCCTCAACTCCAAAAGCGCAACCTTTAATGATCCTCCGAAATCATGCGGCTCTCTTGTCCCCAGCCTCTCCTGCGACGGCCTTATCTGCTGCATCAAAATTCAAGTAGTCGGCATCCTCAGCTGCTTCGTACTCCGCAATAAGATCAGTCACAACTTCTCTGGCTTCGTCGAACTCGTTCAAATTATCGGAAAAGGGGGCCGTCTTCTTGTAGCCCTCCATGAAGGCGTTTCGCTTTCTCATACCATCGTACTGTCTCACAATTCGCTTGAACAGCTGCGCGCACAATATTAGTCTTTAACGTGGAGGGAGTGCTGTTCGAAAACTTACTGTAGCTATGCTGGTATGGTTTGCCAACATGAGGCCGCTCACTCTGTGTTGCATGGGAATGTATGGGCTCTTCTTCGTCAATGCCACTTGAATACTGGCCGGACCCCAGGGAATAAAGGTAGCAAGTTTGCGTTCCCTGATTCGGAGAAGGCTCTTGTGCACATCTGTAGGATCTACGTCACCTTGGATGACATTCAGGATTGAAATGTAGCAACTTTTCTTCCCCGGGACAGTTGATACCATACGATTTTTCGGCTGGAGAAGTCGGCGCATGACATCCAGAACAGTTGTCTTTCGCACAGTTTTGGCCTGCTCAAGGTTGTCTCCTGTAAATGGTGTATATGCGGTCATGAGAAAATGGCAGCGCGGAGTCGGTATTAACGAAGCAACAATGCTGACAAGATCATTGTGCATGTATCCAGGGTATCGGAGAGTTGTGGTACTAGCCGACATGACCGTTGATACCTGTCCCAGCATTAGTATTTGCATTTTAATTCACGTTTTGGGAGTCCTACCAGCTGGTTGGTTTGTTGGAAAGAAGGTTCCTGGACATGCAAGCGATCTGCTGCTATCCGGGACAAAGCACCATTGTCGAGGACCACTACGGAATCAGCATTCTGAGTTAACCGCCTCATCGAAAGCAAGCTGTTGTATGGATGAACCACCACATCGCCTGAATTTGTCGTGTCTGGGAATACCGAGTATGTCTGGAGAATCTTCTTCGGAAATCGATCATTCAGTCGCTCGAGGAGGAAAGAGCCCAAACCAGATCCAGTTCCTCCGGCTATCGAATGAAGCATCATGAAGCCCTGCAGAGGTCAGCACTTCTGCATATAGGCATGCGCCGAATTTCCCTACCTCAAGGGAATCACTGCCATCTGCTTCTCGGTCTATCATCTCCATAACATCCTCGTGAACTAACTCTCCAGTCTGGTATCCATCTCCCCAGTTATTGGCCGCTCCGACTCCATTCTTTCCAACAAAGAAGTTCTCGGGGTTGTATATGTTCTTGTAAGGGCCAGTCTGGATACCATTGATGACCTGGATTTTGTTAGTAATTGGCCCAGGCTTAGTTCGCCAGAGTCGTGGCCCATTTTAATACGTACTCGAGGCTCCAAGTCGATCAGAATTGCTCTTGGGATGTATCTCGTGTCGTCAGACTGGTAGAAGAAGACGTCTTTCCGGTCTCCGCCCTCGGTTGCAAAGTCCTCCAGGTTTCCATCCTGACTTATGCCATGCTCCTGGCAGAGCTGCTGCCAAAATTGACTTCCAACTGGATGTCATTAGAACGATATCATCAAATCACGATCGGATTTCAACTGACTGCTGTTGCCACACTGGCCGGCCTGGACCGTGATGATTTCCCTGACCGCCGCGTTAGATGGGTGCTTGGTACACAGTCGGAGGGTGCGTCTTAGCCTACCGAGGCATTATCGAATCATGAATATCAGTCTGCAAGTATGATGGGTTTCAGGACAATAGAGGCCTGAATTTTAAGTCGCATATGGTCCAGTACCTTTGTCGCCGCGTCGATGCAGATGTGGCCGGGGGACGCGTTTGGGTCTTAGCGCGCAGTTCAGTATTTTTGAACTGGTTGGTGCTCAGAGCACCCTTTCACTCCAGCCTCAACAACATCCTCACAGCAACTTTGAGCTGCGGCAGCGATACAGTACCCAGGGCACGACCACAAAAGGTACCGAAAAATCCGTACAGTATTCTTTCCGCGAACCCCGTCACCATCGTTGTCCAACCTCGCTCGCTCGCGCAATGGCTTTTCAAGTCCCAGCCAGCTCCAGCCCGCCCTCAACACCAGACAGAAGATCTGGCAATAGCAATACCTTCCCGTTCAGCGTAAACTTCTCGACGACTCCGGCAGGCCCTCCGCCTTCTTCGACCGCCTCGTTCACTCCAGCTGGACAGCCGCCGTCACTGTATGGAAGCTCTGTTATGGGCGGCACACCCTTGAAGCCTCTCTCGTTCTCTCAAAATTCCGCATTCAACCCAGCGTCTTCCCCGCCAGCCAACTTTAGAAGACCAGCTGCTCCTCCAGCCCGGTCTGGCCTCAGTCATGAGTATCAAGCCTCCCCTCAACTTCAACGATCTTTCCGAGCCCTATCGAGTAAAGATGGAGATGAGTACGATGACGAAGACGATAACCAATTCAACGACAGCCAAAGATATGGAGAATTCGCAGATGAAATAGAAGATGACAGTCATTACGAAGAGGATTCAGCGGACGCTGATATGGATGATGGTGGATCTGAATTTCCAACTTCAAGAACAGGGGGTAATAGATACTCTCAGCAGAGTCTACGCTCGACGCCAGGAGGCCTTAAAAGAAGTAGAGAGGGAGAACTGCTTGAATTTGGAGATTCGGTCGCCCTGTCGATATCGCAGCCCGAAATATCACAGTTTAGAGCCATCGCGAAGGACTTGTATTCCCGGATGGAACCACCACCACTAAAAGAGTCGGACGAGCTCGTTCTCACTACTGAAACTATCATGGAAAAGCTATATCAAGAGGGCGTGGGCGCATCGGACGACGATGATCAAATTGAAGAGGCATTGACATCAGTTACAAAGGAGCTTGTCGAGGTCTGGGCAGCTTACCGCAGCCAAATCGCTGTTGTCCACTCCGAGGAATATACAGCGAGCATTGGCCCGACCTCCGGGGCGCCAGATTTTGAGAAGGCAGAATTTCTGGCCGATCTCACTTTACAGATACAGCATCCAGACAAGATCTCGAAATCATTTGATCGAAAGGTTATGCCCCTTCCGCAAATATTACTGGAGTGGCTTGAAAGAAAACACAACCCATACCCTTTGCAACTCCAGGAGCTCGCAGCCACGAAACCCAGTCCCTCGAGCTCCAAACTTTTCTGGGAGTCCATCTTCACTAACCTTCTTCGAGGCAAGGTTCTAGGAGTTATTGAGATTCTGAACAATGCTGGATGGAGGACTGCTCGAGTTGATGACGAGACATTGCGTACCCAGTTTGGACGAGTAGGATACTTTGGCGCAGCTTTGGAGAATGTCAATTATGTCGTGGAAGAGGCAGCCAAGGCCCTGAAGGAATGCCCAGGAGTGCGAGGAGATTGGAATACCAAAAGTAGCGACTGGACACTCTTCCGCATACATATGTCGCAAGCGCTGGAGAGACTGAAAATGTATGCCGGAGGCGACAAGAAAGGCACCAGCAACGTGGACCCTTCTTTAAAGTCCCCCATGGCTGCTTCTTACAGTGAAAGAGCTCAGAAGGCAGAGAGCAGAGTGCCATGGCTCGTCTATCAGAATCTGACCATCATGTACAATCTTGTGTTGGGTGACAGGGACTCGATTATCGAAAATTCAGAGGACTGGCTCGAAGCTACTACTGGGTTGATGATCTGGTGGGACGAAGGAAAAGAAGATAGGCGCCTGGCCCTAGGTCGCCCCCAGAACATGTATCGTGCTGCTTCCATGGAGCCTGATGCTATCTCTTACCGACGAAAGCTGCGAAGATCGTTTCATGTCGTCACAAACGGGCAGACTGATTTTGAGGTCAATACTGCCAGTGAGGTTGAGGTATGTCTAGCATCACTGTTTGAGGGAGACTTTGAAGCGGTTATAGGCCTTATGCGGGGATGGTCAGGACCAATTTCTTCTGCGGTTGCAGAGATTGCTTCTTTGGGAGGATGGCTGCCACAGACTGAAGAGAACAATCTTATCGAAATGGATAGTTTGGACGCAGATGACTTGGAAACTCTTGGGCTTAGCTCCTCTCCATCCAAGGTTGACGGGGTCAAGGACAAGACTCTTGTCGCATACGCAAACTCATTAGCAAAGCGGGGGGAGATGAGAGCTACAGTTTCTGGGCGGGCTCAGACTCGCGATGGATGGGAGATCTCTATTGCAATCCTGGGTCGACTGGATTCCACGGAGCGTGCAAAAGATCTAATTCGCGACTTCTTGGGTAAATTCTCGCTGGATTCGGCCACGACGGTGGACAAGCTTTGGAAACTTCTCAATGACATCGACATGCCTCACCATGCCGAGCAGATTGCAGAGGTCAGTGAGATGGATTTCAATATCTGTACTAGGCGTAAAATACTAACTTTGAGCAGTCATACGCCACTAAACTCGCAGAAGGCACCCACAATTACGGCGAGGCCTTGTGGTACTACGCTCTGTCGCACCAGAGCCAGAAAGTCAAGGACGTATTGGATTTGCTGATGTCCATGTCGTTAATCCAATCGACTGCGTGCCCCGCAGCTGCTGAGATGGATGAGTACCTCCGCAATCTGGTCTCGTCACCTCAGAATGCTCTGAATGAGATTTCTAGACTTGATCTCGAGGCCGCCGAGCTACTCCATAAATCCCTCAGTGGTTACGCTACTTTGCGGAAATTCTACGATTTGCGAGACCAGGGTCTAATGACTTCTCAAAGCAAGGCCCAATTGGGTCCCGTGGCCCGGAAGATGGAGGCCGCCTCGTCTCTTCTGGCCGTCATAACTAGCTCAGATGATAGTATTCGCGGAGGATTATACGACGAAGAGCGAGGGGCAGTAGTTAACGTCGACTTCCTTCTTGCACTGCTAGGCGAGGCTCTGGTTTTTGTCAACCAGTCTGACTACCAGCTCACGGCACAGCAAATTGACACCCTGCTTAAGGCAATTGAGGACCTCCAGGCTGTGGGACCGCGGATATACTCCAATTGCACCGAGTTCTTGCAGGCCGTTATAGCATCAGGGCAAGGACTCAAGGGTTCATCCCCTACCGACCTGCTACGAATGTCAACATCGAGTATCAGTGGTATCAGCGGTAGTTTTTCCATGGTGGGGAGTTCAATGCTTGCATCACAACTAAAGCAATCGATGCGCGGCAGTGGTACGGCGGCAACAGGCCCTGTTAAGCGTGGCTGGGACTGGCGACATGGCATCTCTGCCAGCACTACCGGGGACGATTTGTTACGGATTTTGAGGCTTGGGCTGGCCAAGGATTTGGCTAAGGCGTATTTGCTGGAGTCGGACAGCAGGATGTAGGAATCGAATGCTGGGATTGGGCATATTGGGCGGCGTCCGTTGATGTACAGAGCACGTCTGGGAGCACAGGAGATGCAAGCTCGGCGTGAAAACCAATATTGATTTTTGATACCCATCTGCCAAAAGATTTCTCATGGATTGATATTATTCAGGGAACAAGGTCGATTAACTCCTGCACTAAATCACGGCACTTGTAGACTAATCCTTGCCTGCGACTAGAATCTTACTGCTTCTTCTCTCTTCCAGTGCAAATCAAATCGTAATCATGATTCAAGTCGTCTCTTTCCAACAACCGGCCGACACTATACTTCACACGCCTAAAAACCATCCTTCGGTATGCCCTTCTCCTTTTCCATCGCCAACCTCTCATTGTTAGCATCCACCCACCACACATGCGTCGGATCTGAACTCGTATTCTTCCCCTCGGCATCCATCTCCTCCCACGGCTTCGGCGCCAGGATGTAATGCACGTTCTTGACCTTGTCATCCCTCCAGATCTCGCTGTGCACGCCTTGCCACCTCAGCGTCTTTAGCGCGTTGTAGATGTAGGGGAGGGCCACCCAGCGGCCGACGTAGAGCTGCGAGAGAAGAGACTGATCGGCGAAATCCATGTCTACGACGGCGTCCGAGTTAAGGTGGGCGAGGATCTGGTCGTAGACTGCCTTGCAAGGGTTGACAACTTGGAGACCGCCGTTCATGAAGCCCAGAGGGCCGACGGAAGGGTCGATACCCTCCGTCTGGGCCCGGTCGGGGGTGGAGTGTTGGTAGGTGAAGGCGCAATTCTCGGGGATCCTGGTATGGGTGTTAGAGCTTGGACCTCAGCCCGACTGGTGTGCAGCCAGTCTGCAGAACGGTACCGGTACATACCAGTCTGCAGGGTAATGTGCCCTCTTCAGCGGATTGCACACACAGGCATGACCCGCCGCGAAAATCTTCTTCCCCTTGCCTGCCAACTCGGGCCCATCGAGCTCCATATCCATCAGCTCATCCATGTTCAGCCGCACCAACATGTCGCTATCGAGCTGCACCACACGGTCATACTCTACGAGACTGAACGGCGTGAGCTTTGTCCAGCAGTCGTAGAAGCGCGGATCTTCGGAGTAGTCCTTTGAGGCTTTGGGGAGCAGGTACTCGACCCTCTGCGCGGGGATCCCGCGCGCGGCGAGCGCGGCGTGGCCAGCCTCGGGGAAGGCATCGGTATAGAGGGCCACGAGAGGATATTTCGAGCCGACTTTCTTGAGGGTGTAGTCGAGGGTGAGGAGGCCCGAGAGGTATTTGGTGTTGGTGATGAGGGTGGTCCAGACTATAGTGGTGGCTTGTCAGCATGCTGCCGATTGATCTATGATGACTCCAGGTTTGAACGAGCGCACCTTTCTTCGACTCCGTCGCTCTCTTGATTTCTCCCATCTTACTGTTTGTCTATGTGACTCAATGTTGTGTTGACAGGAGGTAATGAGGGGCTGCTGAGGCTGAGGCTGAGGCCGGGGAGGGGAGGGGTGATGGATAATATATGCGCCGACGGCTTTTTTCTCTCTATTTTTTTTCCAGGTTCGGCGTCTGGTCGGCTTGAATTGAACCTTCTCAGGGAAGACGCGTCAAGATAAGGTCTACAGCTCCTTCAGCCCCCTCTGAAGCGTTATGCAATTGGTCAGATCCCCGTGAGACGGAACTTTATCTTTCGAGTTATTATTACAGAGCTTAATAATTTCGCAATAACTTCCGGCTTGCTGAGCAGATGACTTTATCGCATCTCAGGTGGTGTTTGGTAAACAGGGGAGCATTCAACTTTCGAAGTGAAAGCATGAAAATGAAACCTCGAAGCTGATTTCGAGGTCAAAACTATATTGCGATTTTTTTTTCGCTTACTAACTCTCTCAAGTCGAGTTTCGAGGACCCATTTCAAGCCAAATGCCGAGCATCGTCCGTCCCACCTTATCTTAATAAGGAATAGGTCCTTAACATAACTCAGCAAAGTGAATACAGATTAACCGCGGCCATAATTCCATAGTGTAGATAAAAGACATTCAAGAAGTAAACAAATCAAATACTTACGGACCTACATTTCAAACCACTCAATTCGTATACAAAACCTTCAGTTTTCATGGCTCGCGTCAAACTGAGTAGCGCGTACCTTAAAGCCTAGCCAAAAAGCTCTATAAACTCTCAGTATTCTCAAGGCGAATATGGGATTATTTGAGATTCTTAAGCTGAACAACCTCCTTCTACGTAGTAGGTGCTCCATTCTAAAAACTTGGTTGAAAAGACTTTTACCGCTTTTATTTTCCTCGCTTAGCAAAAGGCATTCTACCTATCATACGGGTCGAAGTTTTAGAACAAACGTTGCTTGAAGAGGTCTGAGTGTTAATTTTGGTGGAGACTTGGTACTGTTTTTGTGGGTCACATGAAATAGAGACTGCTCTTTTGCAGTTTCTAGTTCCGAGAGCAGTTTCCATATTTCGGGGTTTTATTTCAAGGTTTCGGTTTTCTAAACCCCCTTTACCAAACACCATTCGCAGATACGAAAGAAGAAAGACCCGCAAAAGATCAAAAGCAAGAAGAGGAAAGGCAGAGAGCGGCCGCAAACGAGTCTTTGTGTATCGATAAAGAGAGGACTGCATTCGATAGTTGGACGGTGGTTATGGAGTCTCTTGGTCCTACGCAAATAGAATATTAATAGTATTATTGATTTCAAAATATTCGATTCACTTAATAGAGGTTCGACTGAGGTGCCGGGGGCAAATTATGGCAGACCGCCGTCGGCAGAATCATTGGCAGAAAAATCATGAGTGGCTCTCCCATCATTAAATTTACTACTATAATACACTTATTGTTTAGTGAACTTCCCTTTTGCAGCAATTACTGCTTCTATGCGCTCAGGCACTGATTTAACCAATTCGATCAAAAGACCTGGCGTATTCCTCATACAAATTTTGGACGCGACTGATGCTACTGGTATAGGAACCCCTGTCGCTGAAGGCGGTCTGGCATGATTTACCCCCGGCACCTCCGTAAGACGTTGAATTCTGCCAGCTGAGTCATATTTTTTTATCGCTTCTCCCCCCTACCGTTTCGGGGTGCACGCCTTGCCAAGGAATCACATTGGTGAGTCGATACGGTACCTAAGAACCTTTGCATTTCCTATCAATGCTATCTGTCCACTATCCTTTAAAATCGTTCTAGAAAATGTCATCCTTGGCGTCCTTTTCAGGATCATTGGCTCCCATCTCGAGCTCGACAGTCATATCGACCAAGTTGTGTTTGCCAGGTAATTCAGGTTGATGCCGTTGAAGAAGTAAAGAAATTCGTCAAGCATGCGAGCCCCACTCCACTCTAATAAAGTATCTACCGGTACCTAAATATCGTCATCCTGGTGCATCCGCAACCAAGCTCTCCTATTGGCGGCTGCCTTGTCCAAGCATCAACCCCAAGCCCATCGACATTCAGAATTTCCATTCCTCGATGGCCAGACGCAAAGCACGTACGAAGTGAAGTGAAGTGAGGAGAGGAAGAGAAGATGGCGGAGAAGGAGAAGAGCCCGTCAACTTACAAGGGCTTTGTCGCTGGCATGTTCAGTGGGGTGAGTAAACATACTGGTGAGCTGTGTATTTATTTACTTCTTCATCGATGGACCGAAGATCGAGGAGCTCGAGGTGGCGTGGATGGTGCGCGAAAGCTCTAGATGCAATGCCTGGGAATTCGCGACTTGCATGGACTCTGCTAACAGTATTCGCAGTCGGGCACCCTTTCGATACGATTAAGGTCAGACTTCAAACCTCCGATGCCAGCAAGTTCTCAGGTCCGTTGCAATGCCTCACGCATACGATACGGAAGGAAGGCGTAGCTGGGCTTTACAAGGGCGCTACCCCCCCTCTAGTAGGATGGATCTTCGTCGATAGCAGTATGTCTTCCCCGAGACCTCATCTCGTCTTTGGAGTTGTTTCTCTGCTCGCTCCAGACCAAAAGGGCATGAGGGAGCAGACCCCCGCTGGCATCCAGGACCCCCTCGATGCTCCAAGGCGACATATAATATTCATACCAGTGCTAACTCTCTCTAGTATTGCTGGGCTCCCTAGCCTTCTACCGCCAACTTCTCCACCGCACCCTCTTCACTCCCCCATACGCCTCCCCCTCCTCCCTCGCCGAGCGCAACTTCGACCCCACCACAACCCACAAATTGCCCTCGCTCGGGCACGCCATGGCCGGGGTTATGGCCGGCGCAACCGTCTCATTCATCGCGTCGCCCATCGAACACATAAAAGCGCGTCTCCAAATCCAGTACTCCTCCAAGAAATCCGAGCGCCTCTATTCCGGCCCTGTCTCCTGCTTCAAGAAGATCTACGCCCACCATGGGATTCCCGGCATCTACCACGGCCTCTCATCAACCTTGCTGTTCAGATCATTCTTCTTCTTCTGGTGGGGCAGTTACGACGTCTTCACACGCCTGTTGACGACGCACACGGGATTGAGTACTCCGGCCGTGAATTTTTGGGCTGGCGGCCTAAGCGCGCAGGTCTTCTGGATCACGAGTTTTCCGAGCGACGTCGTAAAACAGCGCATCATGACGGATCCTCTTGGTGGCGGGCTGGGGGACGGCGAGAGGAGGTTTAGGAGATGGAGGGACGCGGCTAGGGCAGTGTATAGGGAGGGTGGAGTGAGGGGATACTGGAGGGGGTTTCTGCCGTGTTTTGTGAGGGCGTTCCCGGCGAATGCAATTGCGCTGGTCGGATTTGAAGCGGCCATGAGGCATTTGCCTTGACAGAAAGGGGAGCTGTGATTCGGGAGTGGGGGGAGATGCTTGTGGCTACGCATGCGTGTGATGATTATCAGATTTGGGAGCGAGACGGTACAGGAACGGCGTTCGTCAGAGATATCCGGCTTTTGTGCAATGATGACTGTACATTATTGTAGAATAGAACAGAACATTCCCCAATCAGACATTTCAACTACTGGAACATGTATATTAGGGACGCGGATTGCATTCAATATTTGAAAACAGGTTTGCAGCTACCGCTTTTGGCTTGATTCGGGATGGTACTTCAGAATCTTCCAGACTGCCGAGTTGATGGGACAGCCCGGATGTTTGACAGACTTTGGTTCCTTGGGTTCGGTGCACGTGCCACTTTCTTTTTCTGGAAGGGTTCAGTGGCTTTGCACGACCTCAGCCACATCTATACCGCGGACGCGGACGTGGCTTTACCGGTACTCCGTAAAAAAAAAAGCCCCGCCAAGTGGGGAGATAGGGATCTGGCCAGATCCGACCCGGCCGAGTTTGAGTTGGTATTGGCTCGGGTCACCAGGTGACGCAGAGTGTGGCTGACCTGTGCAAGAGTGAAAGAAGTAAGAAGCAAGAAGCAAGAAGCAAGAAGCAAGAAGCAAGAAGCAAGAAGCAAGAAGCAAGAAGCAAGAAGCAAGAAGCAAGAAGCAAGTCGAAAGAAGAAAGAAGAAAGAAGACAGAGGGATGAGTTCGGATAACTAACCTCGAGTGAATCAATCAGCTAGCTGTCTTTCCTTTGTACTCTTTAAAAGGTGCATTGTCATCATCAGTTAGAAGAAGTACATGGGTACTGTAGTCTGGACGAAGTCAATTACAGTATGAACAAGGCTCTCTCCGCATGTCTTCTGTTGATCTAGCGTTTTGGAGTGATTCGTAAAAATACGGAATAAGTACTTTGTACATGGTGCAGATTGAATGAACATGGAGCAGGGACCAAGGCTTCGTTGCAGTGGCAGTGAAATGGGTGGGGTGATTAGGGTGAATGATCAGATTTCCGCACACGTCATATCATACGTAAAGGCCAGGCAAGCTTGCTTACTTACTTAAATACCGAGCACAAAGCCTTCACCCCCCCTCCCCTCAGTAAGGCAAACAACTACCTCTTCTCCAAACCAATCGCGCATCAACGTCTATCAAAAAGACTCATCAAATACTTCGTAAACGAAGCATAACATACAAACAAGCACACTTTCCCCACCCTTCAAAATGGCTTTCACAGCAAGGTAAGAAAGATATCTCCCTCATCTCCGTCGACGTATCCTTCACCGCCGCTTCTTTCTCGACCTGACTTCCTTCCTAGCGATATCTGCAAGATCATTCTCGCCGTCATCCTCCCCCCTCTTGGTGTCTTCCTCGAGGTAAGCAAGCTTAAATTCCAGTGCAAATTATCCCTAGTCTAACTGCTACACAGCGAGGATGCGGTGCCGATCTCCTCATCAACATCCTGTTGACGATTCTCGGATACATTCCCGGTATTATTCACGCTCTGTATGTCCCCTTCTCTGTAGCGTCGTAACTGCAGGATTGCTTGCTAACACTCATTCAAGTTACATCATCCTCAAGTACTGAGCGCGCCTTCACGATGTCTCCTCCTCTGTCCCGACGCCTAAATACATCTACCGAAGACCGCCTCATATAATCTTCGCCTTTTACCCTTTCGCACTTGGCGTTCAGCGTTCCTCTTCCATCTGCGCACTCGTATCTCTCTTGGCGCGCGCGCGGTATGTTCGGCACAGGGCGGGACTCGACGGTGGTTGGGCTGCAGCTAAGCTGGTCACATGAACATCGCAGCAGTCTTGGGACTATCAATCTGCGATGATGACTCTTGCATGAGGATGGGGAAGCGCTGGATACATTTCTCTTGCATCGTTTCTCCCCCCAGCAATACATTCCTTCTGTTTTGTTTAGGCTTGCATCTCCAAGGAGTGCAGCATGCGGGCTCGGAGTGGGAGGGAATGGACGGCCTTGTAATCTAATTGGGAACCATGATTCGATACCCCTTTTATATTCTTGTCTATGATGTATGTGTGGTGAGTGTAACTGTCATACATGTATGCATGCATGTATGAGATGCTCTCATCTCGTGTAGCTGTAGCTAACTATGACGTGTGGTTTCATTTCTACCACGGAATCCGAGCAGTCGTTCTCGTGGCTGGGAGCACCGGTTGGTAGAAGCGAGATGGGATGAGTTACACCCACAAGGTCGCATGCGACATGGCAATCTCCTTGGGTGGTACTCTGTAGATTTCTCTTGACTAGACACACCTCTCTCCAAATTCTCATCCGTTGTCTGTACAACTTACATCTGTAAGCTCTAATGGCGTGGTCTTTTTGGGTTGGGCAGTGACTGCTTCCAGGTGGATGCCCATGGATAACGATGCTTAATACAAACTTGCCATGGGCTCTTGTGGCTACGAAGTAGTAGAAATCTCCGTTCTTCAATCATCCCTTAGGATTTCCCCTCCCCTCCCATTCTCCCAGGCCCGACGTCAAAACTATGTCCAAACCAAAATACAACTACAGTCACCTGACCTGACCCACAGCAGACAGCCGAGCCCCACGCGGAAAATCTTGGCACACCCACATCACATTTGTGAAAACCCACTGCCCAACTTTTCCCTTCAACCATCTCGACAGATTTCCACAGGCGCAGGATTACACTTCTTTGCGACCCAAATCAAACAAAATGGCACCAACCACAGTACGTCCACCATGAGCCATTGGCTTTGCTGTTGGCCCGCCTGCTCTCTCGCAGCAGGTTGTGGCGTGATACAGTAGGCTAAGATCATTGTGTATTGCAGAAGTCTTCCAAGGGCAAGGGCAAGGTCACCCACAAGGTACGTTCGTTCGTCAATTATACTCATCTCACTCCTCCGTGGTGGCGAGGCGGGAGGGACAATGTTTTGTGTGTGTGAGGACGCCGTTGACGCAGATCAGTTCATCATCAACGCCTCGCAACCGGCCAGCGACAAGATCTTCGACATCTCCGCCTTCGAGAAGTTCCTCCAGGACAAGATCAAGGTCGACGGTCGCGTGGGCAACCTCGGCGACGTCGTTCAGATCTCTCAGGTCGGGGATGGAAAAATTGAGGTGATTGCGCACACCCAGTTCTCGGGTCGCTACCTCAAGTACTTGTATGCTGTCCCTTTTCTTCTCCACGCTCCCCTGCACATCCCATCAAGACGAGAGGATTCTGCTGCAATGCACACGAATATAGGGGTTGGTGCTGATGTGTACGATGACAGGACCAAGAAGTTCCTCAAGAAACAGCAACTCCGCGACTGGCTCCGCGTCGTCTCGACCTCCAAGGGTGTTTACGAGCTCCGCTTCTTCAACGTCGTTAACGATGCTGATGAGGACGATGACGAGTAAATGTTCCACAACACACGGGGACAGGTGATTGGTGGTGGACGGTATGATGGGGAAGAGGGGTTCAGGCTACATAGATACGGTACACGTTGAATGTAACGCAGAGCTTCTTCGCCTTCCAGGCTTTACCTTTTTCTGCTTCGCTTTGCGTTGAGGTGTACGTGATGTGAGAAAAAACACATTCCTGCTACGGGACGCGGAGGACTACTACGAGATAAGAATTCGGATTTGGATATGGCTAGAACCGACGGGCATTTTCGTTTGAGCACTTGCACGCCAGACTCAATGTGTGTACCAGACCAATCTAGAAAATCACTGCGGCATGCAACAAAACTCGGCCAGCTGCTAGATTACATCCTTCCCTTCTTACAGCTCATCATTAGTGAGTACACCTACCCGGGTTCCAGTCGCCTCCGGAAGGATACCCCAAAGCCGATATCCAATTTCGGCGCGTGAATACGTAAGGATAGCTTGTGAGACCCAGACTTTAATCGTTGGTAAATGCTGCAAAGTCTTTTGAACGTGCCCAGCACCTCTTGACTTGACAAGAGTCCTCGAGATCCGATATTATCCCATGACCCACAACGCCGTGCTCAGATAAACACGATTATCCTCTACGGCACATCTGGGCCCTAATCGCAAGACCCCTATCGGCTACGCCTTCACCGCAAAGCTCCCAAACCACAACGTCAAATGGACCTCAACCTGAATCTCCAGCACCGCTCTCACGATGCCTCGAGATCCCCTAATAGGATTAGTCGGCAAGCCTTCCAGCGGTAAAAGCACAACGCTGAACAGCTTGACCGACTCTTCCGCCAAAGTCGGTAGGTGAATATATTTAAAAAATCTCAGCTGGAGGAGAATCTACCCCTCCTCTGCAGAATGGAAAGAGGATTTGCGCTCACACGAGACAGGCAACTTTCCGTAAGAAACAGATCCACACCCACATCCACGAATGCGAATACGCGCTGAAGACACTCCTAGCTTTACAACAATCGATCCGCAGCGCGCCATCGGGTACCTACAAATTGATTGCGCCTGCGCACGACACGGACTGCAAGACCGATGTAAACCGAACTACGGCGCCTGCGTCAACGGACGGCGCTCGGTTCCCATCGAACTTCTCGATGTCGCGGGACTCGTACCGGGTGCCCACGAAGGGAAGGGACTAGGCAACAAGTTCCTGGATGATTTGCGCCACGCCGACGCCCTGGTGCATGTCGTCGACGTATCTGGCACCACGGACGCCGAGGGAAAAGCCACGCGCGGCTACGACCCCTCGGCCGACATCGTCTGGCTGCGCTCCGAGATCGTGCAATGGATTCTCGGGAACCTGATGAAGAAATGGGGATCCCTCAAACGGCGACACATTGCCGTGAAAGCCACGGCCGTCGAAACCCTGCAGGGTCAGTTCTCGGGATACGGATCTACGTCTGTGGTCGTGGCGAGGACGCTGGACAGATTGGCGCTGAAGGAGCCGCTGGAGCATTGGAGCGACGAGACGATTGAGAAGGTTGTGAATGCCTTTACGGACGAGAAGTTCCCGACGGTCATCGCGCTGAATAAGATTGATCATGCAGATGCGGATAAGAATATCAGCAAGATTGCCAAGATGCAGGATCCAGCCAGCATAGTCCTATGCTCTGCGATCTCGGAAGTCTTCCTGAGGAAACTCGCTAAGCAGGGTTTTGTCAGGTACACCGAAGGATCCGAGTTCGTCGATACACGCGAAGACCTGATAGCAGACGGCGATCCGGAAGGTGGTGGCCTCAAGGAGCTGGATGAGAAGCTCAAGAACCGTATCGAGAACCTCAAGGATATGGTGCTGTACCGCTTCGGATCGACGGGTGTGGTGCAGGTGCTTTCTCGCGCGGCAGAGTTACTAGGCCTCGTCCCGGTCTTCCCCGTCAAGAGTATCTCGAATTTCGGAGCCGGGGGAGGGGCAAATGCGCCCGTCTTTCGGGACTGTGTGTTGGTGAAGAAGAACACCACGGTTGCGGAGTGCGCGAGGAAGGTTATCGGGGATGCTCCTCTCGCGTACGTGGAGGGTGCTGGGGGTGTGAGGGTTGCAGAGGATGATATCGTCTCGGTTGGGAAGAACGATGTTCGTATTCCCCATTGCCTTGACTTGTAGAGAAAGGCTGCTAACACACCCAGGTCCTCTCGTTCAAGGTCGGCAGGGCATGAGCTACGGTTACATGGCGTTCGGCAAGACACACGGAGCATAGCAATGGCGTTCTGGAGTCTCGAAGATGAATGTGAATTGACTTGCAGGATCTTACACTGAATGATTGTGCATTGCGCTTACTAACATTTACGATTCGCTTTTCATCTTCATCTACCCTCACATCGCAGTCTGATTTCGTCACTTCCCATTACACCACCGTCAACAATCATCAGCCCACACGTATGAAAAGACCTATCAGCTAGCAAAAAACAGCCTCGCCGTCCCCCAGCGCCAAGATCCTCCTCAAAACACCAGACCACAGTCCAGTCGATTTCATCTTCCCACTTCCCGGCCCTCTCTACTCCTTTCCCCCCCTCTCATCCTGCATGCCAATCGCAGCATCCGGCGCCTCTGGAAACTCGCTTTTTGCCTTCTCCACGCTACCCCCAGCCTTCTCACTCGTCCCCCGACTCGCATTCTCCCCAGGGTTCGCCCTCTCCGCCTTACCCTCCCGAGTAGCATCCTGCTGCACGTTATGCGTATCCCCCTCTCTGACCGTGTTCTCCTCGGGCTTTCTGCCCTCCCATTTCGAGGCCCGAGACGTGCCGCTCAGGCCCCGTGCCGGGACTGAGCGCGAAGCTGTGGTTTGCGCTGGGACGCTGCAGGGAGAGGCGGAGCAGTGGCGTTAGTTTTCCGTTGTCTTTTTGTGTGTGATGGGGACGGAGGCGGGATGGGGGTTTCGGGGAATGAAGAAGAACAAAGTCTCAAGAAGAACGAGAAGAACAAGAAGAGGAAGAAGAGGAGGAGGAGGAAGATGAGGAAGAAGATGGGAAAGCGAAAACCCCTACCGACGAAACACCCTCGCCATAAGTCCGATATTAGGCAGCATGACTTCAGTGTGCAGAGCCGCCGCCTCGCTATCCAGCACCGCCTGCTGCGCCGCCACGCTGTAGTTCCTGAATACCTGGTCGAACCTGCCCGCGCCCTTGGTGGGAAATGGACCCCCCGGGCTGGCAGCAGCTCGGAACAAGGTGCTTACGGAGGGGCTCCAGAGCTCCGTGTGCGCGTGGGCGTGGGCTTGGTGATGTCTCTGGCGGCTGTGGAGGAGGGGATGTTGGGGGACGCGGTAGATGGCGCGGGGAAGGATGCGGAGGGGAGGACGCATCTTTTTGTAGGTAGGTAGGTAGTAGGTATGTGGGTACGTATGTAGCTTGCGTCTTGAGGAACGATAGCTGGGGATTCTTGGTCTTGGAAACGCGTGGTGTGAGGTATGACGGGTGCAGTGTGAGGTGTGAGGTGTGTGATTGGATTGGAGAATCGAAGTTTTGTATGACAGAGTGACGCAGGTTGAGAAGGGTAGTGGAAATCTGGGGAAGCGCTTACTGTTTGTTGTGTCGTCATTCTCGGTTGTCCTTGTCGAGGAGCATGTGACTACGGTAATGGGGGGGCCAAGGGGCAACAGTCACGAACAGGAAAAACGGTTATGGGCTAGCCTCGCTACCTACGATCGGTAAACCCCCTTGCTTTCCTTTACCCGAGCACCCTTTTCAGAGGTCCTACCTAAAATCATTAACCACTTCTCTACAGATCTGTTTCGTACATGGCATACGAAGAATCGCTTGTACATTACCGGTGAAATGACAGGCGTGTAAGATGTGGTTTCTCGACTCGGTTGCATTATGTAATCCCTTGAGTAAAGCGCCTGTTTGATACTCATTTTCCACACTCATACATAAGCTACAAGGGCTATCAGTGATCTGTAATCCCTTGAGCAGAGAGCCTGTTTGATACTCATTTTCCACACTCATAAATAAGCTACAACGGCTACCAGTGATCGAAATCCGATCCGCAATCCGATCCAAAGCGCGTGGCAAAACAAGCGCAGTTCAGAGTGAATATCGTAGACTTAGCCCAAGCGAAAGCTTCCAAAAACGGCCCATGGACACCTCGTCCACCCCAAATTTCCAAAATATAATATACGGCGAATATCGATCAAACGCCAAGCCCCAACCCCGAAATAGATCCAGTACAATCATAAACCAAACGCAGCTTCCAACCCTTCTAGCGAATAATGGTCCCCGCCCCTCATTATCTGAACTCCATACTCCTGTTTCCCCCCTAGACCAACCGACTCACTCGTCGAAAGATCCTCCCCAGAACTCAGGCTCTCCTCACTGAAACTGAGTACACTACTCGCTGACTCCGGGGCCGTATTTCCAAAATCACCCATCGTCAACGTAGGCATATCCCAGTCTGGCGCCCAGTTTTCATAATTCGAAAACGGGTTGTCGAAAACAGGCGCGGGACCACCGTAGATAGCGTCGTAGAGGTTTGTTTGTCCGCTGTCTAGGGAACCCAGGAGGGCTTCCCATTCAGAAGGCGACACGCCCGAGGATTGCTTGTTGACCGGAAAGCCGGTGCTGGTCAAGATTGGCGTGTGACCACTGGTTTTCAGGAGTTGAGAACGTGATTGGACGGGCGACTGCGATGCTACGGGGGTGTTGCTCAGAGACAGGTAGTCGAGATTGGGCAGTTTTTCCTTCTTGTGAGGACAAGTTTCCGAGGAGAGTGGGAGTTGCGCTACCGAATCTCGGCATCCGTGCTTCGATGTTGGCGATACAGAACGGCCAGGATCGAGGGAGCTACGACTGCTGGAAATATTTTCCTGGCCGGGCTTGATGCTGGGAACCGTTGCACAGCGGAGCTTATCTTGGTGGGAGAGTAGATCCCTTTCGCTCATGGTCGCACTTGAATGTCGGTGAACTTGAGGGCGGGGTTGCTGTATGGCGACCATTGGCGAAGGTGTAGACTCTGAGCTTGTTGGTACTCCCATCTCGTTGGGGCTTCGGCCAGAGAGACCTATGGTTGGAGCTTCGGGAATCATTGAAATGCTGAGCTTCTTGAAATCGACTGCACCGGGAGCATTGGCCTTCTCGAGGAGTTGGACCACACTTGCTACCAGGCGTTGACTGTATTTCATGAGCTTTCCTTCCTGCTTGAGATCGAGTCCTTGGTAGAGAATGCTTAGTCCGCAGATTGTGAGCATCTCATTCTTGTTCAGGCAGAAGGAGAAAGACATATTTCTCTCCGCTAGAAGCTGCACGATCTGGATGATATGTTTGCTAGAATCGGCAAGCGAGATGACGGATGGCGATGACTTGTTGCCGAGTGTTGAAGTAACAGCAGGACGGTGGATGAGAGACCGTATGTGATAGTAAGCCAGAGCCTATATCCGAATTAATCGTTAAAATTCAATTGCCAGTTCAAAATCTGCTTACCAGCAAAGCAGCACGACTCCCTGTGACGTCTGTTGAAGGCTTATCCTGGACAAACGTGAGCTTCAAATGGACCGGCAGTTGGTCAGACCATTGATTCAATTCCCCCTCAAGCGAAGTGAGAGACTGCAGGGAAAGGTCGTGATTGGCAGCAGCGGGATAATTCTGATCCAAGACTTTGGAAAGAATACGAGAGACACGGAACAGAGCCAAGGCGCTCGAGATTCTTGTCGATTCGCCAGGAAGGGTCGGTTGAGACTCCTTTCCAGTGACATAATCGTCATCGGTGTCGGTGGGATACTCTGCATGGATGTCTTCCTCCTTCAACAGCTGAGGAAGGCCAAGCGAGGCGGCAGAGAAGCTTTAATCGTTAGCGTAATTTGCAGTCATGCATAGATGTTGTTCTTACCAGTCAACAGTGTACAAGGTCCAGAACACCCTTTTCCTCGTTTCAATAGTGAGAGCGCCAAATGAAAATCGTTTCTGGCTTTGATGCAAGCCAAGTCTGTGCGAGATTCCAACAGCAATACTTTTGTAGTGCTGGAGGCGGGTATAGTCGGCTTTCGAGATGCAACACATGAGAGCAAGGATAAGACACTGAAGTGTAACAAGAGTATTATTCATAAGGATGGAGTCGAGGGATTGGCGCCATTTATTTTCACAAAGAGCAATATTCTCCTCGTCGGGGACGTCGCTTGAAATGCCAGCAATACACAAGACAAGATGTAACTGAGCCAGCTTGTGAGGATCAGTCACCTGTTCGGGGTTCGACATATACTCCTCGTACAAGCGAAGGAAGGTTGGCTTGTGTAAGACTGGGAAGAGAGGTGCCCATTCCTGGAAGTAGACGTTCACACATCGATCCGAAAACATACGTGGTGGTGCGCTCGGGGTCTTGGATCCAGTGTTCGGAGAAACAGTCATCGTCGACTCCTTTTCAATGTTCAAGAAAGTCTCCGTGTTGAGTCCAGCGAGCGATTTGCCACTTTCCTGGACCCGGCGCTTGAATGCATCTGTAAGTGATTAGCTATTGCTAGCACTTTTGTTCCCACTCGACGTACCGACGAAAGCTCTGCCGCTCGAAGCTCCCATGAGGTACGAGTCGGTATGCCCGGCTTCTGGCAGTAGCGGAGATGCTTGGACGCGAAATTCATCATCCTTCGGAGGCATCGCTACCAAGTCTCTCCTTTCGAAGGCTGGCCATCCAGACACCGAAGGTCGTCTATTCGAATGCATTCTCGATAGCATATCGATCTTCTCGTCCTTTTCATCCAAAAGATCCTTTAACTCCCGCACCTCGCCTTCCAACACGCGCACTCTCTCCTCCAAAGACTCGGTGTATCCACGTGGAAAAGCTCGTCGGCTGAGCTTGTCGCTAGTCTTGCATTCGAATCCCACATTCGCGCATTGTGAACAGCAAGGCCGGATGCCATCGCAGCGTATTTTCTTGCTACGACAACGATCGCAGGCCTGGGCGATGCGGCCCAGGGAATTTGATCCCACTTTGATCACCTTCATGGGCAAGATGCCCGGCATTTCGGGGGTCGTGCAGAAAGAAGTGTTGGAGCGGAGAGAGGAGGAGGAGGAGGAGGAGGAGGAGAAGATGAGAGGATGAGAAGATGAGAAGATGAGAAGATGAGAAGATGACGATGACAAGGGATGATTGGGGGAAGAGAAAGCCTCGGTAAGGAGGTGAAAGTAAGTGAAGAAAGATACTTACCGGTATCCTGGGGAAGACAAGGCCCCTAGTGCTAGCGACACAATAAGCGGGGGAGGTAGGACGCACTAGGTTAAGTACGGGGAAGAGCTACTTACTCTATTTTGCGGAGACGGAGGCTTGTACGTAGTAGTATTGCCTACCTACAGTAGCAATGCCGAGCTTTTCGCTGGCCCGTTCGAACTTTATCATGTGGCCGGCCAATCAAACATGGAACTTGACACCGGCGTGACCTCCTCCATGTGACATTAATGAAGAGGGGGGACCCGGTACTTACTCTGTACTTACTAAGTACCACGTAAGTAGTACGAAGTAGTACTGTACCGGTAGTACTAGTAACTACTCCCAAATTACTGTACTACTACAAACTTTCAGGCTGCAGGGATCAATCCATGCAGCCATGTGGTTGAGCTACGCACAGCTACGAACGACTACGACCACCTCGGACTCGCTTCTCATCATGAAAAGTCCTCCTCCTCATTGGCCTCTGCTTCTTCCGGCCTGTCCTCGTCATCATCCATCGATCGGAGATATCTGAGCACGACCTCACTCTCCAAGAACTTGCTTTTCTACAGCCTTATTAGCTTGTCCTACACGTATGTATAATCAAATCATAACCTTATTTCACTCACCTCTTGATTTGCTGCTGCGTACGCCTTTTCCAACATCGACGTCTCGCTTCTCCTCAGATGCATGGCACTTCTCTGGCGATCCCAGGGGACAATTGGTGTGGACGCGAGAGCCTCTACCGCATCCTCACTTTCATACAGCCTTTCGAGCTGCTGCTGGATCCGGTCCTGAAGTATGGAAATGGCACGCAGCTTAAACACATCCTTCAGCTCATGTTTATCTATGAGAGATTCGAATTTTTCTGTGCCATCTGTGACATCTGCCCCCTGCCAGAAGACTTTCAAGTGACCCCGCGACCCATCCGTCTCTTGCAGAACTCTGAACTCGAGGCCGTCTTCTTCGTTCAGACACATCAAGTAAATGAAGGGGCTCTCCCAGGCGATGTCTTCTTCTCCAAATATCCGCAAGGTCTTGGACTTGGAAAAAGCTGCAGCTTTGGCTTTCCCAAGTGGATCATCAGGGGATGGGTCGATGTTCAAAGTCAAGCCCTTTGACGTGCCTTGCTCGTCTATGAAACCATAGCTGAACAGCATTTCAGCCTCTGACTTTGAAGAACCATAACTTATAGTGACCTCAGACTCGGCCTCCAGTTGGGTGTCAGGCCGGAGTAACAAAGCGATGTTGTTATCCGAGGTACGCTCGTAGTATGAGTTTGCTTCGGCCGCATGGTTGACCATATCAACACAAGGGATCATCGACTCGCCCGCATTAGGGACTTCAAGAGAGCGGGATCGGTACCACGCATCGAGCAGAGACCAGTTTTCGTACCTCAGTGACTCTTCTTCCCACCAGCACTTCTGACACCACGCTATCTCGGCGGTCTTTCCGCGAAGATCTTCAATTTCCGAAATGAGCGACGCGCATTTAGCGGAAACAGCCGTCTAAACCAGAGTCAATAGTGAGTGACACCTAAGGCTCCAGTCACTTACCTCCAAAGAGGTTCCCGTAAGCATAACCCTCTCCTCCTCACTCCACATCGTAGGTACCGGGATACTCTCCGGCAACATCCTAACATACTCCGTCCACGGATTCGACGCCCCAACGTTCATTCCGTGATGCCTCGCCGCGATCGTGATTTGCATCAGCAAGAACAACATAATATCCCCCCTCGTCGACTTCCCCCCAGCAGCGCCAAGCAGCTCCCGCAGATGCCCATCAACCTTTGCCCACTCGCCCACCGCCTCCCTACTCAAAACCAGCTCATTCGGCACCACAAGCAGCGTCGGGATATCAAATGTATTCTTGCTGCTGAGCGCCCGCGAAGTCACGAGGCCGAGGCCTTTGGAGGACCCGAGATCCTGGACACTGATGTCAAGGAAATCGACGGCATTGAGTTTAGACCATGCGGGGAGCGCGGAGATGGGAAGTTGCGTGATTTGCATGGTGTCTTATGATTTGGTATGTGTGTTTTTCTTTTCGTTTTGACGAGACGCAAGGCTGCGTGTAATAAATTGAACAGTTGAGCGTCGCCTCGGGTTTGAGAGAAAGGTGTTCCTGCTTTCTTCAGCTGCGACGAAAATGTGAAATGTATAGGTCAGCGGTCACGTGTCGACCTCACCCAAACGAAAAGTTAACGTTATTCGTCCGTTGCAAGCAATTCCTACTGTGCAAGAAACTGCTTTCGAGATGCTGAAAGTTTCGTTTGAAAGTCGAGTAGCTTCTAAGCATTGAGCATTCAGTGACTGGGGCTTGTCCGAACCCAAGTCCAGATCTTGCCTTGCGAAATGATAGAAACGATAGAAGATGTTACATCCCTTGCGTATATGCTAAACAAATACTCGGTGACTATCATAAGAGAGACAGCCAAGGTCCATACACGGAATGAGTCCCCGCTCTGAGTATCAGTAACGAGAGGGCGGGCGAACGTAGAACCTGCTCCGTTACATTTCGCTTCGGAGTTGAGCATCTACGGGTGAATCTGTGGGAACGGCAAGCCCGGTAGAGCCATCTATCCCTAATACCTCAGATGGAAGGTGGACATTCGTTTTCTGCTGTAAATCACTGCTCACGGCGGTTCGTACAATCGATATGACCCCTCCCATCCCTGACTCTCGCCAAATGCACATCTGCAGCCTTCAGCTCTCTCGCCCGGCGCTCCGTGTCTGATTCTCTGGCTGTGAGCATATGCCTTGCCCGCCCATCCCCTACAGCCCCGGGGCGAGTCCCGTCCTCTGGCAAGCTTGAGCCATCCACACGGCCACGAGTCTGAACTCTGGAAACACCAGGACGAGTCCCCAAGCCGTTCTCCTGACGATCTCTCGCCTGCTCGTTATCCCGTGCCAGTTGACCTCCTCCACCCTGCTTCCCAAAATCCACCAGCATCACCCTCGGCAGCACCTCACTCGGCGTAGTATTCACCGTACTCGTCTCTACATCCCGCACGCTCCTCCCTCCTCCCATGCCAGCCCTGTTCGCGCCATCGTATCCCGTCGTCGTCGTCGTCTTCCCACGGATTCTGCCACCCCCGTATAAGTTCCCTGTACTCCTCAGCATACTCCTCGGCGGTTTTACCAGGTACCAAGATCTCACTTCTGTCTGCGATATCAGCCCTCGAGCCTTGACTCTGAATCGAGCTGTATGACTGATGGTGTCTATGGCTGTAATCCGAATCACGGTTGTGCTCGTGAATCTGGGCTTGATCCTTCGGGAAGGTGCCTGCTCGATACGGAGCCGTGGATGAGGATGCGGATGGGGGAGGTGTATAGACGTAGTTTTCTTGACGCGCGGTTCGGTCGTGGGAAAAGGTGTGAGCTCTCGCCACGGTCTGGCCATCATGAGTAGGGCTCGAAACTCGATCTAGCGGGGCCTTGGTCGAGTGAGCTGGCCGTGACATTGGACTTTGATCCTCCTCCTTGGCTTCCACATATCCGTGTTCTTTACCGCGTCCTTGTTCGCCCGATGTCCTCGGACTCAACAGTCCGGGGATTAGCCCAGCCCTCCTCTGGTGCTCTTCCCACCTTGCTCGTGCCTGTGCCTCAGCAGCAGTCTCTGGCTGTCTAGAGTTCAGATCTCGATACGCCGGTATCTCTTTCTCTCTCTCCTTCTCTCTCTTCGAACCGAATCCAATGCCACCCACAAGTCTCTTGAGCCCCAGCCCCAACCCAGTCCCCCCCCTCTTCAATTTAGGAGCTTGCTGTTGCTGGTGCTTGTCCTGTATTGGCAGTCTCTCACTGGCTCGTCTAGTGACTTCTGGTGGTACTCGGTAGCGGAAGCCCTGGGCGTCGAAGACATCTTCTTCTCTGGTTGGCTTGGCTCTGTCCACGCTTTCTATTTCACCTCTACTAGCCCTCGAAAGTCCAGGGATCGTTTCCACGGCCGTAGCTCCACTCCATCCCGCCTCGGACGCGGTCCTCGCAGCTTTCATTTCTGCTCGTTGGCCCTGACCCTGATGCTTTCTGCTTCCTGAAACAGTGGGGGGCAGGTCTGCGTTTAGAGTAACAACACCACTGGAGGAAGGCTCTAGGTGAGAATCAGCACCCCTAAACTTCGGACACAGCGAGTAGTATGTATTTTTCTCCTTCTTCTCGCAAGCTACCCTGGTTTTGAAGAAGTAGTTCTCGCAATGGGCGATTGTTGCTAAGCTGTGACTGCAGCGCGCGTATCTGTTGAGGTTCTTGATGCACATCTAAGTATCAGGCTGTCGTGTGATCATGGGTTGGTACTTTAGGAGCCAGCTGGTCGAGAATATAGGATATTGTGGGTTGCATCTAAGAAGAAGGTGCGGTAAGTTGTTCATATCAATATGGTTGTGACTGTAGCAAACCTGCAAGTTTGAGGCCACTTTACCTCGCGGTGAATCAATATAGCGGTCGGGAAAAATAACCTATGATTCGTTCGAGCCCCGTAAAGTCCGAGAATATTGACCTTCAGAATGACCACGAGCAGAGATAGGACGTGCAATTTGCAACAAAATCCTCGGAGGCGACTCGGAGCTTTGGAACAGACCCAGTGTCCAAAATTGAGCTGGACAATGTCTGCGACATGCAACAAAACTTATTCGGGCTGAAAGAGAGTGAATTCAAGATGCCCCAGTCTATTTTGCCGTGCCCAATCGTAAATGCGTATACACCTTTCCTTCTTCTGACCTTTACCATGTCTCATATCTATCCCCATTCATCTGTATCTTAGTCACTGCTCAGGTGCTCTCGTCTACCAATCAATATATCCTGCTTGACCTGTCCCGTGCTCATATTCGTTCCATGCCTCCTCTGCACGAGGATCCGGTAGAAAGGAATTATAATCTTGATGAAAGCGAACGAAGCCCACCCCTTCATTGTAATCTTCACTTTCTCTCCTTTGTAGCTCCTACAAAGCTCTAGATAGCGTTTCGGGTCATCTGTAATCACTCCGTCGACCTGCTTGCTGATGCACCACCTCATCGTGTTATCGTCGTTAACTGTCCAGAGGAAGAGTGACCGGCCTGGCTTTCTTACATCTTGCATGAATCTGCTGCCGCCGGGTCCGATCATCATCTTTTGGAACACGTTGAACGATACGTCAGGGAGTTCCAAAAACTGGCGTGCATATGGTATGTTCCAGCCAATGTGGGCAATATGAAAGCCAGGAAGATATTTGGAGCAGATCGGTAGGCATTTGGCCTTGGAAATTTTAGTAACTGCTGCTCTGCATGTTGTGGGGTCTCTATACATTCCAACATCCTAGAAGGATTCTTTCCGACCATTTTATCGAATGATCCACTTGTTCGATAGCAGCTGCAATTGCACTGATCAATCTATCCGGGTTGTCGTCAAGCTGCCTCGCTTGTCAGCCGCAGCTCTAGCTTGCTCGATCTTCGGCCGGTACCACCATACCTTGATATCAAGTAATATCCAAATGTCCTCCAGTCCGGGCGAGGCCAAATATTCCAACAAGTCGACCAGTCTAGCCATCGCTTGTTGAGGCTTTCGAATGGTTCGCAGCGGTTCGATAAAAGCCCAGTCGCAATCGACAATCTTGTGCTCCAATCCAAAACACCTCTTCAAAGTGGCGTCCTATCGGAAATTATTATCATTACGCCACGTTTTCGTGTCTCGCTGAGTGCCCACGTGTGAAAGAACCACTACTCCATCTCTAGATAGATGCAGATCCGTCTCGATGGCGTGCGCGCCAATCTCCACCGCACCCTTAAACGCCCCCATACTGTTTTCTGGGAATTTGGCTTTGTATCCTCGATGCGCAATGGCTTGCGGTCTCTTCCCCTCGCGAGTTTGCACAGCTTTTGTAACTTTGAAGGTCGTCAGTAACGTCCAGATCCGAGAAATCCGCGCTCTTACATCCCGGGGCCTTCATTGTATCAGGAAGTAGAGCAACAGTGTCCATAGCTGGGTTCGCCATCGAGTCTGGCATAGGGTTCTGGGTACTCGGATCCTCCTTGGGGTGTCTATTCCCTATCCACAAGAGAAGGTAGACGTTATCCTGGGACCAAATATACATCAAATTCTCCAGTCTTCAAGCGGGAGTGGACGCGAAGTCATGAGCTCAGGAACAGAGAACGGGAGAAAGAACCGAAGAAGGAAAGTGAGGCAAAAGGATCTAGTTGTACAGTAAAATACCTACAAGTACCGTCTAGACATAGTGGGGTCCGTCCGTCCGGAAAGCCGGGGCCAGATGCAGAGCACGGCGCCCAATCATCGATTCCAGGGCAGAATCAAGCATTGAGCATTGGTAACTCCCTACGGACAGGGAGTGGGCTTGGGCCTCCTCCCGCGTACCAGGCCCAAAGAAGCGAAAAGCACAGCACGGGAACGTCGTTAACCGATCAGTTTCGTTTTGGCCCAAAATCCTATCTACATGTTTTCTCTTCACCAACCACTTACATTGACACACACACACACACACACACTCTCTCTCTCTCTCTCGCGGTAGCAAGCTTATGCTTCGAACTCGACGATTATCTCCCGATACTACTGTTTGCCGGGTCGACTGTGGCACAACCCTGTTGGCGATCATGCACCGGTCAATTCAACCTCGTGGAACACGCATCAGTTGTCTGGAACACCCCTTGCCCGCTCAACTGGTCGAGAGGCATATCGGTGGCAAGCTGCATAGACAATCTCGACCGTTCGCTGGGAGTACAGCATACTTCAGGTAACAGCATCACATACATGGCTTTGAGGACACCAAAGCACGCACTTGAGTCGTTCTGGATATGGGAGTCCATCCCAGGAGTGATCTCTGCATGCCAGGAATGCCGAAGCGTCTCATGACCTTGATTCGCTGGAAGCTTCAGGTGATACAGATTTATTGGTTGCACGCTACCAGGAGAAATTGATAACGCAAATCCTGTCCGTGGCCGTGAGCAATTACGATGTGCCGAATTGCCAACCCGAAATGCTTCCTCCGCGTGAAACTTTCCTGGCTCAACTATTTCGCAGATCAAGCACTGCTTGGGAGAGAAAAATGCCTTTCCTGGGCAAAAGCTGACTATCTGTACGCTCCATGAAGCCTGTCCGTGGCAATTTGACATCTTGGACATCTTCGTCCGATGCCTTATGAATTGTTTCCGTGATCGATTACACCCCGTACCTTATCGTCTGGTGCAATTTTCTATGGTTTATCTTTGCTTCCATTTCCGCGAAATATCAGATATGTCCCAAGCTTTCGTTAGGTCTAGAACTCTATGCTTGTAGGTGCATCTAGCGACATCTGATGTACCACGGTACAGGCCTAAGTATTACCCCTCGAGGGTGCCTTAAAAGTTTAGTTTACACTTTAAACCCCCTGTTTTCCCTACCCTCGAGGGGTAATACTTACGCCTGCGACGTAGTATAACAAACGTCTATGCGAATGTTTTCATCCGAAGAAGAAATTGGGCTTATACTCAGTGAAATTGAGATATCCAGCAAGCCTTCGGATCCTCTGAAGAGGACAAGTGAACTCACAGCACAAAACATGGACCACTCTTAATAGGGTAAAATTTGAAAGGAAGGTAGAAGCGATTATCAGAGCTGCAACACCGCTCATCGTTGCCTGCGCGGCCGCTTCACCGGAAAGAAGGCATTGATTCCACAGTCAGACTCAATGATGAACGAACACTACGCTGGAAAGAGGACATAGCTCATAAAAATTTTAAAAGACGAGCCAAAAATTGAAAAAATCTTTGAAAAACGATCGCAAATCACCTTAACGGCTCCCCCATTTCTAGCTATTCATATCTCTCTTTGCCTACTGACTGAGATACGGCCGCGAAATTTCATCTCTCCAATAATGAGGTTAAATTGCGCCCTTTCGAGTTCTCAATGCCACGATGCCTCATGCCCTCTAGCCTGCCGTATTGGTGCCAAGACCTAACACTACACGTGATCCACAAACTACTAAGCGAGCAGCCCGTTAACCCCCAAGAGCTCCGACGAACTTTTCCATCTCCTCTACGACTAACGACAACAACCGCCAAAACACCACAGAAATGGCATCCTCCAAGACCGAACGCAGCGGCATCGCCGTCGGCCCTAACAAGGGACATGTACGCACCACACCCACCCATTGAACGCTCCGCCCGTCTCACCTCTTGGAGGATCTCAAAAGTCGTTTTCCTTCCTTCCCACATCCCGCTGAGACGGGGCGGGGGCAGAACAGAAACATTTTTGACGATGGACTCAACGGGCTAACCCACTCTCGGTACACGGTGTAGAAAACCGAGGCGCGAGTCGTCAAGCCGAGAATCAGTCGCTCCAAGGGCAAGATGACCAAGCGCACCCAGTTCGTGCGCGACATCGTCAAGGAGGTCTCCGGGTATGTATTCTCTTCTGCGCGCGCATTCTGCAGAACCGGGAAGCTGATTTTACTGTGTGACAGACTCGCCCCATACGAGCGCCGAGTCATCGAACTCCTTCGCAACAGCAAGGACAAGCGTGCCCGCAAGTTGGCGAAGAAGAGGGCATGTGTTCTCCTTCCCTCTCTGCAACTACGAATCTAACATCTCAAACAGCTCGGTACCTTTGGACGTGCGAAGGCGAAGGTTGAGGAGCTCACGAACGTTATCGCTGAGTCGAGACGCGCTGGCCATTAAACACTATTCCGATCCGACAAGAAGTACCTGAGCCGACGGAGCTGTATGAATGGATGAATGGACGAAAAGTTCTTTTGCGGAGGGGTGACCGTACCTGGTAGCTATCTAGCTGCCGGATCCAGCTTGGGATTCCGGTCGCAAATAAGGAAACGAAATTCTGCAACTCCATGTTCGTGTTTGATGTTACATTTACCATTTTGACACCGCGTTTTTGACTGCTGGACTGTTAATGCCTATTGATTGAGCCAAAACTCTCTTTTATGGCTACATTTGCTGTCCCACTTCCCACCCAAACTCCTCGCTATGGACATGCCCGCCCAGAAAATGCAACACCCATAGCCTCGTGAATCATCTCCTCACTCCCCCTACCTATTTCTTCCCAAACCCCTTAAGCCACTTAGGCATACCTCCCTTACCACCACCAGTCCTCTCCTTCCCCTTCCCTTGTTCGACACTCTCCACCTTCCCATCCTCCATCTCATCAGCTACCAGCTCAGGGACTGGAATCTCCTTTGCAGCAGCCACATACTGCCCCTTCAGCACCGACCGACGCCTATCCCTAACCTCGTCACTCGCAGCATCCTCCCAGATAAAATTAACCGTTACCCCGCCCTCAAAACCCAGATCCCTAATCAGCTTCTTCTCGTTCCGCGGAACAGTCTGCGGTCCTCTATCCTGGTATACTAACTTGAACGGCTGTTCTTCCGCTGCTATCGTGCCCTTCACATGCTCATACAGATTAAGACCCGTCTCGGCGGCTGTAAAGCTTGCGATGATGGATGTCTCATCTGGGAACCTGACTTTAATGTTTACGGAAGTCTTCTTGGCAAGCTTGGCCGCTTTCTCCTTGTCGAGACGTTCTTGCTCGGCATCGGATGGGAGGCGCTTGTTCATGGCGTTCTCTTGGAGGCGAGATTGGTGGAGTTTGGCGTGGGCGATTGTGGGCTCGAAGTCGTTGTCGATGTGTGGTCGGAGAGCGGCTTTGGGCGTGTCGGCTGTAGGAGCAGCATAGACGGTAATAGGGCGATGGTTTGGACCGAGGAGTTGTTGGGGGCTCTCTGGTCCTGGCGCAGGATGTGTAGCGGCGTCCTCAACCTGGTCGAAGGAAATCAAATCTTCCGTATCGCCCATCACAATCCCAGGGTCAACCGAAGCCTCTGGTAATTTCGCAATTGCATCTGTAACAGCCTCGGTTTTTGGATCTTCGCTGCTCTTCGGCTCCTCGTCCTCCTTGAAATACTGCCCGATTTCCTTCATGGCCTCCTCCAGCGGTTGCTCCGTCTGCTTGAACCCAAGTCTAATGGACACACTTCCCTGATTAAATCCCAGCTGCGCCAAAGTCTTCTGCAAACCACCGAAATCCGACACCTCTCGTCCCATGAGATTCAGAGAGGGCATCTCGTAGAATATCCGTCCTGCCCCCGAAGCCCCTTTCTCTATCTGTGCAGCACCCCGACCTGTAAAGTTCTGTGTTGGCCCATCCTGCCTCGACTCGAATTTCCGCAAGACCAGCCACAACGTAGTATCGCTCGGAAACTTGTCGACCAACCGCCCACCAGGTACATCCTTGGCTAGCGATTCTGGTAATTGTAGAGCTACCGAAACAACGGACGGAGATCGGGAGACTAAAACAAGCTCGAGTTTGGCGCCTGGCACTAGTCCTGTTTGTCTGTATGGGCTGGAGAGGTTGACTGCCTTGTTGTTGTTCCTGTAAAGCTTTAGAAAGTATACAGTAGCTTGTGGTAGTGGAGCTTACTTGAGTCCATACCTACTTGCATCAAGGTTAAATTTCTTACAGGCTTGCTCCAGAACATCCGTCATGTATGTTCCCGGGTTGACCTTAATGACGGTCCGGCGGAAGGAGGAGTCAATTACCACAACATTACTCGCCATGGTCTGGGTGGACGTGGTGGCCGGACTTGGAGTCTGAAGCTTCTGCCAGGATTTTTGACTGGAAGTGAATCTCCAGTAGACAGTGGGATCGGGCTTCGAAGATCCGTGTTGTGGTCGAAGTTCTCTGAGGTTCTCGAATGTTGCTCAGCAAGAGGCAGGTGGGTGTGGCGGGGTGTCAGTTTCTTCGTATGTATGCGAAGCTCTCCAAACAGAAGACGCTGTAGAGAAAATTTCCAATGTGAGAAGTCCGAGGGGAGAAAAATGATCCAACTGGAATTACGATACGCAAAGATAGCGCATATAATATTAGTCTGGTCGCGTACGCAAAACTGAAGTCGATCTTCTAGTGCCTGTCATGGCAGAATCTCGGTTCCTCCTGGTCCGTGAGCTCTTGAAGCTCACTCGACGCGCAGCCTGTCAACCTACGATACAGTACAGGCCACTGATATCCAACACCCCCTTCAACTCCACCAGGAAGCTATCAGATCAATAAGAGGGCTCAATCCGTTCTTTTCACGCCTTGAGATACCCAACACTCAAAATAACCAAGGAATATGGTACGCATCGTCCCTTGCCCAAGCTCAAATAAACAGGCAACTAACTCTCTCCAGAGCTCCCCCTTCTCCATTAGTATGGTCCTCTTTACGTCCATCCTCTGCGATATACTCTGACATACCTATTCAGATGGCGGCGCCTGCGTGGCAATGGTCGGCAAGGACTGCGTAGCCATAGCCTGTGATCTGCGCCTCGGTCTCCAATCCCTAACCGTCAGCAACAATTTCCCCAAGATCTTCTCCTACGGCGACGTCTACCTCGGCCTCACGGGGCTCGCGACGGATGTTTCTACAGTGTCTGATCTCTTCCGCTACAAAGTCAACATGTACCGTCTCCGCGAGGAGCGCAATATCTCGCCTTCGACCATGGCCAACTTAGTTTCTTCCTCCCTGTACGAGAAGCGCTTCGGCCCATACTTTGTCAGTCCAGTAGTCGCAGGTATCGATCAAAAGAGTGGGAAGCCGTTCATCTGTGGGTTCGACAGTATTGGGTGCATTGATTTCGCCAAGGACTTTATTGTCGGCGGGACGGCGAGTGATCAGTTGTTTGGTACCTGTGAGGGACTTTGGGAGCCGGACTTGGTATGCCCTCTTTTCTGAAGGATGAAGGATGAGGACCCTCAAAATAGCTCTCAGAAGCTAACATTAGACAATCTAGGCGCCAGAGGACCTGTTCGAGACCATCTCTCAAGCCCTCCTAAACGCAGTTGACAGGGATGCATTGTCCGGTTGGGGTGCTCACGTCTACATCATCGAGAAGGATAAGGTCACGAAGCGGTTATTGAAGGGTAGACAAGATTAAGGGGGGCGTTTACAGGCGTTATTGCGAGATACAGCTGCTGGGGTCGGGCACTGGCTGGTCTTGTGTACACTAGAAATGGCATGGAATTGCGGCTCGACGACAGCAGAATGGACACACGATATGATGCACGATTATTTTCTTCAAACTCCGATTGCAGGTCTGTTTTGTGAATGGTGGACTCGAAGGGCTGGGTCGAGATGTCGGAACTATGGCAGGCTTCCGATGCTGGGATAAGTATTCGAATGAGTTCCTGTATATATTTGAAGACATCTTCGCCCTGTGGTAACCTCTGAAAAACACCTCTAGTATATATCTGAATACATCTTCGTTCGGTGGTAATTATATCCAAACACCTACTTTACCAACACCGTCCAAGACGCCGAAAGAAAGGACTAATCTTATGGCATGCCTGCCTACCTTTACGGTTTTCTCCCATCTGCCCCTCAGGGTCTGCTTCCTAATCGACACAAGAATTAGCGAAGAGCATTGAATACAGCGCAGTCGAGGTGAGGAAATAATGAGTTACTCACCACCTCTTCATCAGAAGCTCACATAAGGGTTGGTTTGGGAGCTCCAGTATGATGAGCTTGGCCCTGGCAGTGCTGTTTGAATATTATGCCAGCTAGTAAGAGAACTTCATATATACCTACCTATCTCTACATAGGACTTGGCCTGCAATCCATTAGACTAACATCCTCCAAAATCCTCAGCGTCCTCGCAGGCCACTCTTCATTCCCTCCGAACACCATACTGATGGTAGCGAATTGATCACGTGAATGACCGCTAGGCTTAGCGTCCATGTGGTCCGTGCACAAGACTTCTCAAGGTTATAAGCTCGACTCCCTCCCAAACTTTCCTTCTCTTTTCTTTCCTCCTTAGCTCTCTTTGCCTATTGGCTTAGATCAAGTGTAGTATCTGTTCTTTTCAGTTTAATCTCTGAAAGACGTCTAAGGGCGTCACATTGATTATACTTATTTTTGTCCTTCGGGGGATCGCCTCTGGGCTTGCCTATGCTTTCTCCCACTGTGTCACTGGTATTACACTGCTTCCAGTTGACGCGACATTTTTCATTGCGTATCTGGGCTTACCTGGATTGTGAAGAAGAACCCACATTTTTAAATGAGAATTGACCTCTACAGATCGGGAACCTTTGTACGGGAGCTGTAGGTCATATAGCGGACACGTTCTCTGAGTGTCATCGGAAATGCGGAGTGCAGCGCGTCGTAATATGTTATGGTTTCCGAACACGACTTTGATGGTGATCAAGTCGCAGAATTACCCCAAGGGCCAAGGAGGAGGATGCTCTCTCGGTCTTAAGCAAACCTCGTCGTAAAGCCCACAGCTCATGTATGATTCCTACGATCATCTAGACCAATCTTCAATTCAAATCTTCCATTAAAATGGCGGCGACCTCAGGGATGGTCGACCCTCGAATCTTCGAGCAGCTCCAAACCAAGATCGACGACGACGCCGAAGTTAGAGAACAAATCAAATCAATAACCCAAACACTCGAGAGACAAGGTCGAAGTGCGCAGTCCATCTTGTCAAGAGCTCATTCTACACCTGCTGCCAATCGTGAGCTTGCCCCTCGTCTCCGCAAGCTCTGCTAAAACCCCCAGTCCAACCGGTCCTCGAAGCCGCAGAAACCTCGATCAAAGACGAGATAGACAGCATCAGCAAGCTCGCTGCCGCCACCGCAAGCTCCCCATACTACAAATACAATGGTCTTTGGACTCGCGATGTGCAGAATGTGGTCTTCTCGATCCTGATGTGCGGATGGCTTGGTGGGATGAGCAAGGATGGCAAGGTGGAGCCGGGCAAACTTCTGACGATTGAGGAAGTTGGAGAAATCCTTAATGGTATGCTACATAATCTACAACAAGAGCTGTACTGACAGAACCACAGTCCCAGTCAACCTCAAAGACCGCGACGCTTTCCACATCACCATCGAAGAGTACCTTCAGTCTCTCATCAACCTGATCGACGAGCTCTCTCGCCTTGCCATGAACTCTGTCACTCTCGGAGACTACCAGCGCCCGCTACAAATCAGCCAGTTCGTCAAGGACATTCACGCAGGTTTTCAGATCCTGAACCTCAAGAACGGGCCGTTGAGAGTGAGGAGCGATAGCATTAAGTATAGCGTCAAGAAGATCGAGGATATTGTGTACGACCTGTCCTTGCGCGATTTGATTCCAAGGGCTGGGGCTCCGGGCGCTTGACTGGGACACGAGAACCGGATATATTACGATCATGATGAGAGACCAAAACTTGCGGAGCGCTACAATTGCATCTGCTGGGTGAGGGGCACGATACCGGTATCCGACAGGTGGATTCCAGAGCTCCAGCCTTGACGGTGGGTCCCGAATGTGAAGAGAGTAACGGAGGAACGCATTCAAAAGCCAAATTTAGAATAGCTATAAGGTGAACAAAATATCTGCTCCCAGTTAATGCTCTGCACCATCTCATTTTTTGAATTCCAACGTTTTGCCCACATCGGAACATCAAATCCCCGCGCACCGGGTGAAGTCCCGAACCGTGTCCACACGCGACGGATCCTGATGTTCAAGTCGAAAAAAAGTCCACTCACTGATGCCGCCACGATGACGAGCGCCGCCGCACCTCAAGCCATGTCCCTCAAACCGTCCTTACCAATTGAACTCCTCCCAAGTAGTTTCGCCCTTATATTCTCACAAATCCACCCGGCGACGCTCCTCTCTGCATACTACCTGCGATTTCCTGCTCTAGTCGCCAACCCAACCTCCACTCTCCTCAGTTCCCTATTGCCTCTAGCAGCTATACAGTTCCTGTTTGCAGTGGTGTGTCTACCAGCTGTAGGAAGCAACACAAAGGCAGTGAAGAAAGTGAAGCTCAATGCACCAAAAAAGGCCGACGGGGCCGTTGCGGGCAGGATTTTCGTGAGCTCTTCTCTTTTTCCCTACTAGTTGACTCCTGGGTTGCTTAAGTGTAAGTAAATTGCTAATACATCTTTTCGCACGGAAACAGACATCTTTCGTAGCCCTCATCTTCACAAGCCTCTCCATCCCGCTCATCACCCTTTTACAAATCCTCTTTGGGGCGCCCCTCACCACGCATCTGCCACACACGCTCCTCTCCTCCGCACACATCGCGCTCCTCACGGTATTCCCGCTCATCTACGTGCATGGTTCAGATGGCCGAAAGTGGCGCGAGATATGCTCTTTGTACAGTCCTCTCGACGAGGTGTTTGGTGGTGCAGTTGGGTGCTTCTTAGGGGCTTGGGTGGGAGCTGTACCGATCCCGCTGGACTGGGATCGGGAATGGCAGAAATGGCCGGTTACGATTGTGACAGGGGCGTATGCGGGCTATGTTGTGGGCAAGACGATGGGCAGCTGGGTGTGGAGGGGAAAGAGGATTGAGTTGGAGTAGGGGTGAGATGAAAGATATGTACGATTATACCCCCAGGGAATTGAGGTCTTGACTGATGAAGGCGTTGTTGTCTTATGTTGCATGTTCGTACTCAAGGTTGATAGTTGCCTGGGACTCTGAAGTCGGTTTCACATCGAGGGTCGACTTTGACGTGGGAAATTCATATACGCGGTCTTGAAATCACCTCCCATCATGAATTCTGTTGGGCATCGCACTCAATGTCGAAGTACATGTGAGACTTTGGGAAATGGAAATTGTCGATTTACCCTTGATTCAATACCTGAGTCCAGCTTCGTCTCCTGTTCCAGATCTACTCGATTACTTATCCCTTGGGTTCGCACTCAATGTCGAAAGCTATCAGGGACAATAAGAACTTGGTAATTGTCCTTGAACACCAAGTCTGATTTGTAGTTCGAGCCCATGCCGGCGCACCTTTTCTATTCCAGTGCCGACTGTTCTAGAAGACTGCGAGGCCTGACACGGGTTGAAATACGAGCCACTCGCGGGCCGGGAGGCGACAACGCAATTGGAAAGGTCCATCACACGATCAGAAATCTCGGTCGTGAAGATGCGGTGCGACGACGGAAGCGGTGCGGCTGGAGACTTTTGGTTCAGTTGTGTTGTTCTGCCAATCGGTCGGTGATCGCGCTGAGTCTGAGCACTTGGCACTTGCCCTCGAAAGAAGCTTTACCTTATCGGCTGTAAACGACTCACCCCCTGGGCCCCTCGCATAAAAGTCAATCAGCTGTGCTGGGTAGGTCTTCCTGCAAATCACATGAGCTGTCTCTCTGTCAAGCTGCCCTCGGCTCACTGGTCGTCGTCGGATAATATTGGGCCATGATTGAGGGTATTCGAGTCTCCGGTCAGGTCAGCCTGTGAATCGCGCCGTGATGGCCTGCACCAACCTACATACATACTCACGCAGTCTCTTGCCAATGGCCTCCGCCTCTTCGAGAGCTGACAACGTGAGGCCTCTTTGAACCACCTGGCTTGTTCCTGGCTCCTTAATACTCACTCGATCGCTTTCCAGGTCCCCAAAGACAACCAACCACAGCTCGGAGATTCATACTCGTAGTCCATACGGATTTCTTGCCGTCTCATACGCAGATTGCCATCGAGGCTCTTGAGTGGCCCGTATCACCTCACCTCACACGAGAACTGGCAGAAAGAAACAATCCCTGAGCACGTAAATGCATGGAATCTGCCCGTTGTTCCAGAAATAAACAAGCGAGGTATCGAATGAGCGTCTTGCAGGATTCGTGGAAATTTCACAAGCCTGCAGAATCCTTCTCTGTGTAACAAAATGCTACCAAAAGATCTCTTCCCGCCGCCAACACTTATTACATTGCTTTTGAGGGCAAGAGATATGAAAATGGCTTCTTGGTCCGAGGAGGCGTTTCGGAGAGGTTGTTTATTCGGTGGGGCTCTCTTGTGTACACACCATGGCTGATAGATAGTCCCGACACAAGGAGAATGATTCGAGAATCGAGGCCAAAATCCCGGAACAAGTTGCCCATCTCGGAGTAGTGGTGGGCTCCTCCTTTTCAGATTGTTGCTGCGGCTGTCAGGCCAGTCTAATCGAACAAGTGCTCACATTCCTCAAAAGTGATGCAGCCATTCACAAACCAGAAAAAAGCCTTCCAAGGTAGCGGGCCTCCAACCACTCCCCTCATCGGCTGGGGAGTCTGCATCTACCGGTATCTGAAATCAAGTGTGTGTGCCGATATTGCAGCTGCCGAATTCGCGGGCATTGATTGAACCGAACACCTTAGCCAGTGGGTGCAGACAGAAGTGCAGACAGAAGACAGACTCCGGAACATATTGAAAAGAGAAGAGAACCTACTCTCCGGCGATAGATAGTACCACCTGCAAGCAAATCTGCCCCCATAAAATGTCTCTCCTACCTGTGGTCACATTACATCCTTTTCTTAGCTTCCCAACCCAAGTACAAGAACGCCTCCCCTGCTGTGTAACTGCTACCAGCCGGGCCTGCCAATCGGTGTCTATAAGTTCAGCTCGCTCCCCAAACCTCTCTCTACAGAGTCTACCCCCTCTACTCTACTTACAATCAGTCGTCTTTGTACTTACCACCAGCCAACATGGAGAAGGAACACTACAGCGTCAACGGCTCTGATTCGCCAACCCTCAAAGCCCCAGCTCACAACAACTATGTTGATGCGCACACTGGCGTCGAGACGAAGAGTGGCCGGATCGCAGAGGCTGCTGATCTGTATGGCAGCATCGCAGAGGCTGAGGAATACGGATACGTGACTCGAGGGTACGTTCTACACGTTGACCCTGGTACCGCCCAGCAGCTAACTATGAGTGCTCCAGTCTCAAGTCTCGACACATCCAGTTCATTGCTCTTGGTGGTACGATCGGAACTGGTCTGTTCCTGGGTATCGGATCCGCCTTCACACGAGCTGGTCCTCTATCCGTGCTTTTGGGTTACTCTTTCACTGGTATTGCAATCTTTGGAATGATGCAATGCTTGGGTGAGATGGCAACCTGGCTTCCTCTTCCTGGCTCCATTCCTCAGTTCTGTGCTCGATACGTAGATGATGCTCTTGGATTTGCGGTTGGATGGAATGTAGGACTCCTCGGGTTGCGGCAGTGTCATGTCCTAGAGCTAACAAGGTATCGCAGAACTGGTATAACTCGGCGATCACACTCTGTGCTGAGATATCTGCCGCCGCAATCGTGATTGATGTACGTTTCGTCCCGTTTGGCAAAATTGTTCTTCATGTTTATGGCAAACAAGGAACCGAGTTTTTGGTCCTTGTCCTCCGCTCCCAGATTAATGTAGAGAGCACAGACTGACGTCTTTTGATAGTTCTGGAAAGGCGCTGAAGGCATCAGCGTGGCGGTCTGGATCTCAATCATAATCGTCGTTGTTGTCGGCCTTAACATCTTCGCCGTTGCGATATACGGAGAAGCAGAGTTCATCTTCGCTAGTATAAAGATTCTGACAATTGTTGGGCTGTTGATTATGGCATTCATCGTTGATCTTGGCGGCGGACCAAAACATGACCGCTTGGGATTTAGATATTGGAAGAACCCTGGTGCCATGAAAGAGTACCGCTCAACCGGCTCAACTGGTCGATTCTTGGGTCTCTTCTCCGTCCTGGTTAACGCAGCCTTTTCCTACGGTGGTGTTGAACTCGTTGCCGTTGCAGCTGGTGAGGCCGAGAACCCTCGCAAGAACATTCCCAAGGCAGTCCGCAGGGTCTTCTGGCGTATACTGTTCTTCTACGTGCTGGGTTCGTTGGCAATCGGCGTTCTTGTTGCCTCGAATGATCCTCATCTGCTGAAGGCTCAGGAAGATGGAGCTCCTGGAGCTGCTCGATCTCCCTGGGTCATTGGCATTACCAACGCTGGTATCCCAGTCTTACCTTCCATTATCAATGCTGTCATTTTGACTTCGGCGGCGTCATCCGCCAACGCGTTCTTGTACACTGGATCCCGTTACCTCTTCGCTCTTGCGCAGAACAAGCAAGCCCCGCGCTTCCTCCTCCGCTGCAGCAAGGCTGGTGTCCCATACTGGTGCGTCGCCATCACCGCATCCATCTCAGCCCTCACCTACCTGTCCGTCAATCCTGGCGGTCCTTCAGAGGTCTTCACCTGGTTTCAAAATTTGACTACTATCGCCAGTCTGTTCACTTGGTGCTCGATCTGCATCGCGTATATCAAGTTCTACCACGCACTGCAAGCCCAGGGCATCGACAGAAACACTCTCGTGTTCAGATCCCATTTCCAGCCATACACGGCCTGGGCCTCCTTGGTATTTTTTGCCGTCATCATCCTTTTTAACGGCTTCCACATTTTCGTGGGCGAGCACCACCAATACTGGAACGTTACTGGTAAGCTCAACTGACTGACCCTGTCAAGCTTCCTGTAACTTCTATCAAAGTGCTGACGTTCTGCAGACTTCCTTGCCGCATACATCGGTATCCCGATCTTTCTCACCCTCTACACATTCTGGAAGATCTGGAAGCGCAGCCCTTTCATCAAGGCCGCAGATGCTGATATCCAGAGCGGAAAGGCGGCCCTCGATGCCGAGGATGGCCAATGGCCGGAGCAGATCCCCAGAAACATCTTCGAGAAGATCTGGTTCTGGATTGCGTAGGTCAGCGGCATCGTTGCGTTTTTTATCTTCTTCCTGCGCGTAGAATGGGGCGGATGTGTACATGAATGAACGACATGGAGTCGATGCTGGGCCGCGTCTGAATAAAGATATGCGAGAATTTATCAATTGATGGTTGGATGGTGTGTTGTAAAAATTCTCACACTTGAATAGCTTCTTCACTATGTCATTCATCTTGAGATCTCGGACATTGCTACGCTAGAGTGAGATGTTACCTCTATTGACTCCATTCTGCTCTTTCCACACTCACTTGCCTTGGACTACTTGACCTTTTCATCTGTATTTAAAGATATGGGGAAAGCCAAATTTTTTCTTTCTTTTTTCGTTATTCTTCTCCCCGTGTCAGATAGAAAAGAGAAGGTCGGTCGTCCGTCCGTCACACCCTCCGTTTGACCTGGCCTCGAACCGTCTAAGTAGTGCCCACCCATTCGTCCCTTCTTCAACATGCGGCCTGTGTGTGATCATTAGAGGGATTTTGCAGCCCAGTTAACGCACCCAGTTTATCCTAAATATAGCGTCAGCGCCACAGCCAAACGGTTAGTAAGGTTGCATCGTTTCAGGAGATGACGATTACTGACTGACTGACCTGCCGAGCAGCTTTCAATATAAATGCATTTTTTGCTGCCTGATAGTGCTTGCTTTCGGGTATAATTAATCGTGCTGCGAGGCGTTTCGAAGAGCGTTCGCGATAACGGTCGGGTTTGCACCGAAAGCAAAGCCGCTTGTCATCAACCTTCGCTAGTAGAAAGAAAGATAGTATGGATGGAGTAAACCGATTGCTAGACTTCGCAGCGAGAGAAATGCGTTGAAGTAGCCTTTTTTTTTTTTTTTGTAGATGTTATAAGGGGTAAAGAAACGCGTATCACGAAAAATCGCGGATTTATAATTTTCGGCTAACAGCAGTTGCCGGGCACTGTAGATAGCTCGTCCGTATTTATACAAAGTTCCTTTATAAACAGACTAGCTGCTGCGAATGATCCTGCAAAGGGCAACTGCAAACTTTCACGTCGTAGTCTGGTCTTCGTGCATAACCTGAGGCGCATCGTGTTTGCTACGGAGGTTAAAATAGCCAGTAGAATCTTTACATTGTTGTACATTTACCGGCATATGCAGTCTATTGTACAGCATCACCTCTTGCGCTTTGATGCCTTCTTCGTGGCCTCTGGTATAGTGGTCAATTCACCTGTGGGATCCTCCTCTTCCATCTTCACCTTTTCGTCGCCGAAGCCCAACTCTGCCTTCAAACCTGAAGACTGGTCGGGATCCGCATTGACCGGCACTTCCGCCTCAACCTCCTCAACTTTCACCACTTCCTCCTTGACCAGTGCCCCGTCCTCGTCTTGCTTGATCATCTCCTTTTTAATTATCCTACCAGCCGTGACTTTGCCTCTCTCAGCAGCCTTACACAGCCCCTTCAGCCCCAGCTCACACTCACCACATTTACGTCCTACAGGCAGACAAATCGTCTGTCCTAATCCCACCAGGACCCAGTTGATTTCGTGCCACAGTTCCTTCGGTAGCCACGACTGGAGAGCTATTCGACTCTGTTCTGGTCCCTTCGTCTTGTGCCACCCCCAAAGATTCGTAATGCGATGGACATGCACATCAACTCCAATGCCCTCATGTTTTCCCCAGGCAGCACTCAAGCATAGATAACCCATCTTCGGTCCCACCCCCGGTAGTGACATGAGGCCTTCGATCGTATCCGGAATATCACCGTTGTACTGATCTCGCAAGATTTCTGCCGTGGCTTTTATATACTTCGTTTTGTTATTGTGAAATCCTACTGCCCAAATCAACTCGTTGAGCAGTTTTGGGTCGACAGCAAGTATATTCTCCAAGTTGAGACCAACTGGCGCGCCTTCCTTGTACGCTGGGAGTTCCGTATACAGACGGTTCATCGCCTGCGCGTTCGTCGTATCCTTCGTCTGCGAAGATAGCATCAATGCGGTCAGGGTATGGTACCTCTTCACCAAGGGCGTTACAGTCTCCTGTCCTAGCCTCTCACATCCCATGGTATCGACTGCTGCATTCTGCGCTGCGCCAGTGGTCCGCATCTCCTTGACCGTATTATAGACCTCTCGCCAGTCATTGGGGGGGTGGATCTCGACATCGCCCGTCTCTTCGTTCTTGACTTTGCGCGCTGGCTTGCGCACCTTGCGCTCTTTCGCGGGGGAGAAATCGACGCTCTCCTCTATTTCCGTCTTGCCCGTCGCCTTCTGCGGCGACTGCTTGACCGGCGTTCTTGCTGTGGCATTGCGCTTCCGTTTCCGCGAGTTGGGGATCACATCTTCTATATCCAGTGCCGCCTCGGAGTCAGGAGACTCTTCCTTCTTGACAACATTATGTGCAAATCTCGAGAGAGTAGATCGGTTACTTCGTCGGCCGGTGGGGGAAAGCGTTGTGGCGTTGAGGATCTTGGATGTTTCCTGGGAGATTCTTGAGGTTCGCATGGTGAGGTGGGGCATGTGCTGCTTGGGAATCCGTTCTTTTTAAGTGAAGCTTTCGGCCCCTGAAAGATCAGCGAGCGGCGCCGGCGCCGTCAAATCAACGACGACATGATTCGAATTCTCGCTTAGCTGGGTCAAGCCCGACGACATTATACAGGGGGGAAGCTCGCTTTCTCGTGGCACCATTATACCAGAGCGGAATCGAGCTCAGATGCAACTTGCTAGAATCACATATCGCTCATCAGGTAGCCTGTGCGTATTACTTTCCTTTTTGCTTGCGTCTTGAGGTATTTCGGCATCCTCGGCAGCCCTGTTATTCTGAACACTTGATTTGGAATTTCGAGTAAACATGTCCTTCTTGAAGCTCTATACACAGTTTGCGCAGCTTTGGGGCTCGCTCGCCGTGTAGCGATCGAACTCTTGAGACTCAGCCATACAGTGCGAGTCAACTCTTTATTCTCGAGCGCTGTGGCTTTCATCACAGTCAAATATCTTCTTTTCACGCATATAATAAGTCTATCTCGACCACCTTGTTCAACTTTATTCCAGTATCACTATCTACTTATCTGTGCTGTCAGCCTGCTATATCAAATATATCTCTTGGCTTATCCAAGGATGGATTCTCACCATATGTCTCATACTTTGTTGTCCAACAGAAGCTCTTCTCGGATCTATCAAGATCTCATATCATGCCAGCGGCCAAGACGCAACTATACGGATGAAAGTACTCAAAAGCTTATCATGGATTCACATGTAAAGGTAGATAAATTCTCTATTGCAGCAGACAAGCGACGGTTCTATAAAAATAAAGCTTGCTGCTCACAAATGGCATCACACGCTAAACCAGCCCAGGTCCGACCCAAAGCACATTCCAAAAAACGGCCGACAGTATGTATTGTAGGCGCCGGTATTTCTGGTCTCCGTTGTGCAGATATTCTCCTCAAGCAGGGTTTTGATGTCAGTATCCTAGAGGCTAGAGACAGGATCGGTGGCCGAGTTCACCAAACACCTCTTCTTTCAGGTCAGCTAGTTGACCTTGGAGCAAACTGGATTCATGGAACAGACAACAACCCGATTCTCGACCTCGTCAAGGAGACGAATACTGCCACGCATGACTGGGGAGACGGCTTCAATGTGTTCGACGAGAACGGGAAATTCTTGGAGAATGGGAAGTCTTTGAATGAGACGCTGTGGGGTTTCATTGTGGAAGCTTTCAAGGTATACAGTCCTCTCGATCTCTGCCCCTTGTATCGTCTTGGGGAGCTCGGTACTTTGAAGCCATGAACGATCTGTGACAATCACCGCTGACTACATGAGCAGTACTCGGCTTCAAATTCCACAACAATCGACCCAAAGCTGAGCCTCTATGACTTTTTCGCCGAAAAGATCCAGGATATCTTCCCAGGCTCAGAAGAGGCTAAGCAGAGTAAGACTTTAATGCAAATGGCCGAGATGTGGGGAGCATTTGTTGGTAGTCCGGTCCAGAAACAGAGCTTGAAGTTTTTCTGGCTGGAGGAATGCATAGATGGAGGTATGCGCTCCAATTCCTGTTTTATGCAACGAAGATCGAAATTCTCCATTTACTCAAGGTAACTAGAAAATCTCTTCTGTGCGGGTACATATCAGAAGGTACTTGCCACGATAGCAAAGCCTGCTCTGGATGGCGCTAAGCTCAAGCTCTCGACCAAAGTCACTTCTGTTGCAAGTGGGTTTGAAAAAGTCTCCGTCCAAACAGACAATGGATATAGCCTCGACTTTGATGAAGTTGTAATCACCTGTCCACTTGGGTGGCTCAAGAAGAACAAAGCCGTATTCCAACCCGAGCTGCCCGCACGGTTCACTCAAGCTGCAGACGCCATAGGTTACGGATCCTTAGAAAAGGTGCGCATGATCGTATCCTTCTTTGGTCTTCCACTACTGACCCTCGAATAGGTATATGTCACATTTCCCAGGGCATTCTGGCTCGGAAGTGCAGACTACCCAGACACAAAACCCTTTACGGGATTCGCTCAGTGGCTTGCACCCCAATACGCCAAAGACACGAACCCCAAAGGCTGGAACCAAGAGGTCGTCGACATGGCCACCCTCCCCAATTCCTGCGCCCACCCCACCCTCCTATTCTACCTCTTCGGCGACCAGTCCGAAACATTTGCCACAGAGCTTACCGCCAGACCATCACAGAAAGAGCGTGACGAGTACTTAACAAAGTTCTTTAAACCGTACTACTCTCTGCTACCTCATTACAATGCGGAGTCAAAAGACTGTGTCCCGGTCCAGTGCCTAGCGACGACCTGGGTAGCGGATGATCTCGCCGGAAACGGGAGCTATACTACCATGCGGACCGGGCTGGAGGATGCGGATAAGCATATTGAGGTTATGAGGGAAGGGCTGCCGGGAAGAGGGGTTTGGTTTGCAGGCGAGCACACTGCTCCATTTGTTGCGTTGGGGACGGTGACGGGTGCTTATTGGAGTGGTGAAGCTGTCGCTAAGCGGATTGCAGGCTCGTACGGAATGTATGAAGATGTCGATTCCTAGGTAGAGGTCATCATAGCCCGAGACGAACCTAGTCGAAGGATCTTATGAATGAATATCGCTGCTTTATGCTATGGGAGTTGTACTCCTCGTCAAAACCTGTTGGATGAGATATAATGAGTAGAAATAGATCATCTTCACGATAAGATTTCTACTACGATGAAAATTTATCAACTTGGCCACTACTGGATACTTCTAGCGAGGAACCATCATGTCAACCTTACCCGCCTCGTCATGATCCACCCTCTCCTTTTCTCTCTCCACCCTCTCCTTCTCCCTTTCCTTCTCCGCCTTCACAGCTCTCTCCTCCCTCTCACTGAACCGATCAGAGAACAGCTGAAAGTGCGGCCGCATCACAATCGTGTACTTCACAAACTCCTCCATGCAATCCACGATCCGATCCCGGTTCCCGCTGGGAATCATGCGGCTTCCCCCTTCATCTGCGTCTTCGGACGTGAATTGCGTGTAGGCTTTAGGGACTGAAGATTGATTTGGGATTACGAACATTCGCATCCATCGGCCGAGGATACGGAGGGAGTTGACGGCGTTGAAGGATTGCGAACCGCCGGAGACTTCGGCAACAGCGAGCGTCCGGCCTTGAGTTGGGCGGACAGAGCCGACGGATAAGGGGATCCAGTCAATTTGGTTCTTGAAGACTGCGGTCTGGAGAGCGCGCTTCAGTATAGATACGAAAAGAAGTTGGAGGTGTGATGACGGTGAGCTTTACCAGAGTTCCGTGCTGCTCAGGCGATATCCAAACCTGTCCGTCGCTCCAGCGGCTCAAGTCTCGCAATTCCTGAACCTTGGCATGGCTATGCTGGACGTCGTCTTTGACAGGTAAGCCGGCCGGGTCGTAGACACGAACGTCACAGCCTAGTCTGAACAAGATTCGCGATGCCTCAAAAGCTAGAAGCTTGGAGTAGGATCTGCAAGATTCAGCTGCAGCTCTGAAGAACCTCAATCTCCGACTCCTTACCTCGATCTCAGACTCCCGTACAGAACTAGCACTTTCAATCTCTGCCCTGTGGTCTGAAGATCCGCCTCCGCCAGTCGCGTCACGATGCTCAATTCCAGCTTACTGATCCAGTCACTTGACGTGACATCGGGGTCCAGTATGAATGGCCGATATTTCTCTCTCACCGTAGCATTGTCTTGATCTGCGGTTAACGCCAAGGATTTAAAGGAGTAGATGGGATCGATTTCCAGGTGCTCAACTTGACGCATTGATGATGTGTTGTTTAAATCACCCTGGATGGCCATTGGTGCTGCCATCGAGCTCGCCGGACGGAGTCTGGCTGATCTATCAATCGCACTTGATGCTCTAGGTTGGAAGGGGAGACCTCGGAAAGTGGTTGTGAGCTGGGCACTGCTTAGCTCTGAGATTGAAAGATGTGGCGGCGACATACTGCTCGTCTAAGAAAATGTGACATTTACTGAAACTAATTCTGACTCCGGGACCCTGAATTTGTTAATCCAGTGTCGGCGCAAGTGGCCAGCTTACTTGTATCTAGCATGTATCTAGAAGAGCAGGAGAGAATTGGCGAGTGACTAAGCCAGACCAAGAGACATTCTTGTAGAGAGACTATTAAACAGGAGAGATAGACATACCTGGAAATGTAGCCGAGATCACGAGTATCTAACAGATCAACGTATTTTTGGTGTTGGTGCAGGGAAAAAGAAAAGACTCTTGAAAATTGTAGATGATGGGTCCGCTCGAGGTTGCGAATGTCACTGCTTCAATTTCACTCGTTGGAGCCCCAACCACACACACCCTGAGTCAGCCGAGAAGTCGGGGCTCTCGCCTACTCGTTTGGCGAGTCACGCCAATGTTTACTCCCGGAATAATAAATCGAATTTCGATTCCGGTGCCGCACCAATCGGTGAATGGGGTATCCAGTTCGATCTAGAGGGATTTTCTGACAGCCTCAATGATTCTGTTCTAACCGTATTTATAGTGTAGCATGTGTAGCTCTAAGGTTTCAAGATCGTTGTACAGGAATAGCAGCTACTAGATTCATGTATTAGTGAGGTCCTGGACAGGTAGCTGTAGACACTATTTGTGGACTGCGGGCAGAAGCAGTAGATGAGATAGTACAGATGATATGGTTAAAATGAGACAGAGGTCTATATATAGTCCTATACGCTTTTTACGCTTCCTCGACATGTCCGCTCTTTTCATTTTGCTCCGCTTCGATTGAAGAACATTCACTACCCGTGGCGTCTCCGAGGCTTTTTTTTGGCTTTTATAATTTTCTAGACCGGCTACAGAGGAGTATTGCAAATGCAATATAATCCTGCAGCTCTTTTTAAGCCTGGAATTTGAACCTGTCTGGTATTGGCACTGTGGGATCATCATCTATACTCAGAAGCATATGAATCATGACTGCCTCAGTGGTGCCGTAATATACGCCAATCCAACCACAGATTCGCGGAATATTTAAAAGCTTTTACATGAGTAAGAACTTCTTCGTTTCTCAAAGAAAACTGAGGTACTTTATCTGCCGCGATCACCGCTCTGTATGGGAGATTTTGCTCCTTTTGGATCAACTCCGGGCGCAAAAATCTACCTAGTTCGAGAGGGTGCTCTCCACGCTTATAGCTCTGACAAAACGTTGAAAGTGGTAGCTTGTCTTGTTGAGTCACAGCAGGCGTACTGTTTGCTCGTCTGCTATGCAACCCCTGTATTCTATATGGGAGAGGTGATACTTAAGAGTTGAGGCGATGCTTAAGAATTCAAGACCAATACTAAGTCCTGATAGAAAGAGATTCGGACATAATGAAGCCCAGGTCCAGAAGTTTCTTCCGTGACCTCATGAGAATATCAATTGTTATTCTAATCAATGAAAATCGCCAAGAGAGGTTATTACTCACGCCTGCCAAATAAATCCAAAGGAGCCATGAGACCATCCTTTGCACTCTCCCTTTCGCAGTGCCCTTAGATATAATTGGGAAATCGAGGAGTTTTTGGAATTTCGATGCTCCGTCTTCCATTCGAAGTTAAGCACATTCAGATATTAGACCTGCTTTGAATTTGAGTTCTGATCCTCATATTTGGCCCATTCTTTGTCGGTTGTTGTTCTAAGTTGTCATGCATCTAACATATTTTGATAGTCGCTCTCTCTGTGCTAGGGCTCATTTCCTTAACCAAAATGCCTTTGATATGTATTTTTCAGATGTCATCACACGACCCGTGATATGGGTGAAGAGGTCAAATATCTTGGCCTTAAAACAAGGCTGTGAAGACTCAGCAGCTCGTCAGAGAGATATCGAGCGCCACAAGTACTGTATCTACACAACCTTCTCTTTCTCAATCTCCTTCGTCTCTCCGTTCTCTGACATTCCACTCCTCTAATTACCTTGTCCTTCTAATAAAACAGCTGAATGCGTGCGCCTTCACAAGGCTAGGTGGAAATCACCGCAAACATGCCTCCGAGGTTCAAGTCGTGGGTAGTGCTGGCATTCGTGCTTCTAACTCTGTATCTGGTCTTCTGGCGCAAGGATACTCTTTTAAGTTCAGGTCAGCATGCAGTGGACATGCTACCGTATATGGCATCAGTACGGGAAGCAAGGAGTCGGGAGGACTAGGGGAGACACCAAACCAAGGTGATCCGCCTTTTCAGCCTACGACCGCGAAAGAAGTACAAGGAGCTCCGAGCATTTCTGAAAATAAGCCAAGCGGCGTGAGCACTGTAGCCCAAAGGCCTTGGACGAGAACTTTTAAGAATTCCCTTTCTACAGCGAGTCGCACAGTATCGGAAAAGTTCATCACGATCTCCACAGCGCAAGTTCTTCATCATATTTTTTTTATCTCTATATGGCTTATTTTCATCATTAATGAGCTCGACTTCCTTCTTATAATTCGCGTAATTAATATGACCTTATGCAATGTAATCGTCGATAACCGACGATTATATCAAGTGGAGCTTACTTTACAATCTACTCGATAGCCGGTGATTTTTCTCCCTGCGAAAGCTCTAGTAAAGAGAAAGCTCAAGGCTAGCAAGATTGCGCAAATGGACTTCGATAGTGGCATCGTATTTGTAAATATCCGATGTAGTTTTGGAGCTTGCAAAAGAAGAGGATGATAAATTGAACATAAGGTAAGTAGGTGCAGGAGGAAAGGTATATCTCTTTTTACAGTGTATCTCTGTGATTGATCGTGAACCTGCTTCAAAAATGCACTGATTATACTTGTCTTTTTGTGGCAGCTGCTGCATTCAGCCGCTGCAAGAAGAGATACTACTCCAGTCTGTATTGACCCGGAATCATCTGTGGTATTTAAATATGCTGCATGTATTCCGACATGCCTTAATTTTGTGTTTCCACCGCGAAAGCATGGCCAGCCAGGTGATGTGAGAGTATACCGGTAGTATACTTAAGAACACGAGCTGTATTGCCTGTCAGGTTTGCCGCGCCAGACGCACGAAACGTGATCAGCTGAGAACTGTATATTCCTTCCGCGAAAGCATAGGTGGAGAGTATGTTGCCGATCCGGCCCAGCTGTCAATTTTTGATCTGGTTAGCAGAGCTTGGAGCATCAGGTGGGAATGTCGAAAAATGTCGTGAAAGAGAAGTGATACGGGCCTATCAATGAACCTAAAATATAGGCAGCTGGCATACTGGCCAATTTTTCATTCTACCGCTACATGACCGACATCTCGGCAGCAGGAATGAACGGCTTTTAACCGTAACATCAGCGCCATGGGCAATGTGGGGGAGAGTGCTAGCAAAATTACTGTTACTAGGCCGAACTGAGTTTGGAATGAGACTGGAGATTTCTATTATAGCTAGCACTATGCAATACTCACTATCTAAAACCTCATATTTCTTACAAATGCAGAAAACACAAATCATGAAGCCCTACAACTTGCTCTTGAAAGAGCTTGTCTCGTCCTTCTTGATCAAAACATCACTGTCTGGGTACGGGTCCACCGTCAGACCATTCAAAGGGTTCAACTGGCTGGCTCTGTAGAACATGTCCTCGTACACCTTTCCGTCTTTCCGTCCCAGGCTGGAGTCAAGCTGCCAGTCCGGAAAAGCCCAAGCATCAACCAATCGCAAAGCATGCGGTCTGATCTCCTGCAATAGGTTCATCACAGACTTTGTGCGCGCGAGTTGGATCTGGCGCACTGTGACAGCAGAGGATGAGTAGAACTCAGAAGCTTCTTTCTCGAGCGTATTAAGTGCGTAGAGACGGAAGAGCTTGTGCAGAACATCGATAGTGGCGGGGTCGAGTTCGTAGCGTAGAGACTCGGATTGAAGGGCATCGTAAAAATTCTTGACGACGAGGTATTGAGAGTGAGCTGTGCTGAGGCGCCAGAAGTCTACCAGCAGAGAGTTCCACGAGTTCTTCTCGACGTCTCGGTGCTTGAGGGCCTCAAAGGTAAGGAAGGATGCACGCCATGCGAATGCATCAACAAGGTCACTGTCGGAACCCAGAATGTCGAAAGCGGCGCCCATGTCTTGTTTCTTCAAAAATTTGGCGAAAATGCGGGATGTATCATTGTTCGGGGCGTTACCTTTGAGAACTGCCCGAGCAGATTTGAGGAGCTGATTCAGTGTAAGCGATGATAGGTAATGAAAGACTATTGAAACTTACGTATCGTGCGACCTGTTGAGTCAACATATAGTTGTCACCTTCCCAAGTGGTTGTGGGAAGGTAGTCGGCATACCAAGAGCCGATTCCACTGAAGCTAGAGTATCCGTGTCCGCCACAAGCTCTGCGGCAGACCTCGAGACCCTCAGCGGCGGTGGTACTACCAAGAGCTTTCAACCCGCAGGATGTGGCATGCAAGTCAGCAAGAAGATCACTGCCAGAGTGCGTCTCCTCAGGGCCAGGGCCACGATTGGATTTCGAGCCCTCCGCACCCACTTGTTGCATCCTCTTTTGATTTTCCTGGTACATGGCCATCATAGACTTTCCAGTAAAATGGAGTGCAAATGTGGCTGCCAACAGAGGAAGAAGACGGAACTGCACCATAGTATAGTTCAGAACTTGGTTCTCTCCGTCGGATCCTGATGGAGCATCTCGGTCTTGAAATTGACGCCTCACTGCAGCATATCTTGTGGCAATAGTCACACCTCGAGCCAGGACTCCTCCAGATTGCAAGACGATCGTGGACCGCACCCAGGTCAGAGTACCGTAAATCAGAGATGGAGAGGATGGCTTGACGTATTTACTAGTTTCGGGATCGACTCTGGAGAATCTGGCTAGCATGTTGACGTGTGGGATCTTGACCTTGTTGAAGAGGAGAAATCCGTTATCCATAGTGTTGTAGCCAAATTTGGGTCCAATGTCACCAACGTGTACTCCCTCCAATGGCTCGTGTGTCTTCATGTCTCTGATCTGGCAGACGAATGGATGCGGTCCATATGGCCTTCCACCGATGATGAGCTGTGCCATCACAACCGCATGATTTGCTGTCCGTCCAAGCGATCCGATCCACCACTTCGATGCGGTGAGGTGTGGGGAATGAAGAACAAAAGTTTTGTCCTCTGGGTTCCAAGTGGCCGTCGTCTCCAAACCTCGCACATTCGATCCGTGTCCCAATTCCGTCTGCGCATAGCAGCCAATAGCCTTGTAATTCTCAGCAGGTTCGAGAAAGAGCTTGTGCTGCTCATCGGTTCCTTGGCTTCGGAGAGTTGTCTGCAAGAGATTAGTGACTGGCTGCAGATGAAAGAAATACTCAACATACAAGGTACATGGTTGCATGCAATCCATAAGGCGTAGGCTCGCTGATGAGGTCGTTGGCCATCATGTACTCATCCTGAGTCCAGTTGTGCTTGACATATAATTGCCTTAACCTCTTCGCTTTGGCCAGCGAGGTCTGGAACCTGTCGACCCGTCCATCGAAATAGTTGTTGGACTTGTCAAACACCTTGTCCGCTTGAAGGATCTCCAGGATCTTTTGCTGACGGTCCAGGACATCTTTAGTGAAGAGGAAGTTGGAGAGCTTCTCGACAGAGATATTGGACGTCTCTCTCTCCGCCTTGATGAGTTCTGTCCCTTGTGGAGGAGACGGCTTCAGGTCCTTGACCCATTGAGGAGTTGGAGACATTTTGGTTATGAAAGCTGGTAAATGATTGCTGAATGAAGTCAGAGTTTGGGAAAGCGACGCGTTTTAATGTTGTGGCTTCGGGTTCTCGGTCAAACATGTGAGGAACGCAGAAGTCGCCGTCATCAAGTCCGACCAGACATCGTGCCGAGGTACAGTACATTTTGACTTTCTTAGCTCGCTCTCCAAACTGTTGCATCTGATAGCAAGAGGCCCGAGAATGTTACAAGAAGTCTTTTCGTGCCAGAGGAGATGGATTTTGAGAAATTTTGAAACCGACGAGATTCGGTGCAACAAGTCTTAAGGGCTTAGAGTACTGTAAATTCGTCGATTGGCTGGCTAATCACGTTTTACCCTTGAACTGTTTACCATACGTCCATCAAGCGAAGCTGCAGCGCAGTTCATGCGCGGTTGACAGTCTCTTTCCGCGAGATCATGCGAGAAGGTAGAGGGCGTTTGCAAGTAATCACTGATAAACGAGTGATGTGTAGGCTCGTGGTTCTCTGTTTTTTTGTTTGTTTTTTTGTTTATTTGTTAATTAGATGCATTGGTTGGCTCCCTTGGACCTTTATCTACTGGATTGTCCGGGTTGAGCAAAGACACTACAGCTTGGCAAGTTGTACCTTTCCTGCTCGAATATTTTGTTATCCTGTCCCTTCATCGAGTATCTCGAATTTATCATCACGGATTTATCGAGACTGCTCCTTCTTCCCTTGTTGTTCCTTCCTTCTCACCCTGTGCTTCCAATTCTGCAATTTCCCACTTCTCAAGCATGGCTTCAGTATGCTCTGCGTGCTACTCTTCATACCACAATTTGCACCTACATATCATCATCCTCAGAATACTCATACCTCACGCTCTTTGTACCTAAATGGCACTAGAGAGCACCTCGTATCATTCTAGCTACATAGTCTTCATCTTGATGCTCTCCTTCCAAGCCCTTCTCCGCATAATTCTAAATCAGCCCGAACCTACAAATGATTCCTCAATCACCTCAAGACCCGCGGATCATACCTTCTCCCTCCTCCTCTAAGAAAAAAGAACCATCACGAAGCTCTACATTCCGCGAGTATGTACTCCACCGGTGGCTGCTTGGAGTTCTTGCTATCATCATGGTCGCCATTATGGTCGTTGGGATCATCTTTGCAGCGCATGGATACTATAAGGCGCTCGGAGGACAAGGATTCCTGAAAGCGAAAAGGGAGGCGGCTAGTCCCAGACAGAATAAAGGCACACTCGTCTATCTACCGCTACGCAAGGTGGAAGTCCCCGTCAAGGGACAGACAGATTGGAGCTTGGTCGGCAGACAGAAGAACGTGCCTTACTACATTTGTGGGGATCAACGAAACAGCTGCGAGGCGTTCAATCAGCCTGTAAGCATCTTAATACCTCCAGCAAGGCAAGACTAAGCAACTTTCCAGGACATATGCTGTCCAGTTACGATGGCCTGTTACCCAGCAAAGTTCTCGCTCTCCGGCATCTTCTGCTGTAACGATACGAAAACATCCTTCGATTGTGAACCTTCAGAAGACGAGCCACCGAAATGCATAGAGGGTACTGTTCAATGCTCAGAAGCAACAGGCGGTGGATGTTGCCCTTCAACCAAAGAGTGCTCGCCCAACGGATGCGTACATGTTGTAAACGCTTCCATCATCAGCGCTTCTCCCTCGACTGTTGAATCTTCTTCATCCGCGACGAGAGCTAGTAGCGTCGTGGGAACTCCGATCGTTTTCATTACTGTGACCGAAGTGCCAGAGGCAACTCAGACTCTTGCCAAAGTAGGAGAAGTGATGCAGGCACGAGGATCGGGGGATTCCATCGTCATGAAGCTTTGCGTTCCATATTCAACCGTCTATTTGCTTGTTGGTGTGGCTGTCCTGATGGGAGTGCTATGATCTCGGAAAATGATGGATAGAGTCGAGTAGACCGAAGAAGTTATTCAAAGGATTTATTGAAAGGATGCCTTCATTTTGGAAGGTCTACGGGTCAAAATTGCGTTGTCTTAGTTGTCAGCTTGTCGTTTAGCTTCCAATGATACCCTGTTCTACCGATCTTGATAATTCCCAGACCAGTCTAATCAAGCTTCTCTATCGAGATCTCGAACTATCGACTATCAAAGTAGAAGATATGGAGAAAGCCGTGACACCGATCATGCCCCAAGTATCCAAAAAGCCATGTAATAGTGAGCTCCCTAGCTTCAGCTTTAAGCTCAGAGTGCCTCTTATTACTGGACTGGCCTGTATAAATAAGCATCTCAGGGGTAGACTCGCTTAACTCGAACCATCACAACGTGCGAGTTGCTTGGCTATAAATGAGAATGGCAGCTCGGTGGCTCCGTCGATCATTTCTGATTCGACAGTCCCATCTAATACTACTGAATTAGTAGCTCAAGTGGGCCTGAACGGCAACCGTGTATGTGTCTTGGGTGTCCGATTTTGATCAGGAAACACAATCAATAAGCACGGCCACCACTCACCACTAGGAGACGTGATAAACAGAGTAATGAGACACTATCTTGCTTTCACAGAACTTCGAGATCTTAAAATCTCCCAACGAGACCGTGCTCAAGTTCTGCACGCTTTGCATCACACAACGCACCCCTCAGCCCTCGAACCCGTCTCTGCGCGGCCAAACACACTCCAAATTCATCCGCTACGCGATTTTTAATGGCAACTATCCACGAGTGTTCTTCGTCCGCACCGTAAAGAAGCCGCTCAAAAAGAAGGTGTTCAATGAGACGGAACTTTGACGCAGGATGAGACGTTGAGGATAATTTTTCTAAGACAAGATAGTGTTGGGCGCGAATCTTGAGGCCGGGACCAGTACCGTGTCCTTGGCTGTGATATTCGTTGCTCTGCAGAAGCGTTATTTCTACTGTGGAATGAAAGCTCAGCCTGTATATAGTAGTAGTAGCCTTTGGAAGAGCGTGACGTATGATACTACTTTCTGTTTCCTAATGCGAGTCAAGTCGGCGTCACTTGCCTCTAACGTACAGTAATAGTAACAGTGTCACCCATGCACCATTGCTTATTAATTGGACTGTAACAACTCGGTAATTTTTAACTTGTTCTTTTGATCTCTCCCTCGGCAATTCAAGAACAAACAAAATTCCAATCTGCAGAGGTATCCGATTGAGGGATTTGGAACTTTTAAACAAAGGCCTGAATCCTCGTCAAAGCCTTCCTCCACCAAATCGAATCCACCCGACCCGTTCTTAGCGAGCTCCGAATCGCCCTAACCACGCCACGCCTTACATATCTGAGCAACCGCTCTTCGCCTCGAGAGACTTTCTGTCATCTCATCACTTCAGTTCGAAAGATCTACTCTATCCTTCGTTTCTCTAGATACTCAAATACGTATATTCTGTTCGACATGGCCCCTTCAGCGACGTCGGATATTATCGTGGTGCCGGTGGCGAAAGTGGGGGTCGAGGAGGAGACTTCGCCGAAACATGTTGCTGTGCATGGGGCAGAGGACAAGACGCCGTTGGAGGCTATTAGCCATGGGGATTTGGTAGCTCCTGGTAAGTGCTGGTAACTCAGCCTGGAGAGGATTGTTGGAGTTTGGTGAAGTGTTTGTGATGCCCTCACGTGGTGTTGCACTTTCACCGCTTCACATAACACATGCGACCTTGGGGCTGGCTTGAGATTTTCTCATTAAATTAGGGGTACATGAAGCGAAAGGGTCGTTGCTTTTCAAGGCTTGAAGCCCTGCTTACAGATCACCAGGCATCCCGACATTCTCATCCCACGCCGAAGAGCGTAAACACATCCTCATCCACACGGCGGCCGTCTTCCGCGATTTCTCTCGCAAGGGTTTCACCGAAGGAATGGCCGGCCACATCTCGGTCCGAGACCCGGAGTACGAGTCTTATATCTGGATGAACCCGCTGGGGAAACATTTTGGTCTCATGACCGCTGGAGATCTGGTTTGTTTGGATATCAATACTGGGAAGCAAGTTGGTGGAAACAGAGTATGCTTTCCCCCTTTTTAATCAAATCATGTCTTTTTTTATTTTTTCGCTTGAGGAGGGATGAAAATAGTCAATGCGACAAATAGCGAGCGAGCTGCTGATTCTTTGCCAATAGAGCAGAGCGGCCAACGCAGCTGGCTTCCTCATCCACTCTGAAATCCACAAAGCCCGTCCTGATGTCCACGCTGTATGTCACGCCCACACAAACGCCGGTCGCGCCTGGTCCTCTTTTGCTAGGGGAATCGACATGCTGAACCAAGATATTTGTACCTTATACAATTCTATTGCTGTGTATAATGAGTACGGCGGCATTGTATTTGCCGAGGAAGAAGGAAAGAACATCGCCACGGCGCTGGGAACGAAGAATAAGGTGTGTATCCTCGATGATCGTAGCCCCCTCTCTCGCACGCCTATGATGAGCAGAGACTACTAGAACGAACCGGCAGCAAGCTAACTTGCCTCCTTAGGTCGCAATTCTGATGAATCATGGCCTCTTGAGTACCGGCTCCACAGTCGACGAAGCCGGCTTTCTCTTCGGCCTACTCGACCGCGGATGTGCAAGTATGCTCCTCTCCCGCCCTCTTGTGCTCTCCTCCTCGCTAAAGAAACTCCAGTACAGCTCCAGGTCGAAGCGGCCTTGGCCGGCAACCCCAACCTAAAGAAGCACATCGTAAGCGACGAAGAAGCAGCATATAACTTTAAGATGGCGAGCGAGAAAAACGCTTTGTACGCTGAAGCGCAACCAGATCTGGATTATGAATTTGCAATGGCTGGGGAGGGGGTTATTGAGAAGGGTGTTGAGAACCAGAAGATTGATTGAATTGGAAGTGTAGACTAGTAGGATTATGGATGGCGTTTTTCGCGTTGTTGATTTCGAGTAGATTTTTAATTGAGTCTTATCAATGCCTCCTCGATACAGCTTAGTCGGAACACGACTCTCTTTCTTCAAGTGTTGCGAGATGGCTGGTACCTTTCTCGTGCAGGCGTTCTCCACAAAGTCGGAGCCAATTTCCACACTCTGATATATCTCTTAGATCATTACCATTTCTCCATACGCACATTCTATATCTCAAGGTGTCTCCCGACTGTATCAGCACTTAAAATTAGGCCCCTGCCCTGCCTCGATTCCTCCTTCTCGATACCAGATTGCAATCCTGCCACCACGAGATCAATATTATCGTCATATTTCCCCGAAGCCGACTTTAGAGACTCCTACGCGTCTCTATTGGAAGCAGCCTGCGTCATGGACGTGGGATTTATCTGACCTCTGCGTGATATGCATCTTCGAGATTGCGTCAGGGGGCCAAGTATCCCGCCCAATGCTTCAGATATGCGTTCGGATATCGAAGCGCTGGTCACTGCGCCAAGGGGGTGAATCATATTTTACGAGGAGGGCTACCGGAGTATACCGTATGATCATGAGACGACGCGTGCGGCTCAAAACTTCAGATCAGGCTTGTGTGCCTGTACATAATGGGCTTGGCCACTTTTTGAAATTTGCAACTTATTAGGTTTTGCATATATACATAATGTAATTGATACAGCGACAAAGAAGCAGTTGGATATCTTCGAGCAGTTCACTAGGGAGATTGACAAGCTGCTTTGTGATGGGCAAGATCTTTGTATATAGAAGATGTCTGGTTGTATCTGTTCTTGTTCAGTCGTGGTACACCCGTAAGAAAATACGACGAAGAATCGAAAATTAGGAATCCTGCTTAGATGGTGAGACTGCATGATAGGAAGTGAGCCCATCCTCTCGATAACAAGATTTCATCCAAGAGAAATTATCATTCGTTCGTACCAGAACCAATTTTTCAACTTTAGGACTGCACATCCAACTCACTGCGTCCATCTAATGACCTTAGCCTCTTTTTGCAATCGCAATTTCACGATCATGTGAGTGTCTTCGCCTGTTTCCACCAAAAATCCCATGTTTCTCAGCCATGACAAGCCCCTTTCCTGATCTTGGCCTGTCACTTCCGATTTAGACCACCAGTCCCACATGGCAAGATGTTCAGCATCTGTGTTATGTCCTAGGACCTCGATAGTTTGGGCGTCGGGAGTATAGGTGAATCGGGTCCGGGAGCCGAATGGCGGAAAGGGTATATGGTTGTTGTATCGGTAGTCAAACACTGCTGCGTAGGCAGAGCGATACCCAAGGACGCCAAGCATGAGTCCGATCAGCATACTAATAACAATCTCGTAGGCATGATGCTGCTGATCATTCGAGACATTTCAGCCAAGCAACGCATCCGGAAGAGAGCATGAGACTAACATATGAAATGTACATCGGTCCTGCGATGAGTGTAGCCAAGAGTAACGGTGTCATGGTCGCGATGAATACCCAAAACTCCGATGCATGATCTCCAAAAGCCTTCAATTTTGCGTTGATGTACAGGGCAAGAAATATTGAGGAAGCAAATGCACTCGTGGTGTGACCGCTAGGAAACCCTTGTACCCTAGGTCCAGAATCAGCAATTATTCGATAGTCATACAATGAGAACTCACGCTCAGCTAACGGCATTTGGGCTAGCTTTACACACTGAGGGATGAAGAAATCTTGCACAAGAATCATATTGAGGTCAGGTTTGCATACGTCGAGGAAATGAGGTCGGAAGCCACCAATGAAATGTTTGAGGGTTGTAGCAACCAGTGTACTGGCTCGATAAAAAGTCAGAACGCGAGAATGGATTGCTAGCTATCAGCTCCAAATACTCACGACACAGCTGCAGTTTTCAACGTTCCTGTGAACCCAGCATGAAAGTCCCAGAGACTTCGCAGCTTGAGTTGAAACATGGTGATAACAAGCAAAGGAAGGAGAACAACGACCAATCCACATGCCCATGTTGGTAGTGGCTCTTTCACTAAGGGATAGCTGAGCTCGACTAGACCGTGAAACAGAGGCACAGATCCTTCTGAGGCACTCCGTGGGGCAGAAGAGCGTTGTATTGGAATCAACCTTAGTTCTAGGTAGTACACTGGCAGGGAGTAAGCCCAGAGCGCCGAGGTAGCAACAACGGCGATAGATAAATATTCGAGCCAAACGATCCGCAGGTAGGAAAGCCCAATATCTTTACGAGAGACGACCTCGCTGCGACGGCGAGGAGTATGGGAAGCGACAACGATAGGCATAGGTGAGATATGCCCGAAATAAATAACGAAACGAGGGAGGGTGCAGCAAGTGAGCAATATGAGAAAGAACGCCAGGTCATATACTCAAGAAGAGCTGGGAGAAGCAATACAAATGCGAGCCACCATCTTTGAATGTAAGGAAGGCCCTGGCTGAGCAGGAAGGAACATTCATTCATTTGTCCTGGCAACGCCAAGTCATTTTCATCGAAATAGAAATCAATATAGATCTACTGGATCATACATAGATACATCATGGCTCGATGATCTCTCCTTCGATGTCACATATCAGCAATAAGGTGGAGCAGACGGGATGTTGTTGAAGCTTGGGTACTGATGTATACTTGCTTAGTCATCCGGAGCGGATTGCAACGTCAAAAAAATCCGATTTTGGGGCCAGATTCAGCTCCAGGCCAGCAGCCGAATTGACAAAAGGGATCACGGATCTGCACCTTACTAATCATCTCACTCGAACATACCTAGGCTTTGTCTGTCTGCTCATGATAAAGGGTAAATAGAAGGTAGTCAGTCGGGCGAAACCAAAAAGTGGAGGCTACTTGGTACAATATTTATTACGGAGATACAGTAGTCATGCTCCGTCGGGTTTACCCCGCTATGCAAGCTCCCCAGAGGCTCGGGGCCATCGTACGTCACTTAGATCCTCATCCTCATCCTCGGCTGTCAACTATTCCTGTAAACAGTCCCTACACCATCAAGAGACTTGCCAATACCGACTCTCCCACACAGTCAAGACGATTCAGCTCCAGTTCGCAGACTTCAGACAACGACAAAGCAAACATGTCTTCGCAACCCAACCACCCCGCCTTGCTCGTCCCCGGCCCGATCGAGTTCGATGATGCTGTTCTGCAATCCATGAGCCATTACAGGTATGTGACCATTCTGCCGTCCTACTCTCGCATGTGTCCAAAATTTCAAGGAGGCTGACTTGTGTGTTGATAGTGAGAGTCATGTTGGTGCTCCATTCGTTGCCACATTCGGAGAGACCCTTTCCATGCTTCGAAAGCTATTCCAAACGACCGACCCCTCTTCTCAGCCATTAGTTATCTCTGGCTCTGGCACACTTGGATGGGATATCGTAGCAGCAAATTTGGCAGAGCCAGGCGACGATGTCTTGGTCCTTCATACCGGCTACTTTGCCGACTCGTTCGCGGACTGCTTCGAGACTTATGGAGTCAAGGCCACACAACTCAAGGCCCCTATTGGAGAGAGACCTCAACTTCCGGAAATTGAGAAGGCGCTGAAGGAAAAGAATTATAAGCTGTTAACTGTAACCCACGTCGACACTTCCACGGGGGTTCTGAGCGAGCTGAAAGCTCTGTCCGAAATGGTCCACCGAGTTTCTCCAGACACTTTGGTTATCGTGGATGGTGTCTGCAGTGTTGGCTCCGAGGAGATTGAATTTGACAAATGGGGACTCGATGCGGTCATTACCGCTTCCCAGAAAGCAATCGGATGCCCTGCCGGGTTATCGATCTCGATGTACAGTGGCCGTGCTATCAATACATTTCAAGCCAGAAAGACCCCACCTGGATCTTACTTTGCGTCTTTCAAGAACTGGTTACCAAGTAAGTCAAGATTGTTTGGGTTGCAATTAATCGGAAACTAATCATATCAAAAAGTCATGCAAAACTACGAGGCCAAGAAGCCCTCCTACTTTGCGACTCCTTCGCCCCAGCTGATCCACGCACTTCACACATCATTGACCCAGATACTCTCCAAGCCACTCTCTGAGCGCTTCGCTGCACACCGTGCCGCGTCGCAGAAAGTCAAGAAGGCCGTCACTGACCTTGGCTTGAAGCAACTAGCCTCCAACCCCGCGGATCAAGCGAATGGCATGACGGCCATCTACCTTCCAGAAAATGTCAAGGCTCCTGAGCTTTTACCCAATCTGCTGAAGAAGGGTGTCATTTTTGCCGGTGGTCTCCATAAAGAGATTGCCACCAAGTACATCCGTGTTGGTCACATGGGTGTCAGTGTTGTACGTACTCGCTAAACTTTTTCACTATTTACATCTACTGATTGTTTACTTAGACTGATCCTAAGCGCGATGACGTTGATCGTGCTATCAACGCTCTTGGTACTGGATTATCTGATGCTGGATATCAAAAGGCTTAGAGGGTAAATCTCCACGAACTCATAAAAGTTGGACAAGAATATACAGTGCAATCTAAGAATCTTTGCCAGTGCGTTGTTCCTCGATGAGGGGATGGATAGCGCGTTGCCGTGCAAACTTCTCTTTGATCGAAAGAACTTCTATTGACCCGCTGACTTGACACAGTCGAATGTTCCCATGAGTTGTTGATGAAATCATCCCAAAAGCCATCTCCAGAATGCAGCAGCTTTTGCTTCCGCAACACCGCATGTGATATCGAACAAATGAAAGGAAATCAAGCCACCGATGAACGTTGTGGATATAAGTTAACATTTCTATCAGCCGTGTCCCCTACATGGCAATTATTGCCACTATCGCTATGTCAAATATTTCTGAGGCTGCAGATACCACCCTGCGTGTGTGTACCACCTCCCACCCTTCTTCACACTCGACCTTCAAGACAAGTAATGGCACATTTGCCATCATTACTTCGTCCAGTAAGCCGGCTGCTACGACTGCCGAATAAATAACGAGCAATAACAGCGGCGCGTTGACTAGTTTTGCGGTGAGCGCTGTTGCTACGCAAGCTGGTGCGAATAGACGGAAGGGAATTCGGGGACTGATGTGTGTTGTGATGTGAGGTGGGCGGGATTGACTGTAATTTTTTATTTAGGGTTGGTCTTTAGATACTAAGATGAAGTAGGGGACATGAGCAAGGAAGATAGGAATAGGTGTTGATTTTGTTGGGGGGTCTTCGTATGTGTGAATTAGTTGCAGACATTATTCACCCCCTGCGATAATCATTAACATTCACTCCTTGCGATAATCATTGTTCCTCGCTTGCTAGACCTCATGCTAATAACGACAGTACGCTAAGATGCCATGGCTCTGTCAGAGTAATGAGAGCACAGCCATGCAGTGACGAAAGAACAAAATTTCTCTGTGACGCCAGCGGAGACAAACGCATGTAAAAAAATTACGAAATTGTGATTGGAAAGTTGACCAAGATTCAAAAAGGAGGATCTGGAGATTGCTCAGAAGCTTGCATTGTGAGAACTGTTCTCCAAAGCGTCAATGCCAGGCTGGATATTTGGCCTTGCAAATATCGGGAATACTATATGAAATATAAGAATCCGTAAGATCTCTCTAGAACATTCCAGACTAGAGCGAATAAATAACCGCCTTGCACAAATCAACAACATGAACAACAGGAAGCTTTGTCAACTATATGGATTTTAAAGGGTGAAACCTTACTTCAACGCGTTGCTGCACAGAGGCTCCTCGGCACGTCTAGTCCCGCTCACGTGATGAGTTAGCGGGGTCAGCTCCCAGCAAAATAACAAGGCTAGTTTCCAATACCTTCAACAGCCTCTTCCGCAACAATACCTCCTTCGAGCATCTCATCCACCTCAGCGCAAGCTGCACGAAAGCAACATCAAGGTTGAGATGGCTCCGTCGATTCCGGAGCTCGACGCGACAGTCCGCGCCTTCTATGAGGGCAGAGGGGAACCGGTCCGTATCTCCTTGGATTTTGTCTCATAGCACAGTCTACCTGAAGATTACATTTATGGCATTTACTGACGTGCTGGGCCTATAGCAAAAAGCTGCACAAGCTGCGCTGAACCAGGTATGCCCCTCTATCGCGTTGAAATTCCATATTCCCGCGCCTGCTAACAGGTCGCCACAGTTCAAAGAGGATCCCGATGCATGGCTACTGGTTGACAAGATCTTGCAAGATGCTACATACCCTCAGACCAAATGTATGCCTCCACACCTTTACTTGCGTCGCCGCTACGCATATAGCTGACAAATGAGCAGACTTGGGCCTGCAAGTACTCGACAATGTGATCTTGACGAGATGGAAGGTTCTGCCAAAAGAGCAATGTCAAGGCAAGTACACATCGCCTTAGAAAGATACCACGCTGACAGTCATAAGGTATCCGTAACTTCGTGGTCAACTTCATCATTCAGTGCTCTGCCTCGGAGGAATCCCTCAAGACGCAGCGAACACTTCTTAACAAGCTTAACCTTGTTCTTGTCTCGATTCTCAAGCAAGAATGGCCACACAACTGGCCTACCTTCATAAACGAAATAATCTCCGCCTGCCATACCAGCTTGTCGATATGCGAAAATAATATGGCTATTCTGCGTCTATTATCGGAGGAGGTGTTTGACTTCTCGGCGGACCAAATGACCTCGTCGAAGACGAAGAGCTTGAAGACAACGATGTGCGCAGAGTTCTCGGCCATCTTCCAGCTCTGCAACGAAGTTCTTAACAGTGCCACCCAGCCAAGCTTGATTAAGGCTACCCTCGAGACCCTCCTCCGCTTCTTCAACTGGATACCCCTTGGCTACATTTTCGAGACCCCCTTGATTGATACCCTACGAACAAGATTCCTGGAGACGCCCGACTTTCGAAATATTACTCTGAAGTGCCTGACAGAAATTGGTGGCCTGCAGACTGGTCAAGGCAACGCTTACGATGAGAAATTGGTTCATATGTTCACTGAAGTCTTGACAACAATTTCGAAAATCATCCCACTTGCTATGGACCTAAAGTCTACTTACAACTCCAGCAACTCCAGGGACCAGGAATTTATCCAGAACCTGGCTCTTTTCCTCACGAACTTCTTCAGTGTCCACCTCAGCGTAAGCCCAATGCCCACTGAATGAATGATATGCACAAACTAACTCGCTCTTCAGCTTATTGAGAACCTTATAAACCGGGATTTCCTCACCCACGCCCACTTCTACCTCATTCGCATATCGCAAATCGAGGACCGAGAGATTTTCAAGATCTGCTTGGAATACTGGACGAAGCTTGTTCAAGAGTTATACGATGAGATGCTGTCTCTTCCCATGACCGATGTCAACCCTCTCGTCAATATGGGCGTCGGTGGTCTGCAAAGCCCTGGCGCACCAAATCCAAGCGTACTAGCGAACTACCCCCTTCGGAAACATAAATACAACGAAGTGCTCTCTAATCTTCGAGTGGTCATGATCGAGAAGATGGTCAGACCAGAAGAAGTTTTGATCGTGGAGAATGATGAGGGAGAAATCGTGAGAGAATTTGTCAAGGAGAGTGATACCATTCAGCTGTACAAGACCACAAGAGAGTGTCTTGTGTACCTGACCCATTTGGACGTCGTAGATACCGAGAGTATCATGACGGACAAGCTCGCGAGACAAGTCGACGGTTCAGAGTGGTCATGGGCCAACTGCAACACTTTGTGCTGGGCTATCGGATCCATTTCCCTGGCTATGAACGAAGAGACCGAGAAGCGATTCCTGGTTACCGTCATCAAGGATCTCCTTGGCTTGACTGAGATGAAGAGAGGTAAGGACAACAAGGCAGTGGTGGCCAGTAACATCATGTACATTGTTGGTCAATATCCCCGGTTCCTGAAGGCACACTGGAAGTTCCTGAAGACCGTCGTCAATAAGCTGTTTGAGTTCATGCACGAGTCGCATGAAGGCGTCCAGGACATGGCTTGCGATACTTTCATCAAGATTGCGAGACAATGCAAGCGCCACTTCGTTGCATTGCAGCCAGGAGAGAACGAGCCTTTTATCGAAGAGATTGTACGAACTATGCGCAAGATCACTTGCGATCTCTCACCACAGCAAGTTCACACATTCTACGAGGCTTGCGGATACATGATTGCTGCACAACCTCAGAAGAATGCGCAGGAGAGGCTCATTCATGAGCTGATGTCATACCCTAATGCTGCCTGGGATGCCATCATTTCACAAGCCACATCAAATCCCCAGATTCTGCAGGATCCGGAAACGATCAAGGTCATTGGCAATGTCATGAAGACCAATGTATCCGCATGCATGTCGATTGGAAGCTATTTCTACCCTCAAATTGGGAGAATTTACCATGACATGCTGTCCATGTACCGAGCCACCAGCCAAATGATCTCCGACGCGGTCGCTCGTGATGGTAAATTAATCACCGTTTCTCTGATTTGAAAAAACAACAGCTAATAATCTCAGGTGAAATCGCAACGAAGATGCCGAGAGTCCGGGGCTTAAGAACGATCAAGAAGGAGATCTTGAAGCTCATCGAGATATATGTCGAGAAAGCTGATGATCTGGAGATGGTCCGAACAATTATCGTACCAGCTCTCCTCGATGCAGTCTTGGTCGACTACAATCGGAATGTACCCAACGCTCGAGACGCCGAAGTCCTGAAGGTCATGTCGGCCATCATCACCAAGCTCGCTGTACGTTGGACCCCTCACCGCTCAAGATTTTCCGTAGTGCATCCCCTTCCCACACTTCTATATAGCAAATATTTGTCGCTGCTCCCAATTCACAGCTGAAGATTACTGACGTTTTGCAGGCTCTCATGGAAGATCAAGTACCAAACATCATGGAAAATGTTTTTGAGTGCACGCTGGAGATGATTAACAAGGACTTCTCTGAGTTCCCGGAGCACCGTGTCGAGTTTTTCACACTTCTTCGTGCTATCAATCTGAAATGCTTCCCAGGTATGTCTTTTCATATATTGCCCTAATTGAACTCACTAACTAGTTTCTAGCTCTGCTCAAGCTCGACAACAGACAATTCAAGTTCGTCATCGATTCTTGCATGTGGGCTAGCAAGCACGACAATCGCGAGGTCGAATATGCTGGTCTCAATATGTGTCTAGAGTTGATCACCAACATTGCCGAAACCGATCCCGGAACCTCGAATGCTTTCTTCCAGCAATTTTTTGTTCCGGTCCTCCAAGATGTCTTCTTCGTTCTCACTGACACAGATCACAAGGCTGGTTTCAAGTCACAATCGAGTTTACTGTCGCGCATGTTTTTCTTCGTGCACCCAGCCGATGGTACTGCACCCAAGATTCAGGGGCCAGTCTACCAGCCAGATCAGGCTCCTGCCGGAACTACAAACAAGGACTACTTGAGTGGTTTTGTTTCGAACTTGTTGCAAAATGCTTTCCCTAACTTACAAGCGTAGGTCATCAAACCCGGGTGTCTTTAGAGAAGTTACTGACAGTGCACAGTGGCCAGATCAAAATGTTTGTCGAGGGACTGTTCACTCTGAATAATCTCAATGACAAGTTCAAGTTGAATCTTCGAGATTTTTTGATCCAGTTGAAGGAGTTTGCAGGAGATAATGCTGAGCTTTTCGCGGAGGAGAAGGAGCAATCAGAGAGGGATGCCAAGGCGGCTGAGCGAGAACGTTTATCGAAGGTTGGCGGCTTACTCAAGCCTGCTGAACTTGCGGAAGATGATGATGAGCTATGACTTGAGGAAGAGCTGAGGTTGGATCATGGGCACGCGGAAGCGGAAGCTAAAGACCCCGAACCTACCGGATCACGCACCATCTATCGGCCGTACAAGCAGGTTTCGGACGGCTGGGAAATGTACGATCTTTGAGTCTTTGCTCTATCGACGGCTACGCCCCCTGCCTCGTTCTCTGGATACCTACCAAATTTTCGATTTTTACTCGACTCCGAGTATATCATGCTCGGCGCCTGCGTGCTTAGGCGGAGTTGGGTGTGATTCTGGGGGATCTTGTCTTTCTAAAAAGTGGCTTTTAACTAGATTCGATTTCCCGTTATCGCGACGCGATACTTCGCATTTTGCGAGAGATTATGATACCTCTCCGTCTGGAGGACTGCGCATGGATGATGAAGCCCAAGAGATGAGATACGGCGAGGTTATGAGAAACATGAAGGTCGGAGTTTATTGTGTGTAGATGCAGTGAGCATTCAGCACGAACAATATATGGAATTAACGTGTTTGGGTTCCGATAGGTGATTTGTCTGCAGGAAGTATCACTATTTGAATTGCAGGAAGGTGGCCAGTAACTGCACATCCTTGTCAACTCTGATATTCCCTATACCTTCTATAAGTGCACATTTTGCCAGGAGATTGGGTGACAGGACTCCTCAGCTCTTCTCGCTACTCTTCTGTTAGAACTTGCAAGGAAGGGTCGGTCGTTAAACCTCGTCGACGTCGTCGGTCGAGGCACTCCGCAAGTGTAGCCAGACCCGTCTAAGCTGCGCTTGGGCTTAAACATAGCGCCAAGGCGTTACGATAAGGTTTCGCGGACGCTCACAGATCCCATGATTTGGTTAGCTTCGATCTCAATTCTGAAGGCCAACCGAGGCCTTGGAAGTAAAACACCATCCAGCTTCATCGCCCCGCGGGACATATCAACAGTTCTCTCCACAGTAACACTCTTTCCGACCGCTGACTCGATGGCAAGCGGACAGGAAAACAAGAAAGGGTTTCTCAATTATCCGGAGGCCAAGAAAGGGCAAGTGGGCTTCTTTCTAGACGAGGTTTGGGGATGACGCGGGGATGCACATCGTGACTGACTAGCTGGAAGACCAGAGGTGCCGTACAAAAGTGAGAGGAAGGAGAGCCCGGCCGTCCGAGGCATCTTCGTCCACATCTCTGCGCTGATGTAGGTTCCGGACGCATCCGGTTTGTAGCAAGGGACGTCAACTCACCGCCACCAGTCTTGAAAACATCGCGCCCATCCGCCACAAGGTGTGGGAGAACGCCGGCTTTGCCGACCTCCGCGCCATCCGGACCTATCTCGAATACTATGAGCCGAGATACGATCCTACCGTCGTCCCCGGTGCCAACTTGTCGTCACCGTTCGAGAGTAAAGATGACCCTCCCGAACCGGCACCGTCCCGGATGAAGCGAGGCCCGCATGGATACTATTCTGTAGCTGATTATCAAGCTCTGTACCTTTCCGGGGAGTTGACGCCGACGGCTGTGGCGAGGGCCTTGCTCTCACTTGTTCGGAGAGATATCTCACCTCCGGGTTCGCACTCCATCGGCTGGTTTGATACTCGTGTCGACCTAGTCATGGCTGCCGCTGAGGCTTCAGCTCTACGCTATAAAAACAAAGCCCCTTTGGGACCTCTAGACGGTATTCCTGTCGCTATCAAAGATGAGTATGACATTGAAGGGTACACAACGTGTTTGGGATCTGTCAATGACTACACTGGTAAGGTACCTGATGGAGAATCCATCACCGCTTGGTGCGTGAAGAAGATAGAGGAAGCAGGTGCTGTCAACTTGGGCAAGCTTTCTATGCATGAATTTGGCTTAGGTGCGTAGTTGCGTCGTGGAATCGAGGCCTCTCGGTGCTGCATCTGTTCAGCAGGTACTAACTCAACTTCCAAGATACGTCTGGGAACAACCCTATTTATGGAACACCACCAAATCCTTACAACTCGGATTACTACACGGGAGGCTCGTCAAGTGGCTGTGGGTATGCTGTTGCCAGTGGACTTATCCCCATTGCCCTTGGCGGCGATGGCGGTGGCAGTATTCGCATTCCTGCGTCGTTCTGCTCGGTCTTCGGTTTGAAACCATCCCACGGGCGTCTCTCCTTCAAGCCGTGTATGAACCATTCATCTACATGCGCTGTCAATGGTGAGCAAAACTACCTGGGTGTTTTTTTGTTTCTGCTCTGGGGTGGCTCAGCAGTATGCTCTCGCCCATGCCCAAAATATATCTATCTTTCGTACTTGCTTTTGAAATGGAATCATGAAAAGTCATGCTCATTTCAAACTCCGCATCATAAGGTCCCATCGCCGCGGATATCGCTTCGTTGACAGCGTTCTACCAAGTCCTCGGAGCACCAGATCCATCATCCATATTTCCCGCTCCATCTCTGACCATCCTGTCGCCATCCCTCCGGAAGAACAGGGTACTCGGTATACCCGAAGCATGGTTCGCCCGCGCTACGCCTGCTATCCAAAGACTGTGTAGATCATTGATAGACAAGATGACCACAGTCCACGACTACACCATCGTCCCTATCACCATCCCATTTCTCTCCGAAGGTCAAATCGGCCACGCCATGACTGTCCTCACCGACGCGGCCACTCTCCTCCCCGTAACACGCAACCTCACCGCCGCAAACCGCATCATGATCGCGCTCGGCACCGTCACGCCAGCCACCGACTACGTGCTGGCCCAGAAACTTCGCCAGCTGCTCATGCAGCACCTCGCCTATCTGTGGCAACAATATCCCGGGATGGTCATCACGACGCCGACAACCTCCTGCGCGGGCTGGAAGATCGGAAACAAGAACGAGCTGACGTACGGCATCAGCGATGGGAATATGACGTTGAAGACGATGGAGTACGTCTGGATGGCTAATTTCTTGGGCTTGCCGAGTCTGAGCGTACCCGTCGGGTATGTGAGGCCAGAGGGTGGGCAGGGGGCGGGCGAGGAGGCCGAGGAAAGTACGGAGGGCAAAGTGCCGGTTGGTCTGATGGCCATGGGCGAGTGGGGGGCGGAAGAGGAGTTGCTGAGGTGGGGAGCTGAGGCTGAGGAGGTCGGCAGCGAGAGGAGGAGGCGGCCGCCGATCTGGGTGGATGTTGTGGCGAGGGCAAAGGAGGAGATGTCGAGGGGCTTAGATAATCGTACTCCAATTTAGACACAGAGTCTGGCATTCATGTTAATGTCGCAGACGCAGAAGCAGAAGCAGTCACATTTCGCATTACCAACTGCTCGAATCCCACTCTCGCTTGCGCCCATAGGATCGCCACGTCCCTGAACATGGTCGGTCGGAGAAATCAGCCGCCAGTCGTTCTCCACGTACCAACGCATGAGAGTTCCCCGATCACCACGACGCATTCTGTCCGTTCTCTCCATTCCATCTCACCCACCGACGTCACGTCGCAAATCCATTTTCTCCGACCCAAACCAGAATTCAACGATAATAACAACAACAACAACGGTAATGCACTATCAGCCACCATGCCCTGGCCCCGGCCTCTCGAGTTCGGGCTGGTAGGGTATCACCATACCCCTCGTCATCACTCACGCTCGATCAATGAACGGTAAGTGTCAAGCCCTAGAATTCTGCGCTGCACCGCTCGGTCGTAGGCTGCCATGTCCCAAACGATCTGTCACGTACGTAGAGAGAGAACTGAGCAGCGAGAAAGCACACGGCTTGTGTGTGTGTGTGTGTGTGTGACCCTTCCCACCCGCTGTCGAGGATTTTCATCTTTCCTCCGAACCGAGCGAGACGCGGGCACTTTTATTTTCCCGATACCAAAACTGGCTCGGAAAATATGAAAACTGATGGATAGACACGGACCCGGGGGGGGGCTTGTATGGACCGTGTGCTTCTGTGACTCTGCCTTATCATCGGCATCGCCTACCGTAGGTACTTCAAGCGTTGATCATTTATGCTGAGAGACCGTACAGTGAAGTAAACAAGTAGCAAGAGAGCAAGAGAGCATGAGAGCGTGAGAGCGTGAGAGCGTGAATGAGATGTGATACATAAGAGATGTGCTGTCTGTCTTTGCCATTCCACCGGATGATGGTTCCTCATGTCCGGATCCACTGCACGCTGAAGAAGAAGCCGCCGCCTCGGCACACAGCATGAAGATGAATGAAGCTTCGCAGTGCCTGGCCCGCCAGATTTCCTGGGGGTACAACTGCGAACCGCTGGACTGGCACTGGCACTGGCACTGGCACTGGAACCGAGACGAGATGACACAGGCGGTCGGTCACACCATACCACGTGGTGGTGCAGGTGCAGGTGCAGGTGCAGGTCAATGTCGATGTCAATGTCAATGTCAATGTTGATGTCAAGGTCAAGGTCAATGTCGAGATCAATGTCGAGGTCGTGTGACCCGAAGGCTGGAGAGGAGTTGCCGGTGTGACCACCACGAGGCTGAGCGTGTGTGCAGGACGAAGGGAGTCCCTGCCACCTGACCTGGACCACCTGACCTGGACCACCTGACCTGACCTGACCTGAACTTGGTTTCTGCATTTTGCGGGGAAAAGTCCAGGATGAGAGTGTGGGGAACCGGCAGACAGACAGACAGACAGACAGACAGACAGACAGACAAGAGAGAGAGATATTGACTTATGCAGCTGACCTTTGACAGGATGCATTCAAGAAGAGCCCAAGCCTTCTTCTTCTTCTTCTACTTCTTCTTCTCCTCCTCCTCCTCCTTCTTGACCTTCTCCCCCTTACTTATTTTCTCCCTCCTCATCTCCTTTTTCTCGGGTGCAGATAGATCACTCGCCACAGCGCAACGCGGCCGATCTTGGACTCGAGATTGGCCTGCCTACGTACTCTACGGAGCTGCAACGCAACGCAACGCAACGCAACGCAACGCAACGTATTCCCAAGGAAGGAAGACGGACTGGTTGATTGATTGCATGGGTCGGTCGACCCTCGCAGCAGCCGAAGGTCAGACCAAAGCTGTTTGATGGCGACATCCTGCCCCAAAGTGGCTGGCTATCAAAGGCAAGCAAGCGACTGAACTCAGGACTGGTCAGCGGCCATGGCCGATCCAGCAAATCAGTCCATCCCCCCCTCCCCTTCCCCAGGATATACTACGTACGGTAGGTATGCGGAACAAAACTCGTACTCTGAGTGTGCATATGGATGATGCAGCGCACTGCTGAGAGAAGAGTCCTGGCACCCTGGCGAATTTAATGCAGCGCAGCGGGCGCTTCTCCCTACCTCGGTATCATTGGCCACGCGCTGCCTCTGGGAACATCCGGAGGGGAAATTGACCTGTCATTTAGTAGTACTATCTGGAGAAAAGGCTCTCGCGCATTCCGACCTCGAGGCGTAGTCAAAAATTCTCCCGTCTGAGGAATCGGCGGAGAGAAGGCTGGGCGCCCAATCTGCAAGTAAACAGTTCCCGATGTTGGAAATCCCAATCAGTGTTGGACTCAGCTGCCGCATTCTGGCCTCGGATGTGAAGGCCGTTCGAGGTCAGAAGAACGAACCGCTAGCTATAGTTCGCCCTACTCCGTACGGACCACTCTTACTGAGTACGATGAACGAATAAGTAGATATATATATATGTGTGTATATATATATATATATATATATCTATATACTATTGAATTTTGTTCTTTTTCGTTCGTGTGGAGGGATATCGGGTCGCCAAGTCGTAGTATCTAGAGCCCAGGAGAAGTCTACTTTTATTATCACCAGACAGGGCTGGGAGAGGGCTCGAGTCCCAGTGCACGTTACTACTACATCTTGGCTTATCGAAAGTCGCCTTCTTATCAAGGAGCCCTCGCCGTGAGTGCTCGTGGCTGAACGGAGAGGAGCCGTTGATAAGCAACCTCACAGTGGTGAATCCACACAATCTATGAGACTACGAGAGAGAGAGAGAGAGAGAGAGAGAGAGGCGTAGATAGACGCTACGATGGAGTACGGAGTGACAAAGAGTGACAGGTATAGTAAGTAATTACCTCTGGAGGTGGCGGTCGAGACTCGAACCAGATAAATTATCGAATGATTTTGGAACTTTAAACAGTCGCCAGCCGTCGGACCATACATACCCTCGTAGCGCGATCCAGCCTTATCATCGACATTCCTTCTCTGTAAAGGCTACTCTTACTCTGTCTGTACCCCGTCGAATAGAAAAAACCCTGAGGGGGACTGACTAACTGACTGTCTGTCTGTCTTTCTGTCTGTCTGTCTGTCTGTCTGTGTGACCGATGGATGCCGTACACCCGATACAGGGGCCGCGAAGCAGTTGGAGCGCTCGCTGGATGTTGCCCAGTCGAGGGAGTCAAGGGCCGCTGAGGCCATCGAGGGAGCCAAGCAAGCAAAAGCATGGACAGGGTGCGATACAGTACCTACGCACCATCGCAGGGAGGATCAATTAAAGTATTCGAATGCCGAACCACGATGGCGCGAGAGAGAGGGGGGGCTGTGCTGCGTCCGGACTCAAGCGAGAAAGTATAAACAAACACCTTTGTGGGCTCCGTCCAGCAGGAGTGGGCGTAGTAGGATCGATACATCCCATCCCATCCCCACGCGCGTCAAGGAAAGACTCCATAATTAATCACGTCGTCGCTTCACCTGTTCAGAGGGGGGAAGGGGAGGGGGCCCGTTTAGGGCTGATAAGGTTGGAGTCGAAATGGCGAAAGTTGTCTCCAGGATATTGATCTGCAGTAGCGCCTTCAGATGGCCATGGCTCCGAGATGGAGTTTGGGGAGGACTCGAAACCACCTAGCAAGCTTATGAGAAAGTCTGTACCACAAAAAAAAATATAAAAAATTTCAAACAATCGCACCGCAAGACGTCATCCGACCATGGAATGCGGTGATGGCTGCGGAATCTCGAGTCTTGAATCGTGATGGTGTCGAAATCTGCTGGACGTTGTCACTGACTGGACTTTTCGATGCGCTTGCCGCGCGCATCCTCAAAAAGTCCACCGTTCGCATGTATCGAACGAGGACCCTCTGTTTAGGCAGATGGCCATCAACACTAGCGGCCCGTCCGAACCAAGACACTAAGACATTCACAAGAGTCGCATTGGGTTATTAAGTCCGATGGAGAGATAAGATAACTGTTGATGCTGTTGATGCTATTGATGCTCTTGATGTATTGATGTGTTGATGTATTGATAAATGGAGTGCAGGTTGAGATAGATGGCTTCAGGTAGGCGGGAAGCATGTCCAGGCTTGCCGCGTGAGACTGACTGATCGTATGAGGCACAACAACAGTCTTGGTGTCAGGAAAATGTCAGCAAATACGATGGAATAAACCAACTGCTTACGGCATGCTGACCTCGGGACCGGAGAGCCACCCCCAGAACACCCCTCTATTGACTTGTAGGTATTTATTGTCTTTCTTCGGTCTTGTGAGACGAGCTGGACGGGTAGCTCAACTTAGAAGACGGCACCGCCGAACCCAAGAAGGATTCGCGGCACATTCTTTTGAAGCAATACAGGCCGAGTCAGGCAACGACACCATCCTTTGTGGCGACAACGGCGATATAATTGGCGCGAGGGAGTGGAATTTGTATATTGCCATCTTGAGAACCGATAGATCGACCTCTTTCGGACATGACACTCGGAAACGGCTGGAGGCATTTCTGGTGCGAATGTACCTATCGATCGGCGTTGCTGGTGGATAGTTCACCCCCACGCTGTTTACTAACAAATCCCGGAAGGGTCTCCACCAGCATTTTTTTGGTTATCCATGTGTATCATGTCGGCTTCGAATAGAGTGAGGTTGATAAGACAGATCTGGAGACCAGCACGGGTGCCGCCGCAGCATTGCTTTGATTGGAGCGATTGTTGCAAGCCAAGATCAGATATGTCTTCATGCGGTGCGAATTCCAGATTTACCTATGAGGCATAAAAAGGGTGGAATGAAGTGGTACCTTCATATGAGGTTGCGCCGCAACATGAAACGATTGTCTGCAGTTTGCATTCTTCGGAAAGTGGCTGAGCCATAATCGCTTTGATCCCGCAGTAAATTCAATAAAGCCACGCGAATGAACTTCGACTTCACTTCCGATGGGATTACCCATCGTCGATGGGATTACCAATCGGTCTTCTTGAATACAATACTAAACATGCAATGGACGTTTCAAACAGGAATCCATCTTTTGGCGGAGGGCTTGATTGGAACGAGGATAAGGTTAACCATCGGGACGATCGCCATAGAAACAAACATATTGAATTTTACGCTAGCAGCCGCTATATTCATGCCCAAATTGAAGCTAAGATATCAGTCGAGCTGCTTGATATCAATCGGACTGCTACGACGGCCGAACTTGTGTGACGGCAGACGCGTCATGTTCAAACAGGTAGACGCGCGGTAACCTCGATGGTGGTATCTCTCAAAATTAGAAGGGTTAGTAATTGAAATGTTGCAGCTTTGGCAGCCGACGCGGCCGCCACCCAATATTAGGTGCGAGCCTCGTCGGAAGCACCACCTGAAGTCAGTCACCAACTGCCTTGATGATGGTATCTCCTTAAACCTCTCTGAGTACTCGTGAGCTATTTCTCTCTGGCGGAGAACCGCGCGTCAAGTAATGTGAGAGCTAATGCAGCCTCGTTGTTCTGCAAGTCCAAGGTAACCTAGCTGGCCAGGCTTTTCTCGCGCTCGCAGCCAGTCACAGGCAAGACACTCCGCTGGATCTTACAGGACGCCGGGGTAGTGATGGTGACCTGTTGAGAGGAGGGAGGGTGTCGATTGACATGATGTCTCTTTTTGCTTCACACAACCACAACGACGCGAGGAACCCAGCATTCCAGAGAGTTGATGCGGTGCCTTGTTAGGTCAGGTGCACGCCGCGTGGCTTTTCTCCCACACGTCGCCGCTGTGACGTACGTTAGCAGATATAGGTACATTAGATATAGGTTTAATAGGTATAATAGGGATAGAAATAGGAATAGGTATAGGTATAGGTATAGGTATAAGTATAGGTATAGGTAGAGTTAGAAGTAGAAGTAGGTGGATGAGGTGGATGAGGTGGATGAGGTGGATGAGTTGCTTTCCGGTAGGGCTGTGGCGCATCGAGGAAAACAAGAAAAGAGGTAATTGTGGGGAAAGCCGCTAGGGGACACCAGAGGTACTACTAGGGACCTACCACTCGTAGCTCGTAGAAGGTAGGTCAGTTGCCGTGGAGAGCGAGATTGGCGAGGAGAAAAATCTTGAGGGTGTGTTGAGGGTATGGTGAGGGTGTGGTAGTGGTAGTGGTAGTGTGATAGAAGAGAGATGTGATGAGAGGGAGGAATGGCGAGGATGTTTGGTCTGGTGGAATGGAATGGGATGGGATGGGATGGGATGGGATGGGATGGACCAAGATAATGGCTGTGATGGGGACGGGGATTGATGACTGATGACTGATGACTGATGACTGATGATGATATTGGTGCAAGCCACGTGATAAAGGCAGCCAGTTGCACAAGTCCGTAAGGTACGGATACGGAAGACAACTACGGAGAACTACGGTAACGACAAATATTCTGTATTTTTTACTTCTGGTGCCCAGCATTTTCCTCAATCCTTGGCAATGATCGACGCTCACTCCATCCACCCCCCCCCCCTTTTGCTTGCTGCCACATCTGAATAACGCCGCATACTGTAAAAGATTTCAAGATTTCAAGATTTCGCGATTTCACGATTTCAAGATTACAGGATTTCCGCACCCACGCCTACACCTACATCCACACCCACACTCTCACCCACACTCTCACTCTCACTCTCAATCTCTCGCTTTCACTCTCACCTGCTGCGAGATACGCTAACGCTAGCGCTAGCACTGCTCCCCGCGCTTGGCCTAAAACAGGAGTCGGCTGCCATCTGCATCTGCATCTGCATCCCTCTGCATCCATCTGCATCTGCATCTGCATCTGCATCTGCGCCTGCGTCTGCGTCTGCGTCTGTATCTGCAAGACTTGGACCACGACCACGACCACGACTAGGACCAGGACTACGACCAGGATCAGGACCAGGGCCAGCACTAGCACTAGCACTAGCACTGGCACTAGCACTGGCACTAGCACTGGCACTAGCACTAGGGGGGGGACTAGGACCAGGGTCAAAGCCAGGCAGGCCCCACTGCCCTTCTCCATCTCCAGAGTGGGTACTAGGTACGGATGGAGACAGCTATTACTATTACTACTGTATGACTACCACTACTTCGACATCTGCTTGACGACTGCTTGACTACTACTTCTGCTTGACTACTACTTGACTACTCCAAGAGCCTTCTCGCACGACCTGCAAGTCTCGAACTCTCGTTCCTCATATTTCACCAAGCTCCACCTCTTGAGTCACACCACATCCCCCATCCTCTTTACCTCACCGAATTCAGGTACGACCACAACTCTGCCCACAACCTGGTCACAACTCGAAAATTTCTATTAGAAGTCGGCTTCATCCACCGTCCCCAACATCCATTCGGACATCTCCAACTACCACTACCACGACCACGACCACGACCACGGCCACGACCACGACCACGACCACGACCACTACCACCACGATTACCCATCCTACCTCCCCCCTCCCCAATAAACAATATGACTTTCGATATGGACTGGTCTCCAGCATTCTGCCTGGCCTGTGACAGGCAAACCGACGGCAACGTCTACTGCTCAGAATCATGCCGTCTGGCCGAGTACGAAAATGCTTCGACGGCAGGCTCCGCAGCCTCGTCTCCCACCTCTCTTCGAACTCCCCTCTCATGGCCAGCAAATCGATCGAACAACAGGTTCTACATGGAGCCGGCATACAACTTCAAGAATGCACAACCATACGGCACAACACCCTCTCCTCGAGCCTCCAACTTCTCTCCTCCGCCCAGGTCACAATCATCGCCGGTAACCTCGACCAAGGTTACCTTGACTCCCTCTAGTTCGCAATCGAGCCTCTTCTCCCTGCAAAGCACCCACTCGACGACATCCCCAGAACCCATCCAACTCTCGGAAGAGTCCCGAAAGGCACTGAGGGCATACGCCAGCTCCTTCGACCAATCTCGAAACTCGAGGAGGCAATCCACCCACTAAGAGGTTTCATCTCTACACCTCATCAGATTGCCAAATTAAATGCATGCCACGGCCTTCTCAGATACACCATCACCATCGCCATACGAATACCCAACCTTCCTCTGATGTCCTACAAAAAAGCATCGGCGTTCTTCACCTTCATACGATATTCGGTTGCTGTACAAAACGCATTCTACGGAGCATCACATCCCATCTCATCTTCTTCAGCAATACAACCAAAAGTTTCCTCTCAATCATAGCATCGGAGCATCGGAGCAAGGGCGGGTACCAGACAGTCACTATCACTACTCGCAACAGGGATAAAACACCTCTTTTCTTTTCTCTACCTGGTTACATCTGCATGGGAAGGAATATTGGACATCATCGCGGGACGGCTAGGGAGGAGCAATTTTGTGGGAACGGCGCTGGATGATACAAGTCTTGTTCTGGCTCACGGATGGAGCTTCAGTGTTGTCAGCAATAGTTTGATATAGAGGCCTCACAGTCTGTCCGTGAGGCCCGTAGCGCGACCGTCCTCAGTTGTGACAGAGCCCAGCCCTACAAGGAGAGCTGGGCGAGGCCAGCTTAGTTTAGCAATGGAACCTCATCATAGTCTGTCCACCCCGACAGACTACAAGTTTCAACTGTACCCTCTACTCCTCATCCGATTGCCATCGTACCTTCTAGCTTGGCGACGTCGCCACGATAAGCTGGCTACTGTCAACACCCTATTCACAACATCACATCACCATTTTGCCCTCTTGGCCTCCCATCTCATATCCCAGCGGGCCTTTTCCCCTGCAGGTAGGTGTTCCAGGAAACGGAATTAGCTTTCCGTCGATGGATTACGGAGATCAAGAGCAACCCAAACGTCCGTTTGCCTTTCCTGGGCTGAGGGAAAAAGAAACGAAAGCCGGAGCGGGCTCGCCTGGTGCTGTCTACGGAGCCGTGAATTACACCTCTCTCTCCTCCGCACGGCGGTACATCAATGCCGCTAGAAGGATTCTAGGCTCCACTCCGACCTACCCACCCGATCAAATATCCATGACTTTGTCTTCTTCCGTAGTTTTCCCCAAGGAAGCCTCGACTCGCGCAGCACAAAGCAGAGCAGCGCAGAGCAATGCAAAACTACCGATCTATCTACCTATCTATCTATCTATCTACGTACTGCATCTATCTCCGTACTGTGCCTCTCTCTGCATTTTATAATACATGGCCAGTTTCGAGAAGCAGAATGAGTGCGGGGGATTTTCCTTGCTTTTCTTTTTCTTCTTGAGGGGCCCGCCGATCAGATCCGAACAGAGGGTACCCCCCCCCCCCTCCTCCTCCTCCTCCTT